ATAAAAGGTTAGATAATTAATGTGGTTAATTGTGATTTATTGATATGTGATTATTTGATATATGATTTGATTGATGATATGATTGATTGATATATATACTGTGTTTGTTTGTTTGTTTCTTTGTTTACTAATTTTAGGAATTCAACTCAGGTAAGCACGGATTACCTACCCATGTACATCAATTATATAATATACTTGTATTGGCCTGAGGTTTTAGTTAAGCTCAAGCTCTATATTCATTTCCAATTTCTATAACACCTCAGACAACATTATAAAACTACAACTACAACCGCAATTATGCAACGCCGTATGGTAATATTCCCGCTTTATTTTCGCAGGTAGCACAGCACATCACAGCATAGCACATGGGCTTATTCTATGTCTAGTTATCAAAAGAAGATGAGGCCGCAGTAGGCACAGATGAGGTCGAAGTAAGAAGAGAAGATCAAGACAAAATCAATCGGTTCAGTCGTCTACACCAACGAGAGATTGGGCTCGAGGATGAATTGAAGTCAAAACATGTCAGTACACTTGAATACTCCGCGACTAAAGCTCCTCTCAAATTGCAAAGAACACTTTGCTGATCAACTTGTTTGCGCAGAAAGAAAAGGAAGACCTTGACGATGTTTCGGGCGAACTCGAGTTGGCAGATGAAGATGACCTGATACCGTACGATGAGCCTATCACCTTCATTTGATGCTCAAATATATATACTATGCGTTGAATCATACTGACAGCTTTGAAGGTACAAAATCGGAGATTCATTCATTTCGCTACCACTGCCTGAGGTTCAGGAACTGCTCACGAAATCGACACAGAATATCGAGGAGGAAGTTACGGTGGTCGAAGAAAAGCTTAGCACAATCAGAGAGGAAATGACACAATTGAAGGTGGAATTATATGCCAGATTTGGTCGAAGTATCAATTTGGAAACATAGTCGAAATTTTCATAGGAACACCTAAAGGATACATCAAAGCTCCATAACATAGCCACGAGATGACCCAATCGCAACAGAAAGCTCAGGAGAGTTAAACGGCATAACACATTTCTGCGTACTCGAAAACATAAACCGATAAGAGGTTCCATAATTTTCGAGAGAGAAAAAAAACCGCCTTTAATCACGCCAAAATTCAAATAATCTGGATTATTTTTCGTCAGATTATACGAATCAAAAAGTACTGAGTTTAGTATAACCCCGCCCTGGCTTTAACGATTGTTCATCTTTCGTCTAGACTTTTGGGGGGCAACCGACACGATACTTAAACAAGACTGGGGGCATTTTCATCACACACCAATCCGACGATTTTTGCTTGAAGATCTGCCACTTCTCCTACCTAGTCTAGTCGACTTATTCTCGACGACATTGCTGAAGCAAGCTGCCATCCTTCCAATTGAGACGGCACCATCGATCCTTTGATTCCTTTCAGCCAATAATTTGGACTTGATGGCATGCAGGAGATCCACACCAAACATTCGGCAGTGGGGATAGCTTCACACTAGAAGAGTTAAAATTGACCATTTACGCACAAGCAGTGATCCTTCTTATTTCAAGAAGTCCGTGTAATTATGGGCATACGTGAATCTGAAAGCCGGATGAAGTTCTTGTTTCCAGTTAAGTATATTTATGTATATCACAAGCTAGGTCCCTTCCTATTACATTTCATTACAGTTTTATTTCACTTTTATCTATGCACTATACAAAACTTGATCCTGTCCATGAGCTCAAGCTTCGCCAAAGTCACCTAGGACGTCGGAAAGAGAAGTGAGAAGAGTTCCAATTGTCTGGCTGGATGGGGGGCAAGTGGGAAACCAATAATATCCAGTACAGATTATGGAAATGAAATTGGCACATCGGGAGTAAAGAATCTTGTTATAATTGCAAATGATTCAGAGAACAAACTGTTCACTAATTGGTAAATTATCTCCTCATTTTCAGATCCCCAGATATATACTAATATAGGTACAGGACAGCATAAAAGTAGACTTTCTTGAATAGTCTCAGGTCTGATTACGACGATACGAAAAGAAGGTATGATCTCGAGACGAAGGACAACCAAAAATCTCTTCCGGATCTATTTACATCTAGCATTATAGGGGGGCGAAAGAAAGTAATACATTGGGGGGAGAATGATCCAGAAAATCCATACAATTAGTCTTCCATATATCATTACCTTGGTCAAAAGAGTTGTCAGCGCAGTCGGCTGATTTCGGTGTATAGGTATATGGAAGTGTTACATCGTTTTTGTAGGAATGCTTGTAGTAATCAATAGTACTATAGGTTCTTCTCTGCCTTCAACAGCAATCCCATACATCGCTCAACATTTTCATATAACATCGGAGTACACAAAAATTTCTACCAATCTCAATATATCTCCTTGGATATGTTCTTGGGTTTTTTGTATTTTGCCCAATTTCAGAACAATATAGGCGAAAACGATTATATTGATAACTTTCTTCTGCTATACCGTTTTCACATTAGATTGCACCTTGAAACCAACATAGGGAGGACTCTTAGTATTTCGAATTCTTGCTGATATCAACGCAAATAATCCTATTTCCGTCAGTAGAGATATCTACGCAGATATGTACAAGGATCCCGTGACAAGAGGCCAAGCCATGGCAGTCTTCATTGGAGGTACTTGTGTAGGTCCCCTAGCGGCTCCAATTATTTCAGGATTTATATCTCCCGCCCTTGGATGGCATTGGACATTCTGGATTGGTTTAATTTTCGCCAGTGTATCTTGGATTTCTCTGATATTTCTTCCAAAAACCTACGGTCCCAATCTACTCCTTAAACACACAAAGAAGTTGCGCAGAGAAACAGGTAACCCAGAAGTCCTTACATCTATCGAACTGGAAAAACAAGACCTAAAACAAATGATCACCGTGACCCTCACTCAACCTCTTCGCATGTTACTTTTTGAACTCATCGTCTTAGCCGCTTGCTCTTATGTACCTCGCCCTCGTGTATGGAATATTTTACATGTATTTCGAAGCTTATCCAATTATATTTGAAGGGATATATGGTCAATCATCTGGTGGGTGTATCTGGTCTTATGTTCCTCCCCATTGGTAATAGTACTATTCTCGCTATGATTGTGTTTCTCTGGTAGGACACATATCTTCGCATAACTCGAGCAGCCAATAAACCATGGACGCAAAAGGAAGAATCTCGACGGCTACCGCTCGCCATTCTTGATAGACCACTTTACGTCGTCTCGCTTTTCTGGTTAGGCTAGATATCTCGCGCTTCGATTCTATTCTATATTTCAATGTTGGCAAGTATACCTTTCGGAATAGAGTTTATATTAATCTTCATCGCATTGCTCAACTATCTAACGGATGCCGATGAAGTCTTTGCTGCGAGTGCTATAGCTGCATCGAGCTGCTGCAGAAGGTTAACTGGTGCTGTTTTGCCGTTTGCGGCGAAACCAATGTACACACGATTGGGTGTACCATAGGCAAGTAGTCTGCTTGCCTTTTTGAATCTAATAATATATGATATAACGTGGTTGTTTATATGGAAAGGTGATCATATTAGGGAAGGAAGTGTCTTTTGTCAAGAGCTTAAAAAACGAAAGATCAAAGAGTCAGAGAACTTGGAAAAGTTGAGATCGTCGAGAGAGAATGGTCAAAATGGTGAAGGCGATGAAAAAGCCTGAACTCAAGCGTATCATTTGAACAGTCTCCTTGGCATGGAAAATGCATAGCATGCGGTGTTACTACAGTATGTACCTAGTTTTAATTTCTTGTTGGATACATTGTCAAGGCGTGAAAGCTTGCTACTTGATCTTACTCGAGTGTATTCACTCTTGATATATTTCTCTTGACTCACGTGTTGCGCACTTTACTATCGATATAAGCTCATCATCCATGCTTGTTCTCGCTCGCATCCTTAATTTGTTTCATATACAAAGAATTTGCAAGAAGTTTTGGCACGAATAATGCATCTCGCTCGCTACTTGAAACATTACTCAAACAAACAACAATGATCAATCCGTATATCAGACGAACGCTAGAAACGGAATTGCAAGATCGCAAACTTTTCTCTAACATACCAAGCCCGAGGTAGAATTTCCTAGGTAGAGGGACGAACGTTCCTATCAAGGTTTCCTGTGTTGATTTATATAAATAAGTATCCCAGATTCCATTTTCCTAATTATTTCCGGATTTTGGTTGCTCTGCTCTCAAAATTCTTCATCATGTTAAAAACAATCAAAATAGTTCTTTTAATTATTTTCTGTAATATCTTCTTTTTAACAGCTTCATCATCTTCGTTATATGACAGTCATGCTAGTGAGGGCGCTCCACACAATCCCCGAATAATAAAACACGGTACTTACGATCCATTCGAGGACATCTTCGGCCGCGCAACAACACGAGTGAAAGCAACAACTGTCTCACAAAGCGTGAGCAATTGGATTGAAGACGTCGATACAGTCAACAGCTTCTTGAATGTCGCATTAGCTTTACCCCTAGGTCCAGCCCTTAAATCAGGCGCATCGAAAGCATTGGCATTTGCGCAAGACGAACCAGTGAATAACAAGTTTCTGGGTGCTATTCCAGGACTTGATGCTCAGGGAAAGGCGGCTGCTGGTACTCTGGATAAAGTCTTTGGTGATGTCTTGGTGCAGTTAAAGAATGTGGTAGATAAGCCATTGAGTTTGCCGGTAGCAGCGAAAGCAGTGGGCAGAATCAACGTTAATAGGTGAACATTCCAATGTTTGGCACCCAGTAATACAATCAGACTGACTGAGACAAACTGTAGGTGTAAAAATGTTCTTCCTTCAGCCGAGACCTTGTGGAAGTCCGCAGCTTTAGCCATGAACATTTCGACAGCGACATGGCCACCAAAAGCGAATCGAGAGAATGCTTGTCCGGGGAAAAATTAAAGCAATTCCTGTGAAGAAATGAATAGTGGCGTTTCCACGATTTTTGGGGTCAATACTTTCGATTCAAAGTGCAACAACCCCAAACCTCGAGAAGCCATTGCAGATGGCGTTTCGGGGGTACGATGAATAACTTAGTCTAATGTTAATGATTATACTACATTACCTACATCCAACTGTCTACACTGTCACATTCTTGCACAATGTCGAAGTATCAACAATCAAAATGCCTGCTCGATGAAGGCATTACAACAATAAATTTGGTTTGTCTGGAAGAGTCCACACAACAAGGTCCTTTCAATCATCTTCCGGGACATTTCTTTGATCTCAATCTATTGTGTGGCTAGGTACATTCCAATGATATCGAAGTTGGTTGTTTACTAGCCTCAATGCTTCATTTCAGATAAGCATGCAGTTTGCTCCTCTGCCTTATCTTCATGTACTATGTAGTATATATCTGATGGCGAAAAACATTCATGGTCAGTGGGATTGTTTTGCGCCGTTTGATGCGGATCCAGATATTGCAGGTCCAGGGGTATGTCACTCAATATTGTTCTATCAAATCTTTTCTAACAATTTCAAAAGGTTATGACAAGTTTCCTGGTCACAGCCTGGGTCACCTGTCTTGTGGCATGTATCCAACTATACTGTGTCATGTCGTCTCGATTCCGTCTCGAACTTCTTTCTTCGGTGTCCGGAACCACGGCTGAGCATATTGGCAAATATACCGTCAAGCTCACAAGGATTTCCATATCACCGTCTATCGAAGAAACATTTCCAAGCCTTTTCAAGGGTATTCATTTCGTTCTCTATGCATTTCGATGTTTGGTGGCTATAGTTTTGAGTCTCTTTCGCGATTCTCAACCACGCCTACAAATATTTTCCCAGATGGCATTGGATCGATTGTGTGACCTTCAGCTTGTAACAGGGACCGCCATTATCATTGCAGGGATAGCTGAGATTGATCATATGTCATTCTATCATCAATCTCTGATTACAAGTTACTGGCTTCTTACACTCAATGCATTTTGGGCTGCTAGAGCTGGATATCTCAACTCTGAACACTACGGGCATGACAGAAGCTTTTATTTTTGGACACGTTGGATCTGCATCCTGATTAGCGATACACTGTCGATTTACTACCAAGTCGCCACTACTCTTGAGGCCGCAAACCATTGGGACTCCGAAGAAAGTGGACATTGCTACCTCTCTCATGAACCTTCACCAACTAATGCGCAATACTTTTGGATCGTGGGCATTTCTTTTGAAGTTGGATATATGTTGTTTTATTCTATGCGACAAATTGCGGAGTTGCTATCTCACAAATGGCGGTGGTCGAAGGGTTTTCTAGATTTTATCGCAAATACCTCGAATGACCTATCCGACGGAAGTCAACAACGTGCGTCGGACTTTTGGACAGCAGCGGCATACCGTACGCGTCATTGGCCGATAGCTTTTCGAATTATACTACATGTGATAAGGATTCTAAGTCGCATAGTCTGGCATATATTTTGGCAAATTATGGCATTGTGGGCATGGGGTGACAATGGATCAGTATTAATCATTCTCGAATATATCGGACTGGCGGCATGGAATACTTTTGATGTCATTGACACAAAGCTATCCAATCGTGATTTGATAATTGGAGATGAGTCAACATGGGGTTCCGGACAAATTCTACCGCTTGGTTTACTCGCTGATTTGTTTAGATTTACTTGATATCCTCAACAGTGAGTCTACTTTGTTATTTCCCAAATGATATATGCAAAAGATTTGACCCGGGATAGAAGCGTATAAGCATCGAGTCACGGCTACTGCGCATGGCCCGTGGATCCAGAAAGGAGAATTGTCGACGTTCAGCACGAGAGACGAGAATTCAAGTTGACTCGATATCTGGGCTCTTATCACGGGGGTGGTACGGGTACTAGTAGGAACTAGGTAAGATGTATGATATTCGACAAGGAGAGAAGGAGGCGCGCGGAGCGATGCCGACTATATGGTGAATAGATGCCTAAGGCATCTATTCGAGCTAACTAAGAATGGGTAGTGTGCACGTGATAGATACAGGTGGGTGCAGGTAGGTACAGGTAGTCACGTGTGGTGAGCCCGTGACAGCTCTCAAGATTCTCCACCTCGATGAGGTCCTATCTCCTGATGCCAGCTCGATGTTTCAATTTCATGAAACCTCCCTATAGGTGTAGCAATGTCTTCATGACAGCACTGCGATGAAATAAGCGAGTCATAGACGGCTGAGAAGCACAATTCTTGGAGATACACATGACTTCACGCCCACTTATGAGATACATACAGCTTGATGATTTTGAAACATAAAACTCGAATATGATTCTCTCCGTTGCCGCCGAAATATGCTTCGGCGATAAAATCATGGCTAGCAGTTAAGCGGACTATAGGGGAAGCGACGAGTTTCCGGCACCGATTTCGAAATGATTCATGTTCTTCTTTTACGAAGAGAGATGTTGCTAAATATTACACATGATTTTTTAGCTGATAGTGGGAAAACTCTCTCAAGGCTCGAGTTTGGCGGATGTGGCGTTATGGAAGATTGTTCTCCGGTACTGTGAAAATGAATCAAGAAATGCCGGTTAGGATTGTGGCAACATGAATGAGATAGAATTGTAAGATGTCTAAAGATGTATGGAAACTTTGGTTACCCCTCTTTCCATGATAATGACCCCAACCTTCCAAGCATTTCGTCCAAGATGGATTTCGGTCATTAGTAAATTTAATTGTCTGTCCTATACCTGTACATTGTTGAGTACAACCACCTCAAACTCTCGTCTAATAACCACATGACTGTATATTATCCACCATCGAATAAACTTGAGTTCAGTCATCACACAATGAGCTACTGCTATCTGAGTCATAATTTGTCCTTCTCAAGTACTGTTAGTTTACATCTTGATTCAAAGTGATTCTCTTCGGACTTACCTTTTCTTTGTAAATATTCCTTTCATCTTTTGCCATATTCCAAGAATTCCTTTCTTCTTGGAGGCAATTGAATCACTATCCAAATCGTATCTAGGTGGAAAATGCGAACGGAAGCAGGGGGGTGGTGGCCCAAACGGTGGCCCAGGCAATCGATCAACGATTACATGCACAGGCGCATTTGGCGCTGGTTGTGGAAACCTTGGCTTAGGACCAGAAATTGGCCACATCGACATGGAAATCTCCCATCCAGGCTGCACATGATCTTCCCAGAGTTGAGGGAGAATGACTTCACCGGCAGGATTCATGATATCATAATGCCCTTCATTCACATGAGGGCCTATGATATCAACATGTAGGAAGGCTGATTTGATGAGTTCCTCGATTCCCTGATAACGTTAACGGCTATGGTACAAATACTTGGTAGTCAGTATTCCACTTACTGCCCAAGTTTCACATCGGTGATAAGGAAAGCTGAATCGCCTCCCAACGGCGTCTTTGAGCTTGATCGGCTTTCTAGTTTCCCTCTTTCCGCTTGACAAGTTTGTGTCTACCTCAGCCTGCCGGGAAAGAACTGTCTCAAGTCGTGTAATAAGTCGATCTTCCTGGGACAACTCTAAACGTTGAATTGCTTGCTCGAGTGTTGAGAGCAATGTTGCAGAACTGGTGTTTAAACTCCCTGCTGCGTTGGAACCTGGCGCCGGTGCCGGAGTGGTGAGATCCGTAACATTCTGTTTATTGACTGGTTGAGTCGCCGGAACTTGATTTCCTACTATCTCGTGGGAAGTTGGGGCAGTTTGTAGGGTTGTCGGGACCGTTGAGGCTTCTTCGGAATTCATGTTAAGTACTCCAATGTGTGTCGCAGGAATATCAACGTGATGGATGTATGCTGGTGGGGGCGAAGATGATTGGTTTGACTCTGGCATCGTGGATCGACTGGAATTCGTGATACAAATGGTTTTCAGTAGGAAGGAACTATGAAGGAACTCATGGACTTTATAAGTCTTCACAATGGCAAATTCAAACAACTACTTATATGAGGAATCCCTCAAAGAGGAGTAGAAACGGAGATTAAAAATTCAAATGGGGCATTTGGGGCATTTGTACTCGGTAGACCCCATGAATCTAGGGCCTTGCTTTTCTGTGGTTTATTCTGATTACGTGCATGTTAAATTGTCAAGGCTACAGTGTAGGTCAGCATCGGGTGATGTATTTGATTCGACCATAGTTAACCGACAGCTGAGATCACAGCATTTGTGTAACAAAAACGAAAGGTAGCCGGCTGCAGGTCGAGTGTGTAAATAACCCCATTGTTGAAGGGTGGGCAGGTACACTTTTTGGTCAAGTGTATTCCATTGCCGAGTATAGAAATCAATATCCCACGGTGTGAATAATTACAGCATAGCCATGCATAAATTTACCCTCAGCTCTTGAGAGGAACAGACCCAGATTTTATTTATTAACTTGGCGGTACTAAAGCTCGATGGTGGGTAAGTATGGACGTGAGATTAAGGAATACGGAGGCTTGGGGTTCGTATAACTCAACACTAGAAATTGTAATTATATACACTACTCTAATTGACATTGACTGACTGACCGACTGACGAATGGAGACCGACTTGCACTAGAGCCAGCGAGGTAAATGAAAAGGTACATATTTCAAGTTATTCCATGATTTCTTCCGAAATATGGTTCCCGCAAGGCTTCCCAATGACATTTTGTACATATGTGTGTGATAATACAACACCAACGCATGAGTCCTTTGGTTGATGACATTTTCACCGGCGTAAGCTTTGGGTGTTTAAAATCTCTATAAGCCGGCCAACAATCCGTCTCGTCACTGGCAGCGGTACCTCCATTGAATCTCAATATACCACAACGAAAGAATCACCATTGAAATTTTACAGAAATGAGCTCTTGCAACCTTTTCTACTAGCTTGTTGCGTCCTACCTCAAATTGTTAAGGCAGTCAATAGACTTTGATTGGGATTCAAGATACAGAGTAAATGAACGAAGAAAGGAGCCTCATAGACGAGGCTTAATAAGATGCTCATGTATTCATATTTGAAAGTAAAATTTAGAATAGGGCAGAAGGTCACAGCAATTGACAAATACAATGACATTAACATATAACGAGACGTTCCAAATGATATACATAGAGAGTCTTGACGCAACCGAAACGGTCCAAGATCTTAGTCATTTGCAAAGTTGTAGGCCCCCAGTTTTACCAAGCATCAGCGGGGCAAATATATTCTAGCTTCAACGCCCAATTCCTTGTGCAATACTAATATTTGTATATTTTATGACAATGAGCCGCAATGCAGGTACGGAAATGAAGATCACCGGGCGCGGGCGATCAAATTTATTTAAGCCACCGTCATCAATTTCAGATTATGATCTTCAAACCAAATAGCCTCAATGCCCCAAAGCCTGAGCCTTGAAGAATGTGCACACAGGGTGTCCAATAGTCCGGAATGCAGTCCGGCAACAAAGGGCCTTGGATTCTTGAAACTTTGAGAATCGCTTGATGGTTTTGAATTTCTTTTACCAAATGAATTCAGCTTTCCAGACGATTTCAGTATTGCAGATAAACTCATACCTTGAACAAATCCAATGTAAGTACAACACAGGATCCAGAAATCGAAAATCCTTCATTGCTGGAATGCAGTTCGAGCTATTGGTACATGAAACTTCCATGCCCCCCGAGCTTTTACAACTCCACGGATACCACTGTATCCCATTCATGTCAGATAACGGTGAGACTTCTCAAGATACCATACATGAAAGTCGAATGGGCCTTGCAAAATGACCGTATGGAAAACAGACAGCTTTGTATCCTAGAATAGAAGTATTAATTACGCCTGCTCCAAAAAGCATTTCAATGTCTAGACAGTTCTGAACGGTTGAAGGATCACTCTAGGTACGAAAGAGCAGAGATCCTTTCAGAGGCCGAGTGTCGACGTAATCCAACCTTATCATCCAGAATCTGTCCCGATGATCAGTACTCCGTCAATGTCTCGCAACAGGCTATACATGTGTAGTACAACTGCGGCAAGACAACAAAGGTTGCAAGACGAAAGACAAAAATAGTATAATTGACACCAAACAGGAACGCAGACGACGATAATCGATATACAAAAGTAATGCCATTCCACCTAAAATGCCTCAAATAACTCCTCGTCGCCGGTTCAATTGTAGTCCGCCAATTGATATCAGACATTGGGTTTCCTATAAATACCGGTATGGGCCTCTCTTTCTGCTTGTCCACTATCCGTTGGATCATCGTTGGAGCCCTCGTGTCATACTGCCGCATAACCCCCTCTACTTCCACCCCCTTGTACGGTACTCAGAACTCTTCTAGACCAGTCCTTGAGTAGGTATGGGACGTCGCGAATCGTATCGCCGTGAGGAAGTAGGTCCCAACCGCGTGCGCCATATCTGTTATAATTGAGCCAGGAACCAAATATTAAATATGCGGCAGTCGAAAGGAAAGCACTGTTGAAGATTTGTTAGCTTCTCGTCAATAGCTTTAGACCCAACGCCGAAAGAATGTCCAATAAACAGGGAGAAGAGACATACACAATAATGAACCAAGTAAAAAACCCCCAATGTGAACTTTTCTTATCATCACCACCACCATCCTTCGGTCCATCCTCACAAGCGTACTTTGTGCGCCATGTCAATCTTAGTATATCTGCATCGCCCTTATCCTTATCTAACCTCAAGAATTGGAGACTCGAGTCATTACTTGGCGCCCCGATCACTTCCTCACCGCCATCTTCTTCCCTCCTGTCGAGATTCTCTGCTTGCTTCTGTTTCGGCTCTGGCGGAACCCATAAATTTTCCAATCCAGTCCGGTTCGCATCGCAAATGAATTCCACAATAGCTTTTTGCGGTCTCTTGGTCTTTCCGCGTCCGATGAATCCACCGCCCAGCTCTACACGTAAGCCTTCCTTATCTGCATCTGAATGGGCTTTGGAGTTACTGAGTCGTTCCAATTTAGCGTTGAGAGGACCCCCGCCATAGTTTTCTAGTTCACCCGCGAAAGGAACGATTTGTTGTGTCGCATCGGATCCTTCTTGTTCGTTGATGACATGCGTTATGCCACAGACTATTACATCAAAGATATTAACAAACTGAGACTTTTGCAGGTAACACATGTCACGATCAACCAGTTCGTGGCTAATGTTCAACGAGACATGATTAAGGAAAGACATAACTTACCCCTCGTCCCACCTGGACACTCATAAAAACCCTTCTTGACTATAGCTTGGCAGATATCGATTGTGTATGTTGTATTCGTCCATCCTCTTGCTTCGTCGCCAACGTAATCTTCAACACTATGTAATGCCGACCGTGGTCCACCTAATGGCTCCAAATCAAAAGGTTGTCCGTCGACAACTATGCGTTTGCAGTCTAAATTTCCGAGGGCAGTAGAGAGAAGAGGAAATAAGAGGGTTGAAAGGACTGTAGCTTCGGTAGGGAGGTAGGAAAGTCGCATGGTTGATACTGTATGGTTGATATTGTATTAGAATACCGAAGTCCAGGTAGACGGACGGATGGACAATGGTCTTTAAAAGTTTATCAGATATCACGAATTAGAAGAGAGGATATCGACTTGGAAATCGATAATCGCGAATGGGAGAATATTCGTTGTTGTACTCAAGTTTGAACGAGTATAGTAATTATGATTATGATTGTGATTATGGTTATGATTTTGTAATGGTTGGTTACCTAGGTAGGTAAATTTGCTGTTGTTGAAGCTCTCATCCTTCTTCATCTTGGGGAGAAGATGACGGTGATTACCTAAGATATGGTCAATAATCACGTGAGGATGTTTGCGGAAAAGATTTAATTATTGTCGACTCAACCCTTTTTGATTGATTGATTTAAACTTGTGCAGCTTTCTGTATTCGTACTCTCAAGGAGGTTAACCAGTCTATCATACTATTAGCCTACGGCTCCCAAGGATCGATGAATTAGGAAACTAGGTCACCTATACTGGATGCCCATAACGATTTCGATATTCATCCATGTTGGATAATAGCGTTCTCCTCGCCCAAAAGTTCGACCTTCCCCAAATTCGAGATACTACTGGCAAAAGATGACAATATGCGGACGATAGGATAAGCAGTGATTATTAAAGACGTTGAGGACATTGACCCTTCAATTGAGACTCTTCTTCTTGAAAGAATCGCGCGCCTGAATCTTCTAATTGTGAATCTCTCAAGGTCGAGTACAGCGATGTTGATGGTCTTCTTCTTCTTCCATTGACTTGGTCACACAAAATGCGTATCAAGATCATCATCACTGACATCTCGAACAAACTACGCCGGCTACGGCCACGTTACATGGGATTGAATGTTCCACGAGTTCTACTTACAAACCTGAAACGCCAGCACAACCACCATTCCATCATTCTGACGTTCCTCGCGTTTGTTCCATGTGGCAAAGAAGGTTCTCTTGGGCGACATATACCTAAGTATGTAAAGATATGTGGTAAATTGATTGAATCATCTATCTATCAAAAGGTTTCTTCTGGTCCCTGGAGGCTGGAGCACGATAAAGTTCAACACATTACTTATTAGTCTAGCTAGTTGATAAGCCAAGTCATTATGAGCCGACGAGAAGCGAGTTTATCAACTGAGGATCAACAGTGGTCCAGATCTCTACCCACGATTTTATGGGTGGTAGAAGGAATGGGAATTTTGAGTTGGGAAGGGAATAAAAAGACTCTGCCACTTTGCCAGTACTCTGCCTATCAGGCCCTATCAGGCTCTATCTGCGTGGAGCGAACCGCGACTTCGGTCGAATTATGGGTCATACAATCTCAAGCCCAATCCCGCTGACAACCGCCCAGAGTGGAGCCAAAGAACAATGTTGGTTTTCTATAGCAGGTAGGACCTAGCGGATGTGTTGTGACTAGTGTCAGCCCTTTTCCCCCACTATGTTTTTGTACCTGTTGGACCGTGGTGAAATTCTTCTCCTTTCTCCACTGCATAAATGCTGTGTTGGTGAAATCACGCGGTTTAAGATGAATCTCGGTAGGGCAGACATAATCTGTGGATTAGATAGATGGCCGATCGGGGTCAGTGGAGGTACCGGTAGTATTTATGTATCGCGTGTTCCTACACTCTCCAATCTTTCGTTCCTCTCTTTTGTATCTTTGAATTCCATAACTCCATCCCTCACTTCGATTGTTGGTAGAAACCACTCACTCATCCGTAGCGCGCTGCGCTGTCTTGCTTTGCCTATTCCAATCTACTCATCTCATCACTTATCAAATCGACTACCCTCTCAATCATTGATCAACATACACAGAATCAGAATCATGGTTGTGAACACTTTCATTCCTCATATCGCGAAATTCGCCAGGTTTTCACTTGGCAGATTTACAAATCGTTGGGCCAATGAGGAAGAATTGAAGTTAGTCTTACACTTCCCATTGTCTATCTCCTATCCACAATCTTCTGCCCCAAGATAAATCCGGACCAGGGTTCAAGAGGGGGCATAGATAAATTTAAGAGGAAAGTAATGAAGAGGCCTAGACTAACTAAGCTCTCTTTTCAGTAAACCTTCAATTCTGAAAGACAACAAGATGCCCAAGGACGTACCGGCACAGTGGAATGTTTTGAGATGGCAATATCAAAGCGAACTATTGATGGAGATCAAAAGTATGGATATGGAGAGAGCAAGACAACAGCACGCGCAGGGAGGGATGACTTTGGAGATGGTGGAGAAGGTGGAGAAGGTGAAAATGACGATGGGCGATAATCACCTTTGGATGTGCCCTGTGTGAAGTGTTGCTGTACAATGGACATGGGAGGATGTGATTGGCGATATCATGAAGGGGAAAGGAGTACATTTGTAACCTGATGATCATAATGCACTACATGGCGTTCTATGTCAGATGGAAGTTTCCACATGGTGCCAATGGCTTGAGGAAATTTGGAGTACTCGCCGGATACCAATGGGCAACTTCGAAAGACAGGAAAAGGACATAGATATGACTGCTGGCAGCCTACTTCTACTTATTACACAACATATAGCCACAAGAGTAAACAGTTAATTCTCACACTTGTGGACTGGATAAGTGATTGCTCATCTCAAATCAAATGCATAATTCGCCCCTCTCATTCACGTTTTCTTGTCTCAAGCTGATTCGAAGAAAAAACTTTTGAGTGGACAGGAATGTGAAATATTCATTTTTATATTGAAGTATTAATTATACGCCACTAATTATACGCCACGCGAAACCCATCTGCTCCGATAACTCATCGCTGCAAGGACGACCGAAAAATCCAAAACCCGATGTCGAAGGAGTGACAATGCTATTTAAATGTCCATTGTATCACTTCTTCATAACCATAAACCCGACCGTAGCTATGAATCCGACATAACCTCTTCCTAGTTGCGCCTCCTAATTCATCTTTCTCATAATTCATTCATACCATCATTTGACTCTCTGCATCCTTTGAATAATTGGTGTACAGTACCATTAGACTGAATGACCACCGCAGCGTCCACTTTTAACTAATCTCTCAAATTCAATGAATTTATCGCAGGTCAACCTCGAAAGTCTATCGTATCGATAGATGCATTGACAAATCACTGGCCGAGCTAACTTCAACAGCCTTGTGGTGTCGAAGCGCCCAAGTCTTGCGTCTTATCTTCTGCATATGTCTTTTGTTCAGTAGGATATGTCGAGGCACCCTTAAATCGATCATCGACAGTTCGCATCTCTTGGTAGGCTTTTTTCAATTCTTCCTCATGGCTTCTGAGCTCTTTGGCATAGGCACGACGGGCTTTAAGTCTGTAATTATATTAGTACGGCATAACACAGAGCGTTTCACTACTTACTTCTTGAAACCGGGTACCATATTAGGCATGTTAGGCATATTATCAATTCAATCTCGATGCAATTACTTAAACTAAAACGGATGCTTTGTGTATGTGAGTTGAAGTCCTCAAAATATCGTGGGGATGAGGGGCAATCGTTGATGAAAAGAAGAATGATTATGAAATGAATAATTCATAAATGTTCATGGACAAACATCTAGATACATATACCTACTGGTATACCTACAGCATTTCTCAAATGGATTGACAAATATCAATATTAAGTTCAACTGAAGTCAACGTCATTTCGATTGATTCCATATTCCCGAATTCCAGCAATCGAAAACTTTACTTAACCATATTCCCACTTCTCTGTCCAATCATTAATTGACAAAATAAATGAATTACCGGATTTTGCTCGGGTATTATGAACATGGCTTCTCTGGCTTCTCTGGTCTATAAATCAAAGCTGATCAACTTCCACTAAATCATCGTTTTATGCTTCTTCGGGATTTAGTGAAGATATAGTAAAAACGTTGATCAGGAACTGGTGGAGGCAACAAAGAATCCTTGGCTCCGGCACTTGACTAGAGATGAAGCATCTCCGGATGCATATAAGTAACGTAGGATAACTCGTAATAAGTACATGTACATTGAACTCTGAGCAATGTAAGTTTCTTGGCTTGGTCATGTTAGAAAGGCCTTTGTAAGGCTCGAATGTTTGCAGCTGAATCCTCTTCTCCTAGGGAAAGAGTCACCAATCCTATTGATGGAGAAATTTGATACAACTTGAAGATCTCGTTGCAACACACAGTGGAGTTATGTGAATGTGGCGATGTTCTTGATAATTCGGGTAGTCTCTTTTCCGGGGAGAAAGTGGAAGGGAAAGGCTTATTTGAAAGCAAGCTAGCTCATTACAAAATTGACTTTGTATACCTATTCCCACTTGGCATTGATTGATATGGCAAAAGACAAAGATAGAGACCATATATAGGTAACTATCAGATGACAATGAGTGCAGGTAATACAGATTATTATGAATGTCTGTAAGAACTATCTGTCTATCTGTACTGGAAACTTGAGGACAATTTGTCATTTGTCCATGATGGAAGGATGAGTGAAGAGAGATATTGATAGATGATGGATAGATGAAGGGTATTTGAACTGAATATAGATGATGATGATGATGATAATGATGATGGGGTAGAGATGTCTTGAAGATGGGAGAATGCTGAGCCAAACAGCTATCCCGGCCACCCAGCTATTGAAGGCGGTGTCCAAAAGTGCTGGGCGGTGTAAAGATAGAATGAGCAGAATATATCCATTCAATATACTTTCACCCAAGTCTATCCAGAATCAATAAACATCCTCCTTATGAACAAATCAACATTGACAACATTAACAACATTAACAACCTCCTTGATCAACTAATCAATATGCCTCCATTGCGTCCTCCTACTGTCAACTATCAAGATCATTTCAGTATTGATAATAATAACAGACGTAGGGGTATCACAGACTCATTTGATCGAAATAATTTCACTTCAATCCCAGCAAATATTTCAATGGTTGGTGATACACAGGATGATTCTGACTTGACTGGCATAGAAGGATTGAGTGAAGGTGAAGATGAGTCTGAAGGTGACAATGTGATTGGAGATATAGAAAATCTGGATGAGGATGAGGATGTAGGCTTGGAAGAAGTCGCAGTTGAAGGTTTGTTTACAATATTTATAGCTCTGCCCTGCCCTGCCCTGCCCTTAGCCTTCCCCCAACATCAACTGCCACGGAAAGAGTAACCACAACTTTCTCTTAACCTTCAAGATGTCTGCTCGCACTTCTTTAACGCCAATTGGTCAACCAGCGCCTGGTAATCTACCAGTACAGGTTCCAGCACTCCAACTTGACTGTATTTAATTCCCGTTCCAAAGACCAGTGTACTTTACCACTCACCTTGTATCATCAATCTAACTTCTCTTCAAATCTAGCTACCATGGATAACAAACCACCATTCGATCCTGCCGCTCTCGGATTGAAGGAAATTGGAAACTTGGCTAGCTGGACTGTTTCTAGCAGTAAACCTGGTTGTGGTGTTATTGCGCTCAGAGACGATGACACCAATCTATTTTGGCAGTAAGGGTTTTCCTTCATTCCCATTCTTATTATCACATCTCACTCAATACCGTCTGATAGCTTATGGCACATTCACTGACACATTCTGCCCGCAGATCTGACGGACCTCAACCTCACTATCTGAATATTCACTTTGCCAAATTCGCAAAGATCCGCGCCATTCGAATCTTCCTCGACTTCGAAGCCGATGAGTCCTACACTCCAACCCGTATTCAATTGCTTGGCGGCACAGGCTACCACGACCTAATTCCTTTCTCTGACCTATCGTTTGCTCAACCAAAAGGCTGGATCGACGTTAATCTTGATCACGTAGGAGGAGGCTCAGATGGCAAGACACTTCGCGCATTCATAGTGCAAGTCAAGGTGTTGGAGAATCATCAGAATGGAAAGGATACACATGTTCGTGGATTGAAAATCTATTCTCACGACGAACGTCATGAATCTCCTCCTCCAACATACTACGATGGTGAAGATGATGACTCCTGCTCATCAATCGATCCGAATGAATTCGGAGGACCCGACGATGATCTGAAACGTGGAGATGCAGGTGGTGACGATGATCAATTCTGGAATGATTTTACACAAGCCAGAATGGGTGGACTTAGAATGCCCGATTTGAGCGGTTTGAGTGAGCCGAATTTCATGTCAGAGCCAGAATTGCGTTAATATGTTACGATGACCTGGTAAATGCTGTATTATCAAAGGGGGTATTACATTGGGAGTTGTTAGGAGTTTTTAAGATACCCTGGGCTTATAACACTACTGAATAAATGACTAATTATAAGAAGAGCACCCTTTCACGGCTTTTGAGTCTTGTTCTATATTGAGATGGATAGCCTTCGGAGGTTCGAAGGATTTTTTGATTATAAAAGGCTAGTGCCCCTTCGAAGTCCGCAACATGTCTTTCGGAAAGCATATTCGTATCTTCTTCAATGGTTACTTATGAATCTTCAATGCCATGAGGTCGAAGCGTATTCATTGTAATGGAGAACAACTATTTCCTGGGATACTTCTGTCAATTTTAAGCTCTTCAGCCCACTCAGTTCTTTCTTCGTAGGGGTTTAAATTCTGTCATACCTCCACCACGTCTATCCGGGTTATTCCAAACTTTCAACTGCATAATTCGATGGGATTGTGGACAAAGTCGTGTCTCATGAAGAGCTCGGCCAACACCAAGTAAATTCCGATTGACTGAGATAAATCCAACAGCGGTGCTAATAAGAAAAGCAAAAAGATATATCATACACTTCTGACCACAATCAACGTTTCCTCGGCGTTTGTCTCGGGGTTTGGTAATATTTACCACCTATTTTCATTTCTAGAGGTCATTGGAGCGGTAGAGTCCTCAAGAATGTATGGCTTCCAAGCCACGGCAGCCATCCACAATTCTAGATTCAGCTTGGCATGGACTCTACCAGCAGTGTGTGTCGAATGGACAATAAAGCTCACGTTTTATCTGGCCCAATCTGCTGGCCCAATCTTCAGCTTCCTGAATAATAGTTGTACAAGAAGTTGGTTAATTTAACTATATAGATTGCGCATGACTTTGTTGGCTTTGCGATCAGATGTATTACAATCTTTGTCTCGCTGGCGGGTGGTCATTTTCAATATTGATGCGTGCCTGAACTTCATATCCTGTCCATTTGCACAAATGCAAAAGTAAGCGTTCTTAACGAATAGCTTCTTGCAGCCAGAGTCGGTCAGCCATACAAGACTAGTCAGTAAAGAAAGAGGCGAATTGATGAAAGACGCTCGATCATTAAAGAGACTCGGGAAAATCGGCAGTAGAAGATATAGAACTGACTGAAAACATCGTACCTGACGTCCCATTGTATTGTTAGATCTTGATAGAACTTGAAAACAATGTGTGTGTCTGAGGTACACTCATTTATTGAACCTAACATCTGCTGTAAAAAAGACCTGAGAGAAAAGACTCGGAAAAAAGCTCACCGGTGAAAGAGACTCTGATCCAAAAGGCTGCCACGCAAGCGCTACTGGCACCAAATGCCGACTTCCTCAAACACTTTGATCAAGAACCAAAAATTCAACAATTATATCGTCAAATAGCCACAATATGGAAGTCAAGCATAGGGGTCTTGCACTTCATTTCTCACAAGTCGATTTAGCCGAAAGAAAGTATATTTCCTTTATGGCTTGGAGAAAATGTAATGTCACCAAATCTCGGGGAACTTGGGCTATATCTGATAATTTGCCTTTCTATACCTGAAAACGTAATTTCCAAACTTCCAAACTTCAAAGAGTTGCCATTCTCATCTATATATCTGCCTTTTGAGTCTCTATTTCACGTTTCACAACTGGTGTTTAACCTCTGGCTTCACGTCAATTGTCTCGAAATGCCTACCCCAGCCTACTTTTCTAAATATCCCCCTTTTCCCTCCAACATTCCGGTAGCAAACGTTCCCGTTTTCTCCTTCTCCAAGCTTGCTACCAATGATGAATATGAGTCTCATGCTCTTTTCGAAGCCAGTCGCCATATAGGCTTGTGAGCAACTCCAGTTCTTTCTTTCTACCCCTCTTGATCTCGTTCAAATATTCCGGCGTGTAATTACTCAAGAGAACTGCAATATTCTAGAGTATATCAACATACAACATGAGTTCAGAGTGTCAAACAAATTCATTGTTGAACAGTCCGAACTATGCGAACCTTGGTCGAGTTAATTATTTGTTTTTTTACATCTCTTCTTCCATTCAACCGAAATGCGCAATCTTCTTCAGAATAGCCATTAATTGAAAATTACCGATCCTTTAACGTTTTAGCTTCCAGCTCGACTTCACTGGGTGTCTTTTTGGCGAAGAGTTCCTAAAAAACTCAGAATATATGTTTGATCTGAATGCCGAATTGTATGCACTCCCTAAAGAGGAGCTCAACGAATACGCCTACAATCCTCCCGTTTCACTCTTTCGGTACGAACCTTTTCAGGTAATCTGTTTCTTCCCACACTCAACGTATTCTAGTCTCGAAATAGTTTTGGGCTAATTCATTATTGTGTCTAAAACTAGCTACAAACCCTTAGGTTATCACAAGATTGGTGAAATCGGAGACAGAGTTGAGCTGTACGGCATCAGTCGCGATGATATAACTGGAGCTTCTGAACCCCTTGATAACCCGCCGTGTATTGAACGTTCTCGTCCGCAGCTAAAGACATACATCGAACAGGCCAATGGCATCGTAGAATTTGTTCTTGGACATTTAGAAAAACATCTGGAATTACCTCAGGGGACATTTTCGAAATTGCAGCCCATGACGGAGCCAAGTGGTAGCGTTCCGTGGATGTTGAAGTATGAGCCGCAAGTGAGTAAGATGTTTTTTCTTATTTTGCTTGTCCCTTCCGTGGTCACTGTTTAACAAGTTGTGGGAAGTATGTTTGGTGTGTCTGTTGAAGAGCTTTCTGCTGCATCAGTCGACCTGTACTCGTTCCTTTCGCCATATATACCACAGCTTTGTACCTCGGAACTTTACTAACTATTACCAGCCGCCCGATGATCGTCGTACCGCCATGATGGGGCATACCGATATCACCGCACTCACCCTTCTCTTCAGTACAACCGGAGGCCTTCAAATCCTCAACGATGAAGCGGGTACGTATCAAAAGCGCAGTACACTATCCACAGTCCTGATTACTGACAACTACTCCATCGTTCAGACCCTCATCTCGAGTCTTCTTGGACTCATATTAAACCTCAGCCATCCACTTGCATCGTTAACCTCGGTGACGCAATGGTAGAATGGACGGGTGGGATTCTTCGCTTTTCTATGCACCGCGTTACCGCCGCCCCTGGTGACCAAGCATATGTCACTCGCTATGTGGTTGGTTATCTTGCTCGTCCTGCTGGTGATGTTCTTATGAAACGACTCACGGCTCCTGAATACCCATCTTCCCTCATACCACCAGTTGAGGAAGGAGAAGAATCAGGCAATGACATGAATGCTAGAGATTGGGAGTGGCATAAACTCTCGTCGGTTAAGGCTGGTAATATTGGGGGAAGCTTGGGGGGTAAACCCTTTGAGCCAGAGAGAGATCTGAAGGAGCTGTTTCCAGTGATTATTAATGCTATTTGAGAATTGTACTATGGAGTGTGGGCTTAGAAATCAAGATTTTATTATGTCTAAAGGTCAGTAACTTCCAAAGGCCTAGAAAGCTTGCTTAGTTCTTCTGCTTAATTTCTCATGAGTTATTTGCCTGTCAACACTCTGTCAACACTGGAAAAGCTACGGTCGTAATTGTATCGCTTGTTAATCCGACAACCATTATCGTTCTTTTTATGGGAAAGTCATTACCGGTCAGGCATTCGGGCCTGAGACTAGTCCCGTGTACTGAATATAGTATGCTTGAGTACGATTTGTACTATCGCTTAAAAAGTTTGTGTATTTAACTACACTTTCTCGTAGTATCGGAGTTTTAATATCAATTTATTTCATTTACCACAATCAAAAGATTCCTCTCGGCATTTTTCATGGCTTCTGACTTCTGACTTCTTTCCATGATTGTCGGTTATAGGCATGAGTAGACTCTGCGTAAGAGAAATGGTGGCCGGAATGGGTCTTTGTGAATAGTCAATATGTCAGTACAATCTAATTTACCATGGTCTGGAATTTGGACATTACTTTTGGGATTTATTGGGAAATGGAAGAGATAATCAAGGGAATGTTCAAGAGTATGATTCACATGGTCCGAATTTTAGCAGGCTTTGGAATATTGGACCTCCTCGGTCTGAAAGTCAGCTTCCTGTCTATCCATACGTCCAATGTCTCTTTATTTACAGCAGAACAATTCAAATGCCTCCCAGACGTTCTCCCCGTCTAATTTTCATCGCCAAGACTAGCCAGCTGCTTTTCTTCCTCGTTCAACGCTGCTGCTGCCTTTTCCCTCCGATCTTCTCTTGCGATCGCTCTCATTTCTCTCATCCACGACGACTCTCTCAATTTCTGATTGACTTCGTCGAATCTCTGACATCTTTTTGCTTTGCTCATACACCAACTAGATTTAACATAGCCGATAGCTAGTAGTTCGAGCTCTGCGTCCATTTTATCCTTGGACTCTTCCCTTTTGTCTTTTTGGCACTGAACCTCCCATCTGCTTCTTCTTTCCAAAGCTTCCCTTACCATTTGCGCATGTTTCGCTTTCAACGCCTCCATCGTGATACGTTTTTGAGTATTGCTGGGAATAGCCCGTGAGAGACTCTTCTTGAAATTCTGCTTCTCGATTAGTTAGTTCATCACCTGTTAGCTGGAATATATCTTACTGTTAAATCGATATCCTGAGATAAGGTGTGCGTAGTCTTACACCAAAAGAGCTCCCGTGAAACAATAGTATGTTACAAAACCAAATTCTGGATAAGTTAGAGACTTTTATGCGATGCGCTTGCACTTTGTTGTAGATCGGGACTTGAATAATACACATCAATGCACATGCACTGTTCTGGTTATTCAGAATTTTGATTGTACCGGTGTGAGAACGTCTCTCAACTGCTAACTTGAATGTGAAGTGCATGCAATTGATTGTGTGGATTGATATGCCGCATTCGACTTTATTTGCAATGACCTCTTATGCTACGGTATTAGTTGAAGGAAGAATCTATCTGCAATGACCTCTTATGCTACGGCACTTGTTGAAAGGAAGAATAGGGAATCGGTTCAATACCTAAGCTCAGCGTGTCTAAAAAGAGCATTGTTCCCCTCCCTCCTAGAGTCAAAGTTCAGCTCTTGCGATATATCATCCAGGTAACCGGCTTTGATCGTATGATATCTGTTTAAACTAGTCCCATACGAAAGCACAGAGGGTAGCGGGAATTGGCTCTTGCTGTTGATCCAAATTCACTCATGATGAATATCAATCCTTTCTGAATAATGCAAAGAAAAGAAATCCATATCACTTAGCAACTCAGGAGGACTCTGTATGGGAAGGTCTCGCCATAATCAGAGCCTCAGCGAGCCATCAGTCCCCTAAATCAATACCAAAGAAAATACCAAAAATATATCATACTTCGGGTGGGACTCGAACCCACAGCTTTCGACGGTCATAATGATCTGAGTTATCAGAACAATATAAGATCGACACGCTAACCATTCTGTGAATTTAAGGTCAGTATGAACTTTTCGAGTGAGAAGAGTTGGAGAAACTTACGCGTCACCGAAGTTTGTCAAGTTTGTCAAGTTTGGCATGTTTGATAGTTTTTGCATGATTATTCAAGAATTTAAGTATTACTTTGAATTAGAGGGAAAGAAAAGAAGTGAATTGAAGTGGAGTAGAGTTGGAAAGGGTATGCCACAGTGGCACAGTGGAGCAATGCGCATATCTGTCGAAGGTATATAACACTGGAAGGAGCGACTCGCATTTCATCAGGATATGATATCGATCCAGCACAGATTAAATTGAGGTCAAGATGTTCCTTGCCATTCAATTCATATCAACATCCTTCCAGTTCTATCTCTTCTATAGCAATTCAAAAAGTATTCAGTACAAAAATCTAAAACCTCCATCAACAACGACTACCTCGCCTTCACCTTCCTCGTCACCTCCACCTGGAGCTACTCTGTCATTGACTCCTTCTACGATCCCCCCTTCGTCTAACTTCTTATTCAATTTCATCAAATGAAACCTCAGTACCGTTGCAAATATGATCGATAACACTGACATCGAAAGGTTGACATACATTGCTGTGGCGTAACGAGGTGCATCGCTGCCTGTGAGGAAAAGTCAGAACATGATAAGAGTAATGATTTGTATGAAACATCGAAGGGGCTTGAACTTTTCAAGTACATCACTTACTAGGATAAAGGTATGGTGAATAGATCTGGGCAACATTACTTAGCGCATTGATACCCGCAAGAGCAGCAGCACGCTTTGATGGAGGTCGAGGAAGCACTATGTATTATTAGTCTTCGGAAACTCTATCCGGTGTTCTTGATTCGACATACCATTCGAGATCCAGCTAAGCGCAACCACGTACCCCGAATAGTTCGCTCCAACCATAACACATAGTGCCAGGTATCTTGGCGCAAACTTACTCGTACCTGCCGCAACGGCGAAACTGATGAACGCCAAAACTGGAGGCAGAGCAACGTGTAGGTATCTTTCGCCGGTTGCGTCTGCATGCCAGGCATTACCGAGAATTGCGATAACCCCAATGAGATATGGAGGTGTTGTCAATAGAAGTGTTGTGATGTTATCCTTACCCAGGCCTTTTACAACGGATGGGAACAGAGTCGTAACGGCGCCGGCGGACGTGAACCCATAGATTGTGGCGAGTAAAAGCCATGCTTTGGGATCTCTGAGAGCAAGCTTGGCGCCATGCAAGAAAGTCTGCTGCTTACTATCAACCCAGTCATCTTGTCCAATATCTTCCTCGAGTCTCCATGCTGCAAAGTCTTTTTCGTCATCCGAGAGCCAACGTGTCGTTCGTGGAAGATCAGGAAGGATAAAAAAGGCAAAACAGGCAATGAAGACCTGATTATTGTTAGTAATTGGCCTGTTGTAGGATCTCGAAGACAGCATATGGTAACGTACTGTAACTGTACCCTCGACGATGAAAAGCCACCTCCAAGCACTGAGTCCTTTGGCACCATCCAAGCCATTGGTGATACCCGCGGAGATCAAACCTGAGAATGCACCTGAGAGCAGAGATCCCGAATAGAGAAGAGCTGTTCGTTTCACCAGTTCTTTGCGTGTATACCAAGCCGAGAGGTAGTACAAACACCCAGGCTTGAGTTACGGTTAGCTCAGGGAAAAGTAGCGGTAAGGTGACAAATGATGACTTACAAAATAAGCAGCTTCAACGAAGCCAAGAATAAATCGACAAGCAAGCAAACTACCATACGTTTTACATCCAGCTGTAGCTCCAGAAATAAAACCCCAAATTACCATACATCCAGGCAGATACAGCGACGGCTTTCCAAGCTTGTTCAAAAGGAGATTGGATGGTACTATTTATATTCTAGTCAGTAAGATTTCCATACCTTTGTTCGTATCAGAGAAAAGATATTACCTTGCATCAGCAAATATCCTACAAATAAAATGCTAACAGAAGTCTGAAATTGATCTCCCGTCAAGTTTAGATCTTTTTCCAGTCCCGCTAATTTTGCAGCTGCGATATTATTGCGATCAAGATAATTCATTATATAAATAAGCACAACCATAGGAAGTAATCTGGTATCGATTTTGCGCATCAATGTAGTTTCAATCCTTTTACGATCTTCTGCTGTAAGATTCCGAACATATGCTGGAACACGATTGGATTTGTCGGGTGTTAAGGGGACATTCTCAACGAGCTCGACCTGACCATGATGGATCTTGGTGGCGGTATCTGTTGTTTTTGCAGCAACGCCAGAAGTTGCCATATTTCATAAAATGTAGCTACTGTGGTATTGATTGGAAACTGATTCGAAGTGATATCGATGGTCCAGAAAGCTAACTTGACCTTCTATGAATGTTTAGGGGTCTTTAAGCATTGACTTTCTGCCAAGTATTCCAAGGCTTACTGGGTAAATGATAGCTTGATAACTCTTGTGATCAATGAAAGCTATCGAAGCTATAAAGAAGCATATATGAAGACGCTACTCAATATGCGGGGCCCCGCACTCCCTCTCCATTACTGTACCCCACGGCTCACGGAAAAGCAGATTGTAAGATTACAATTCACATACGCACTTGACAAATAGACATATCAACAGTCACTTCTAAAGTATCATATCCGGTCGAACAGTAATTTGAGCATGCAAATCACATATCCGATCGGCTATTATTGTACGATCTTCTTAAGCCAACTCTCTAGGCGAACGAAGCTTGGATTGCGAATCCGTTCGACCGGAAATGTCAATGATTCAGTGCGGGGAAGCAGAATGCCAGCACGTCTTGGCATGGTAGTACTGGTTGGAACTCCCGGGGTACAGTGGTTGATACATACGAGCAAGGAAGGTAACATGAACAGGGCAAGGCTACCTGATTCGTCGTCTAAACCTGTATACTACCTTCTGATAGCTTCACGATATCACAGTGGTCCGTAAATTTAGGGCAAAGGAATGCAATAATAGGTGAGGGTTTTGCATCGAGGATGATTGATAACGGATATGTCCGTGAACTGTGGTGTAACGTTATTGTCCTTTCACAATTGAAAGATTAAAGCACTATGCGAAAACAAAATATTCTCATACAGCAAGTGGAAGTACATCAGGGAGATCACCATTCCTTCCTCCAACTATCAACAAATTTCTTGACCAAACCACTTCCCACAATATCATAGCCATTCTTTATAACCTCCGATCTTAGCCCTGTCTCCTCTGTTTTGAAAACAAGTCCTTGCCGGCCAGGTTTATCATTGTCATATTTCTCGGCAAAGAAATCCAAAAGCTTTATCGTTGGGTTCTTATCCGGATCTTGCTCGCCTTCCCTTAGTAACTTGACCCATTCTCTTTGACTGACAATATTGAAGCTCAACCCTGCTGCTTGTAATGCAGGAAGAAGGTCATTGGTCCAGGAAAATGTGTGGGAGTTTTGTACGTGGTAGACGATACTTCTTGTAACCGAGCCTTGCGTGAGAACTTCTGAAGAAGAAGTGTTAAGACCAGATAGGTCCAAGACCGCTTGAGCAACAATATCGGCAGGTAACCAAGAAGGAGTCTATGTGCCGTTAGTCCTAGTAAGAAAAACTTCAGTGGGGTAAAATTTACCTCTTCCAAAGCCGGCAAAGCACCAAGCGTCGTGGCACTCCTTATCATCAGAGAGATAGCTTCGGTGCTATTCCACAGCCCCTCAACCGTATCTCCAACAATTTGCCCAACCCTCAAAACCTTTGCTTGCATTCCAGTCTGTCTCGCAGCTTCTCCGATTATGGTTTCGGTTACCAATTTCGATCGTGCATACCCCATCTTTTGAGCATGATTCAAATTTGTGATAAATGTTTCTTCGATTGTAGCAGGTAAAGGAGTGCCCGCCGCCGCCGAAATTGAGGAACAGAAGAATAGCCTAGCGGGTGAGTGACTACGAACAGTAAGGCATAGATTGAGAAGGTTCACGGTTCCTTTAATATGATGGGATTCGAAGCTTTGAACACCAAGATTAAAGTTTACAGCCCAAGCACAATGAATGACCATTGTAAGGTCATCTCGCAACGTTTCGATTATGGAGGACTCGAGGCCGAGATCCGCGTGGCTGAAATCTGATGGAAAACAATGAACTTTTAAGAATGTGGTTGGTGATATCTTCTTGCTTGAAAGAATATTTCGGACTCTGTCCTCTGCCTGTTGCTGGTTGCTGGCTCGAACAAGGCAATATACTGCTTTGACGGATTCTTTCTGGATGAGTTTGGAAAGAACATGTGCGCCGAGCGAGCCGGTAGCGCCAGTCAAAATCTTAAAGTATCGTTAGCAAGCAATATGTATACAGTGTATATCATAACTTACAATTGTTTCCCCATCCACGACTCGGGAACCAGGAATATGTTGGTCAAAATGAGAGTATTTTCGAATCAGTGCCTCCATGACCTTGATCTCATCCTTCTGCTCTGATATCTCGCCTTTCCGTAGAGCATCCAAATGTTCAGCCAATGCCTGCACATTCGAGTGTTCAAAAACCACGTTCTGACTTGGTATCCTGGAAGCTAGGTCCAGTTCTCGCAATATGATACCTCGCACTGCAATTGCTTGGAGGCTGTCAACGCTAGCTTCAAAAAAATCGGTACTCTTTTCAAGATGTTGACTAATCCCAATCCTTTCCTTGAAGGTAGCAAGTAGAAAATCCTCTAATTGCTCTCTATTCAATTGAAGGGCACCATTTTGAACCTCTAGTGGTGTCTCAAAGCGTTGGTACATCGAATTTATTAAATCTTCGAATTTTTTGTAGAAAGCAGGTCGAATCATGGTTCCTTTGTCGGTGCAAGGATATTCGACACCAACTTGCAAAATCTCCACCATCTCTTCAGAGACCTGGCTGAAGGCCTCTACTCTTGAGTTTGCTGCAACTACCACTGGCCAGAGCTTTTTCAGCAAGCTCTCTTTGCTTAGACCAGTCGCTTTCTCACTTGGAACAATGATCAAACCGGGGAATGCCCGGCCAACACCGAACACACACGCTTCTCTCACGAGTTCGTGTTCTCTAACTTGATGTTCGTATGTAATTGGAAGAACCTTCTCTCCGTTGACAAGAGTAATACGATCATCTAATCGTCCAAGATATTTCCAGGCATTCGGAATTGAAGGATGAGGGGTAAATAAATCACTCGTTTTGAAAGAATTCGGTGGATCTTGGGAATTTGAGGCAACTTTTGACGGTAAACCATCCAGTACCACACATTCAAATGTATTCGATGCTCGTGGCGCCATTTGTATGTATGGCATACATGATGGCAGAGGTCGAACATAGTTCCATGCTGTATCTTCTCGTGAGCGAAAGGAAGTCATGAGCTGGCCTATCTCGGTACTGCATACTCGGTCAGAGTTTGACTTGATGTAGTAGTTTAATGATAGTATGGGTCGAACTTACGCGCCATAATGACCAACCAAGTAAACGTCGGCCTGTGTCAAACGGTCTCCAAGATCATCGGGACAACTACTTCCTCCAAACAAGACTAGCTTACATTTCCGCAAAGCTTCAATTCCATTTTCCGACTCCGCAAGTAGTTTTAATGCATAAGGTACACCATGGAAACTTTCTGGGTTCACTGCAGCCATTCCGTCGATCAGATTATTGCCCGTCAATGGTAAGTTGGCATTGAACATGGAGATCTCCTTCACCGAGTGGACCGCCCTGAAGAAAGATGAAAGTCCATGGTTATGATACAAAGGTAATGTCAAAAATGCCCGATAGCCAAAACTATTCGAGTAGTTGGAAAGGCACGCCGCGTGTGTTTGAAAAATTGGTTTAGGGAGTCCTGTTGAGCCCGACGAGTGGATGATAAATGAATAGCGGGTCGAATCTGAAGGATTCCCAATGAATCGAGGAAACCGCGGAGTTAATGGGGCTTTGATATCGTATTGGGATTGTTTCAGCACGGGATATTGAGTAATTTCAAGCTCAGTTTGAATCGATTTAGTGACTTCGCTGTGATTATCTGAACTAATGATTCGCTTACAACCTGTCTTCTTGAGAAGCGAGATGTATGCTTCTGGTGCTAATCTGTTAGAAAGCAACAAAACTGCGAAGTCTAGACGCGTCAAGGCAAAGATAGTGGCGATATAATCGAGATTTGAGGGTGCTAAAAGGGCAACGATTTCTGCATCGGAATTCTTCTTTGACTAAGTCACGATCATTAGTGAGGTTCTGCAGTTCTGACGTGCATACTGACATTGGGAACGAGACCAATTGATGTATACGCATTTGCTCCATGGTCAGCAAATCGATCAAGGTCCCTCGCCGTGTAATGAACATAGTCTGATCGTCCTCTAGAGCTACCAGGATATGCCACTAAAGGAACATCTGGAATTGTCTGACTTCGATTGTAGATCAAATCATCGATGGTGTATAGAGGACGGCTTGGTATGGCTTTTGCTGTTTGGGAGGAGCTCTCTAACCTCTCCTGCGGTACTGGTACTGCGAATGTCCGAGTCTCGACCATTGCCGACATGATTTTGAAATGGAGAGTGTAACAGGTATAACCTGCAGATGTGATATTGGTTTGGTGACACTTGCTGTCCAGAAGTATCACATCTAAAGGGCTATAAATTAACTGGAGGAACGAACATTTATGCTTGGATATATTGACGGCATCCATATAATATGACAAGCGTCCGTGCACCACATGCATATCCGAGATCCGGAACTAGGAAAACGACGAATTATGGATTAATTTCGAAGTAACAAAACTGATCAAGAAGGAAGCGTGGTAATCAGTCAATAACCGGAGTTGTTAGTCATTCCCATATTCCATTGATCATTTTGTTCTCCTGCAAAAATAAAATCCAAGCCACCTACTCCACCAGTAACCTGTAAAGGAATAAGCATATGCCCCATTGTGGTTTGTGGTTTCATACAATGACTTACCAGAGAATCAAATTCGCCCCAGCTTGTGAGAGGATCTATATTTACAGAAGGACTAGACTCAATATAGTCGCCGTCAGCGCCATCGATTGAACCTGCTGTTGCGATACCGCCATTCACTAGCCCAGGAACCTCACTCGGCACAGTAATGCGATTTGGGTGGGAGAAATTCGCGGTCTGGGTGATTTGAGATCCATAGCTTTTTATCTGCTCCCGGTGGTCTGTAATAGCTTCGAGTCTGAGTTCCTCAAGAACTACACTGTATCTTTGCGCCAAGGATTCATTCTTGGCTCTAGACGAAATCTGTGCATGACAGCGAGCAGCAGCTTCAAAATACTCGATATACTCTTCTCGAGGGCGATAACGGTGTTGAATTGTGTACACATAGAGCACCACAACAGCGCAGAATGCAAAATAATGAGTAAACTAACCAGGTCAGCAAATATTTTGTTGACTAGTTGAAGGAGGGAAACTCGCCCAGAATGCCTGGTACATCTGCCCGACCTCTGTTAGATGATTAACTATGTTAGTAATTTCGGTTGCAGCCTGTAAACAACTGATTACATTCTGGTCCGTAGGAGTGTTGGTTGAAGTCCCTTTAGAATGATGCGAATTCCTTTTGTGAAGACTGGCGAAGTCTCTCAATAGGAAGGGTCGATGAACTAAGATCAGTCCATGCCAGTATGACATATTCAAAACGTTTCGTTGACGTTGAAATATAGGTATCAATAGAGATGAGTCTACACCCTCGGCATCCAGGAACCCGGAAATTTTCGCACGCCAGTCATGAAGATCTTTGCAGTATTTATCTGCAAGAGAGAGACGAGCAGTGGATGACGGTGGACGGATGGAGTAGATATCGCGGAGAATGTGACTGATTATCTGGGACAACCTAAAAATAAATGAGCATATGAGCACTGTCTCGATCTTCTTGGACTTACATTCCATGAGCTATGGGTGCCATCATAATTGATTGTGCCTTAGACTTGTTAATGTGGACATGCCTTGAGGTAAGATCCGAATCATTGATACAGCTCGGGAGTTCCTAGGACATAATATCAGGGTTATAGAGCACAGTCCTGGTATAGGGACAACTCACTTGATCTATATCATCATCGTGAAAAGTCCGAGGTCTTCCAAGAGCTGCACTTAAATAATTGTCAAGTGTATATGCACACCAAAATACTCGCTTTCTACATTCTAGCTCAATCAAATCCATATTGAATTGAGACTCCAGACGTTTCTTGCGATGGATGCCGAGAGCAAGGATTAGATGAGCCGTGGTCCCAAACAAGCTCCAACAATGATTGACCCTCGATTGTGACAAGAGATAGAAGCATTGACAAAGACGAGCTTGAACACTTGTCAAGAGTACCCCTCCGGTTTCTGATGTAAGTTGACGATCAGCGGCGTGGAAGTATCGGGAACTAGTGCGCTGTCAGCTTGGGTTTCATAAATGATAATACAATTGTTACCTTGTATCAACATCACTTGATTTATCATCGCCCGGCATGTAATCTTTCGCTTGAGCGAATACCATAAACAAAAGAGCAGTTCGACCTTTAGCACCGCTTGTCCGTTGGAAGGTTCCCAAATTATCGTAAAACTCATTTAACAATGCCTCAATAGTCGGGCGATGCAAAAAGCGATGTGTCGGCACCGCAAAATCAAAATACCTTGCAACAAGATTTCTGGCATCCGATTTGGGGAAAAGAACAAAAAAGGAGGGGTCAAACTCTGGCAAAGGAGCGTCACCAAATGTGAATATTGATGAAGTCTGGGAAAGAGCAACTTCCCGGTGTAACTTTTTCTGTACTCGCAGGAGAAATGATGCCCCAGAAGAAGGACCCACGTAATGTCCTTGCAAGTCTGTTTGCGGAGGCTCTGGTGAGTTTCGAGAAGATTGCATTCTTGAATTTTCATTAGAGCTCTCACCAATGGTGGGCTGGAGTCGTGCCAATGTTGATGCAGCTACAGCTACATCGTGGGGTATAGCAGCAAATTCTTCATTCAATGGACTATGAAACGCATTGTGATAATTAGGGAACGATTTGGGTACTTCAATCACGTGTCCATGTTCAATGTCGGCAGAACTTCCTACATTTTCAGGTATACCTCCCTGGTAATCAGGATGCTCTTTCTCCTTAGTAATAGGAGGTATTTTCCCACGACGATAGGCTGCCGTGAACTCACAGATCAAACCAGCAGAGCTACAGAGATTGCAAGGTTGATTTCCGCTGCATCTTGTCTTCTTCCTTGAAACACATTCATCAGATAATTCTCCGCAAAATTGGGCTTTTCTCTTACCTCTTGCAACGATCACAAGCTCGACTGACACGAATTCTCTCGACTTCGTCCCTTTTCCGTCTTTTGGCTGAGGGTGCCGGCTGAGACTCTGCGCTCTCGTCCCTTCGATGAGTATTCTCAATCGTTGGCGGAGAATTAGCCAAAGTGTGTAGTCGTTGAGCTTCCGCCATTACGATCCGCATTGTAGATTTCACTCAAGCTCCGAAGCAAAAAAAAGACTTCCGAAAAAAACGGATTTCCGAAGGGAGCCGCAGGATCATAGTTCATGCAAAACTGTTGGTAGTCCGGATATTTGGGGATGGATGGTGCGGGGAAGTTGATTTTACGACCGGTTAATGCAAATGACAGGGGGTTCGGGTCTCCCACTCTTGACCCCGCGCCAGCTGCATTTCCGAATTTAGCCTCTAACACATATCCGCAACAATTCCAGGTTTCTAATCATGATCGACCATGCTAGCTCGGCTGGGTATACTAGCTATTTGCACTTACATTTGTACTGAACGGCAATTGCATCCGTTCGCGGAACGAAGAGACAATATGATTGGCTGAAGAAACTGAAAGTATCATCTTTTGCAGCCCGGTGACCTCCCAAAGCTATTCTACCATTCTCTAATCTCACCACCTGGACCAATGAACCCAGGGCTTACCCAAGGCTCTGCTCCTTGCGAAAGTCTGCGTACTTGCTCCTCATCAATATTTATGCCAAGTCCTGGTCCAGTCATTAAATCAATATAACCATTGGTGACCTTCCAAACCTCGGGATTGGTTGTATAGCTTGTAAGATCCTGACCACCAACATTGTAATGAATTCCCAAGCTCATCTCCTGAATAACGTGATTTGGACAAGAAGCCGCAATCTGAATATTTGCCGATAGAGCAATAGGTCCTAGAGGGCAGTGTGGTGCAAGAGCAACATCATAAGTCTCAGCCATAGCAGCAATTCGTTTCATCTCACTGATACCACCACAATGACTGATATCTGGCTGCAAGATATCTACAGCACCAGCCTCGAGGAATGGTCGGATTTCCCATCGACTATGAAGACGTTCGCCCATTGCAATTGGCGTGCTTGTTAGTTGTGATAAATCTTTGATGCCACCAATATGTTCCGAAAGTAGCGGTTCTTCCAAAAACATCGGTCGATATGGTTCCAGAGCCTTTGCCAACTGTTTTGCCATTGGCTTGTGAACTCGACCATGAAAGTCAACTCCTACGTCTAAGCCCAGCTCTTTAACAGCTTTCACTCTTTCTATGCAGCTATCCAAGGCAGATGGCGAATCAAACCATCCAAGATCCTCCGTCCCATTCATTTTGACTGCTTTGAACCCTTGATCTATTCTGGCTTGACTAATTCAATTAGTCTTATGTCGAGAAGGTTTTGAAACAACTTACGCTTGGCTGGCAATATCAGAAGGTCTATCACCACCAATCCACGCGTAGACTTTGATCTTGTCTCTGACCTTCCCACCAAGCAATTGATAGATGGGGACATTTAACTTTCTAGCTGGAGATATTATCAATAAAAGTAATTAGACAAATAGATGAGGCATACCTTTCAGATCCCACAGCGCAATATCAATACCGGACAGCGCACTCATAAGAACAGGGCCTCCACGATAGAACCCACTCCTCCAAGACATTTGCCATATATGCTCAATGTCACTAGAACGGTCAGTCACTAAAAATAACCACTCCATAGTCTTTCGAAGCACTGGAAATATACATACTCAGCCTCCATGCCGGTGTACCTTGCGATATAAGCATCCAAACAGCCTTCAACAGCTTGTGTATGGCCCTCAAGAGAGGATTCGCCCCAACCTACATTTCCAACATCATCAGTGATTTTGACAAAGAGCCAGCGAGGTGGTACACGAAAGTATTCGATGGATGATATCTTCGGCATAGTGAACTTTGCGATGAATGTGTAACTGTGAATGGGCAGTCCGGAAGCTTAAATGGGCAACAAGCTGGTGCCGAAGACCGGAAGCAAGGTGGGGTAGATCCCGGGTAAGTGTTGCATCCACACATTTAAGATCCGGTCGTGAGCAGGGGGGGTTCTATTGCAGGACATCGGCTTATTGGATTCTTCTATTTTGCTATTCAATAAAACTCAGTATTCTATTCATGTAGAGCGCAACTTTCTCTGAGCTTCTTTCCAATCCTCGACACTCTTCCTCAAACTCTCTGGGCTGACCTCACCAAAGATATCCACTCCAAGCCGTGCAGGGAAGTTATATCGATGGTTCCGATCCAAAGAGCATATCTTCTGGAAAACATCATCTGGCAATTCAAAGTCTAAACCACAATTAGCTTGACCAGCACCTGTAAACTGAGCGTCTAGGTATGACCGACCTTGAAAATTATCACTTATTCGCTGTGGTGTAACGGATTTAGGAACAACGATGGTGCCTCGCTGAACTGCCCAACTAATGAGAAGTTGAGCCGCCTGCTTTCCCAGACCTCTTGCCAGGGAAACCACAGCAGGGTCATCAATGCCTCTTGGCAAGTTGTATATATTGTTACCAAGGGGGCTGTAGGCGGCTACCGCAATGTTCTGAGATTTATGCCATTCCAAAAGTTCAGGTTGCTGGAGATAGGGGTGTGCCTCGATTTGATTGACTGCTGGTGGAATCGTTGCAGTCTCTAACAGAGTTTCGATCTTCTGTCTGGTGAAATTGCTAACGCCGATACTTCTAATCTTTCCCTTTTTCACAAGACCTTCCAATGCTATCCATGTGTCTTTGATTGGGACATCGATGACTATGATCTCCTCGGTTTTTGGATCAACGGGAAATGGTTCCTTAGACTGTGGGAAGGCAACAGGCCAATGGATCAAATAAAGATCAAGATAATCAGTTTGGAGATCTCGTAATGTTGTATCAAGTGCGGCTTCTACATCCTCGGGCTTATGGTCTGTATTCCATAATTTGCCAGTGATCTAAGTACATTTAATCAGCACTTAATAATATGTAATGGGGTAAAGTGCTCACGAATATGTCCTTCCTGTCTATCCCTGATGCATTGATTCCTTCTCCAACTTCGGTTTCATTTCCATATACCGCGGCTGCATCAATATGACGGTATCCCACTTTCAGCGCATGTGCCACAGCCTCCTTGACTTCGTTTGGTTTTGACTGCCAGGTCCCTAAGCCAACAAGCGGAATGCTGTATCCTGAGTTCAACTTGATGGAGCGATTGAGGGCCATGGTGTGATGAAAATGGCAGGCTCTCTATTTGTCTTTTGAGTTGATATAGTGGCAGATGGCCGAGATTTTAAAGACTCATCAGAGCTACTGTGGATATACCCATAACACAGTAATGATGTTTTTCGCTTTATCCGTAGGCAGGTAGCCCGGATATGCTTTTCCGTTTGCATTGGTGGAAGAACCGACCGGACACGATCCGACGATTGCCAGTGGTCAAATGATCCGAAAGGTCAAATAGAGACATTATGTCGAATCTTTGATAAGATGAAGGATATCAGTACTTCTTATATATTCGTGAACCATTTGTTGACTTAATATTTGTTGAAGTGAATCGAAGCTTGAATCAGACTTGCAATCAAGTAGTAATGACTAAGCAAAAGCAAGTACCTCCCGAGGGAGTTTATGTTCCTGTTCCAACCTTCTTCCAGCCATCAACAACACCACTTTCCACCAAACAGGCGGCAGTAGATGTTTCAACTCAGGTTCAGCACAGTATTCATCTTGCCAAAAATGGAATCCGTGGACTTGTGCTTCTTGGCAGCACAGGAGAAGCCATCCATCTTTCGCGTGCTGAACGATCCGAATTGATCACCGGTGTCCGAAATGGACTTACCTCCGCAGGCTTCTTAGACTACCCTATTTTGGCTGGTGTATTGACGAACTCTCTGAATGAAGTATTGGAATGGTTGGCAGATGCGAAGGAAGCTGGAGCACAATGGGGTCTTGTCCTTGCGCCTGGTTATTTCGGTCCTGCTGCGAACCAAGAGAACATACAAGAATGGTACAAGATCGTGGCAGATGCTAGTCCTATTCCAATCTTAATGTAATGTCTATTTCACTCCTGTGCAATCAATCCTTAGCTGACTTGGTTATCTGTGCAGCTATCATTATCCTGGAGTTACAAACAACATCACAATCAGTCTCGATACATACGCGAAGCTCGCTGCTCATCCTAATATTGTAGGGTGCAAGATGTCGCATGGGAATGTTTCACACCATCTACAAGTCTCCTTGACGCCAGATATCGATCACGAAAGTTTTCGTGTATTCAGTGGGTTTGGCCAACAACTTGGGCCCATTGTACAATTTGGTGCAGCGGGGGTGATTGATGGGCTTGCCGCAATTTATCCTCGAACAGTCGTACGTTTGTTCGAACTTGCGAAGAAGCGTCCCGTCGAATCAGGAGAATTACAAGAGTTGCTGTCGCTTCAGTTTTCTGTCAGTCGCGCAGAAGAATTCGTAGTGAGATGGGGAATAGTAGGGATCAAAGAGGGGGTTTATCGAACCTTAAAAATGGGAAATTTGGAAGGTGGAAGATTACCTCTAAGGGGTAAACTGCCTCAGGGAGAATGGCAGTCCTGGGACTTTGCCACGAATGTCATGGAAAAACTCGAGAGTTCAATAAATCCAGGACTTTGAATAGCTAGTTTTAAATGCCATCCTCTTTTCGTCTTCTAGGTTGTTGAAAATTCCCCCTTATTCATTTTATTTCCTCCACGTTTCCGCCCGTATATCAGTACTGGCTATTTCGAAATGATATATCAGGCGTAGAAAGCGGGAGTAGTTGCATCTCGTTCCTTGACGTATTCTCAACTTTCCCCTCACTTCGGAAATGTTTCGTGTGTCAATATGGTTCAGATTGTGTCTCACTGTAAGTCATATCCTTTCTTCTTTTCTATATGTCTTTGCTCCCGTTTTAGTAGTTCATTTCTGCCATCTCTGAACGCATGGTATTACCATGATTATGTCCTTGTATCGTGGGATACCTCCCAATCTGATTGTTCTCTTATCCTTCATCCTCTTCATTCTCTTCCGCCACTGAGCAGCCAGTATATTGCTAGAAATCGATGACAACACGAACTAGCTGCGTTTTTGATAAAAACCCTCTTGTCAAGGACGAGCCCGCGCAGCACGTCCAAACATCGTCAGGATTATTGTGTTCAGAACAAAAGCCGTTGATCCATCCGAGATACGAGCAACAACTACGCAACTAGTGATGATTGGTTGTAATTGATTACTATTGGTGTTTAACTGGTATCATGGAGGCAAGCTCCCAATCCCCAAGGATGTTGATATCGTTAAGTAGAAGAATCCAAAGTGGAAGGATTAACAGGAGTAGGTTCTTCGCCTGCCCGTTAGCAAGAAACTCGACACAACTCCACAAAATCACACTACCCCGGCGCCGGATCGATACACGAAGAAACATATTTTGCTCATGGGGGTAAGTGGGTATATTCTTTCGTACTATAAACTCGTTGCTAGGACCGAAACAGACAAAGGGAATGGCTTCGAGTTGGATGAATGGCGCATGTAAGAGTGCCCTGTCACTTATGCCCCACGGCATTCTTATTAGGGCTTGTCAGCAGATTCAGCATTTAGCTGAGTATAATTACCAATGATTCGATCAAACTGACACAACTCTGGCTGCGGCGATGTCGCCTTGGCAACGATACTCTATGAACACAAGGAGCCAAAATAACCCGGATCTCACCTCTTTCTCAACGATTATAACCCTCTCACAGGTTTTTACGGTCCAATGCAGTAATGGTGTCGGCCAGCTATCACGATGCTTTAATTGCTCTCCAAACTCTACTATTACTTCATCGAACTCTCCCACTTCGTCGAAACGCACTTTACCGTCAAGGGATAGAAAAATGAATACATGTGCCCAGATTGAGGTTATGTTTGAATGGATCGCTGGGTTTCCATACATGTGCATCACATTAGACGGTATTGATATTGAATTAGCTCTGCTTCATCAAAGACGTGTTAGATGGAAATGGTAAGCAGCTGTCCAAGCATATCGCAACTAATATATATGAACATTGACCCTTCATCCACAATGTTTCTCTCCCCTTTATCTCGCAACCCCAGTAACCGATTTCCATGTTACTCAGAGCGTTCAAGCATCCATATATTCAACCTGTTTAAATCGTAATCATCAAGTTCCCCAGTTTATATTGTAGATCCGGCAGCAACTTGATCCGAGAAACTTTCCCCGGCACAGGCCTGCCAACACGGCATGTGAAACAAAATCTTTAAGCACAGTTCCCCGGTACCCGATATTTTTCCAATATATACGAGTAGTTATGTTAAAGTTTGATTATTGGAGGCGAATTATGAAGGGGTTGTATCCGTGGTTCGTGTGGGGTATGAGAAGTGTTTGTTGAATGGATACAACTTGAACTGAATCAAAATAATTTGACAGATCTACTTTGATCTTTTCAATCGTGGGTGGTCACCAAGAGATATAGAAATATCTTTCCCTTCGCTCCACAGCCCTGTCCGACCGAGTTACTAGACAAATGAGATTGGTGACTAATAACTCTTAATTGATTTAGTGCATGATTAACTGCGAAACATTTGAATGTCTGTGTGGCACATCACTGACAGCTAGTCAATACATAACAAAACGCACAGAGTCCCAAGAAACTATTTTTTGAGCTTCATAATAGTAAACAAAGGTCGCTGTCAGAATCTTTATATCAACTTACCTGGATTTCGTTGTTCACTGTGTCGAGTATCGTTTATCATTAGAGGACTATTAAAGTTTTTTCTAACTGGGGACGGGTATTTCCTCTAGTCTCTTAGACTCAACATCATCAAAGTCGAGTTCACGAAACACAACTACACAAAGATTACTGTGCAGCAAGCTCAAGACTTCGCAACAGTACCTCAAATTATCAGATATCGTGGCCACTGGTCAGTAGGGAGGGAACTTTTGAGAAGTTCCTAAGGAAGGTACGAGTCAGCTCAACGACATAACGAAATATCAAGCATGACTTCAACAACCGCCGGGGTAGACCATTTACTGCTTGGTATGTTTTTACTAATTATTTCCTTCCCATCATCTCATTATGATTCCTTGGTTAATAAGATTCAGGGGTTCAAGAGTTATTCCTTTCGATTCCGCACCTCATACGTCCAATTCTGCTCACTTTCGCTCTCTTCTTTGCTGTGTCTATATTCATGTGCGCAGTTGCATACGGATTCATCACCATTAAATCAAGTTTATTTATGATTGTCAAAAATTCGGATGACTTGTGGTCGAAATGGATGAGGAGGATTGTCGCTAGTGATGAATTTATTGGAATAGGGGTGTTGGGGTATGTGGTGGTTGTTGCGTTTGTGGTCGGCAGAGGATTGGATTTGGTACTTGGGATTTGTTGGTAAGGGAATCAGAATCAGAGATGAATTAGTGGATAGATATGTAATGGACGTGAGAGTATGAAATTCGAGGCTTGAAGGTTTGGAAAATACACCGTGTTAGAGGAACGATTGACATCGTGATGTTGAGAGTCGAATCCAACATTCAATTGTAATTGAAAAGAAAGATATGGAGAAAGAGGCAGTGGAAATGTCTAGATATGTTAGATTTGAACAAGACTCAAATCAAACAACAATCCGTGTTCGTGGTGAGTGTAGCAATATCAACGAACGTGTATGTAACTGACTATCTTCGCTGATATCTCTAAATCAATTCGATATTTGAGATCAGACGAATATCCAGAGTCGCAGATACTTCAAAAATTGTTAGGCTTTTAGTGTTAAACTTCGATTAGGGCATTCCGGGGTGTATTGTATCATATTATCTGCTCTCATGTTAAACTTTCTTCGAAGAGCTCCGCCTGCTTTGCGAGTTTCGAAGGATTCCATGCGAACGTATATCCAAATTTTCGAAGTACTCGAACACCTACATTAGTCAATGACGGGACGCAGAAGAAGAAAATAAAAAGGTTGGAGACGAAAAGTCGCGAGCGATTTCAAATACGTGATCCCGAGGGGGGGGGGTCTTGACAGACTTTTACTACTAGAATTCCTCCAGAATGGATCTCACATGATAAAATACAAGTATCACAGAAACGAGATAGAGTTATGTTGCGCAGCAAATTAATTGAATATGTACAAGTTATCAAAAATATATTTCAAAGAATACAACCCCCCCAAAACGTCACCCATCAGAAGTGGACGAATTGCTCTCCACCAATCCCCTTTACATTGCATCCTGGCAATCAACTCCTGACTAAACGATTTAGTAGGAAACCAAACCGAAACCAGCGGTGGCGGTAACACTGGACACAACAGTGGAGTAAGCTGCAGCCGAAGCAACGTTCTTTCCTGAGAAATCGGAGAAGAAAGAGTTAGTGCTGGAGCTGAAGGTACCAGAAGAACCGAAGCCGTTGACCTGGCAAGTGTGTCCGAGGTAAGAGGAGCAAGCGGCATTGGCGGCGGTTGATGGAGCAGTGAAGAGTTCACCAGAAATTGGGGACTCTGCGACGACTGGGATGTTCTGGAACACGTTGCCCTCTGCGACAACATAGGCACCGGAACCAATCTCGAACGCGTGTCCGGAGTTGTCGTACCAGTAGTTGTTAACAGCGTGGAGGAGGGTATTTCCTTGAACCTTGGGGGCACGACCAGAAGTGCGGTAGATGTAGTTACCCTTCATGGTGACCAAGTCGTTAGATCCATCAAGGTAAATTCCCCAGTAATGGTATCCATCACAAGTTGCGGAGTAATCCGAAGCTCCGTTGATATAGTTGTTGGATAGAGTGATACGGTTGGAAGCGAGCGTACCGAGAACGATGTGTTGGCGAGCGATGTGGTAAGTTGTAACACGATCAATCCAAATCATATCAGCGTCGTTAATGGTGATAGCGTCACCTCCCCAGACGTATTTAGGGTTGATCTCCTCGATCTTGATGTTTCTAAAAGTTCAAGGTTAGTACAAGGTACTTAGCTAATGTATTTCTGTCTGGTACTCACTGAATGATGATGTTACTAGCGCCGGAAACCATGCGGAGACCCTTTCCTTGGATGATACCAGTTGCGCCCTCACCGATCAAAGTTTTATCGGAAGCAACGCTGATAGCAAGAACACCGGCGTTGTCATAGGTGACAGAGGCAGATGGCGCATTTGGCTGATAGTTTTCACACCACCCACCAGCTCCATCAATAGCCAGTTGGCAGTTTGCTGCAGTACCCCATGGAGCACATCCAGTTCCAGTTGTGGTACCCTCAGTGCCTCTGAAGTTGAAAGTCTTGGTGAGGACAATGACACGAGGAGAGGAATCTCCCAAGTAGGAAACGAGTTCGGCAGTTGTAGAAGGGTAGACAGCAGCTGCAGAACCACCACCAGTAACACCTTTGGCGAAACCTTCTGCAGCTCCATAGACTGCGGCAGCGGCAGAGACAGTTTGTGCGCATGCGGCAAGCGCGGCACTGAAAAGAGTGAATGACTTCATAGTGAAGTCAGAGAATTGACAATATGTATTGAGAAGAGAAGAAAGATCGATGCGATGAAGAAAAAAGAGACATAACACAAGACTTGCATTCTGTTTATATAACCTTTGCAACTCCCCATTCAATGTACTGACACTAATAACTGTCGGCCCCCCTCAATTAGAAATATAGTAGGCCAAGAATTTACGGTGGGAATTTGTTGGACCATAGATGATGCTACTTTGCGCTTATAGCCAAGACCACACAACCACACAACCACACAACCACTCTATAATGAGTCCCTTCCGGTACTGGGAACCACTTTGGTAAGATCCCGAAAGAATCCTCCCACTTCTTTAAGAGTTGGGATGAAAAGAAGTAGCTAAGTGGACGTGTCATTCGATCCATCATCCATGTTGCGTAAACCAGGGGCTTTCTTTTTATGAACACTCCACCTAGTAGAGTTTCATATTGATTCATAAACCAATTATGTCTAATGCACCAAACAAGTTTCATCTCTTGGGTGCAGTTCAGATTAGCTAGGATGTTATTGCCTATCCCCCTAATGCTAAAGAAGAATCTCCTCATCGAAGCTTCAGGCATGGAAGACCAGGTTTAGCCTGAAAATGGAATGCTATTGTTAGAGAAAAGAGATTAACCACATTCAATGTAGAGAAGAGCTCAAGACTATGAGAAGAATATCTAGTCAGAACTTTTGGATGCCCTATTTTCACCATGATTCTTCAATTATCATAAATTTAAAGAACATTCTTCGGATCTGGAAACTGATTGTAATCATGCATCGGATTTTTTTGTGGGGGTTTCATCGCGGTAATATTGACCAGTTGGGATGCAATCTCCATCTCTCCCCCCTGAATTCATGGTACCTTGATTGAGGGGCGGGTCCTCTAGACAAGGAATATCTTATCGATGAGTTGAATTGACAATAATATAATAACGTGAGTACAGTACCAGTAACATTTCGTCACTGTACTGTAGTAACTGTACTAACGTGGACACAATCTTTTGCTGTAAAACTATACTATGGAACTTTCCATATTGGAACTTCTGAAAGAAGTCTTCCGATATTGATACTACAGTATAAATCAAATCCTAGTACCGGTATATCTCATTTCATGAATTTTCCGTATGCAATGCCAAGATGGAATGCCAGGATGGAATGCCAAATACCGTACGAACAATTGCCGGTAGTAAGGTTAGTACTCAGGCGGGTCTTTGAAGAGGGATATACAAAATCAAACAAGCTATCGCTAGCTTGAATATTATATAATTTCATTTCATTTAAAATTCGTTATTTATAAGTTATTTCTTAATTTATATATTAAGAAATAACTTTTTAATTTAATTAAATTCAATTTGATAATTATGAATTCAAGTTGAAATAATAGACTCGGAGTTTCTATTAGTGATTTTGAAGATTTTTATTATAAATTCAAAAGAAAAAGTTTTTTATATAATTTTAATTCAAAATCTTTTAATATAATGAAATCAATTTTTGAATTTTAATTCACTAATATTTTTTATTTTTTTCATTCTTATTATTCCTATCTATAAATATCCTCGAATAGCTTTGAAAATATTGAGGTTTTGAGGGATAAATTCGCTTATTTTGCGTGTGCGTCTTCAAAGACCCCGTCGAGTATAGTATAGTACCATCCAGCTGCTTGAACTCTGGGCTCCATGAAAGACGACAAAATAAAAATAATGTCTAATCATGTTTTCTTCGGCGTCTCTAGTAAGTTCAAGGACTAATCTTGTTGTATTGTAAGCAGCTTAAGCTTAGAAGCTTAGCTTGTTTCATGGGTTTTATCACATAAAACTAACGAATCTGGTTAACCTTTTCCGTTTACACCATTGGTACAAAGTTCAAACTTAACTTACAAAGAGAGAGCTTCGACTATTACAGTATCGACCACATCACCGAGAAAGCCGAATGATATCCACTAGGACTTTGTAACGCTAAAGACTAACAGTCGACAGATAGATTGTCATACCGAAGTTTCTCTCACAATATTATTGTTCAAATCTTGCTGTTTCCGAGTAGCCACATCCATCTAGAATCATGGACGGTGAGGTGTATGAAATCTAGGTCAAAGTCAAATAAACGGGATTGGTTTTAGAGGCGGAAGAGTTCAAACGAAATGTTTCCCTGTGAGCTCGGAAATGGTGGACTACGTAGAACGTAACTAAGTCCCCCCTACTACTTTACAATACTGAATGATTAGCAAACTCCTTGTCGGGGTGTCTATCACATTTTGCATGAAATACCCATTATTTGAGGTTGTATATATTGGGACATCAACCTTTTCAACTAGATTAAGAATGATATCAGGCGCTAAAATTCCAAAAAGAGACCTAACTACAGAAATTATCTCTTAACTTCTTAAGTGATCAGCTTGAGAGCGTTTGCACAATGCACAAAGTAAACCCTGCTTCCCCAGAAATGAAATCTGCTGTGGCTCCTAATTTGTGTAAATCCGGCAGTCTTAGATAACACACGATTCGCCGGTACCGAATTTATCAGAAATAACCCCAGTTTCGAACCAAATCGCCAATTGGTGGTTTCAATTCAGCCTTGATATCTATCCACAACTTTGACGCGGATGGGTGTGGGTACCTTTTCTCCCACTGTATTCAGAATGGAGATTGATTATAGATTATAGATTATAGATTATAAATCCTAGACGCATGGGCTAATAAAATATGAGGAACAACTGAGTGATATTTCAAGAACCGGAAAATCTAGGGTCTATTGTCGGTCTGGAAAGGAGGTAAGATGAGGAGGGAGGCTCGGAAACACGCACGAGTCATAAGTGATGATTGATGTATAAGTCATGATTGATAGATGGGGAGGTCTAATAAGCGACCAAGTTACTAGATTCACGTACGAGTACGAAAGTATATATCGCGGGATTGATCAAGTGATGTGATACCCTACCCTGTAGCCAGCAGATCAATCGACATACCGGTATGCAATTATAGTTCTAAGTAGACGCTTACAGAAGTTCAATTCTCTCTTTATTGAAGTTTATTCGAGGAAAATTAACACAAACTTCACGAGTGTCGGAGATATTTGCGCTTAAGTAGTAACTTGTAAGTCCAGCTGACCAATATGAATAACGAGACTACAACATCGTGAAGTCATATTTATAGGTTATTTCTCTTTCAAATACACCGGCTGTTCAAAGCTTTATGCTACCAAAACTAAGTCAAGGCACAAAACAGTTCATAGTTTCTACTTCAAATTCCATAGTTCATTTACATTCGATTTTAAAATCATTTTTAGAGGTAACGTTATAATATAGATACATGCACTGGTTTTGGCCACCTTTTACCCACCACATGTATAGTGGCCGTGGCTGAACCGTCAAATGTGGGAGTGGGCAAGATGATACTATCGGCCCGCGTGTGGCCCAAGTTAGTTGCTCAGTTAGTTTTGGAGCTGTCTCTTGGCTTGATGCAGTACGGCGTGCATTGAGGGTTACGTAGACAAATAAAGATAAACCTTTTGAAGAAGGCTTTGCCTTGTCAACCAACATAGACATTCGCATAATGTGATAAATACCCCTGTGCTTGGCGAGTATGAAAAAGGGCGAGCATAGTCGAGTATTCAACAAATACACATTCGGGTGATGACTTGAGTAAAATTTGAAAGATACATTTGACACAATATACAAAATGATTTCAGTATACCAATCGCATCAAAGATTCAGTATTACCTCAACTCTAGTCTATGTTTTGGAGAATTGCTTGAGACCACAAGTGGCAAATAGGTTGCAAGTAGTTGGGAAGGTTAGACGCATATTCAAGACCTCAGTAATCAATATGACAGCAGCCTCGAAACCGACTGCCGAGTGTGAGCTTCTTCCGATTTGGGAAGAGAGGAAACACGTGAATGAAAGGAAACCTTAATATAACGTATCATCGTAACCTCTCCTCGCTAGTACATTCTTGATCCAGAATACGAGAATTCCTTCAAGACATTGGGAAGGTATAATCCGCTTTCTAATCTCGAAAAGGCGGGAAAGTTCAAAGGACGGGACAAGTATATGCCGGTCAGCTTTCTCAACTGTTCCTATGAATGGATGATCAGCTATATGGGGAATAACGCGCCTCGGACCCTTCTCAGGAGTTTTCTATGGTCTCATCACTTGAATTTTTCACACCTTTTGTCGCCGACAAAAGCTCTCAAGTGAGATTCACGAATGCGACATTTGGCCTACAGTCTTGATACTTTGCCTCATGCAGCACAGGCCATACTGAACAAGCTTATTGCATTCATTCTTAAATGTTCAATACATGGTTTCTGTATGTGCCACTTGAACATCAACATTGAAACGTAGAACTTGCTTGTCCAAAATCCCAAAAACACCAACCCAATGCGCAATTCAATGGTGAATTTTCAATGCTTGTCGACCAAACAAAAGGCAGATGCTGAAGCAATGAAGTCAAGATTCTCTTAAAACGATCCCCTCTGAACGATCCCCTCTCGTGCAATTTGATTGGGTTGTTGACTCCATTTGCAATAATTTATTCGATACGACAAGGACGTCTCTGGAAATTATTCCATTGGGAACAGTCGCATCAGTAGCTTCACATATAGAGCCTGTTTTGATTTTCTTGACTTTGATGTGATCAGTAAAAGCTCAAAATGCATATATCAATTTCTAGCCCGGCGCAGCTCAAAATTTGGTTACATTTTTGGATCTGAACCTCTATAAGACTATGACGTTAACAGTCATGGTAAGTGCAGGATTCTCTCCAAATCAAGGCCTCTGCGTAAGCGAAAAGAATGAAGGGGTGGCCAGAGCTGGAATTGGTACGTCAATATTCCTGTCTGATTCGAAGAAGAAAGCATTAATAGTTCAGTCCGATTTGGACGATGACCATCGATGTTCTATCTCGATTTGTTCAAAACCAGAAAGGTCATACTAATGCTCCTCGAGACACAGCCTTCACATGTCGGCCTTTAAGGTGCAGCAATAGGAGGGCTTGCAGCAGGCATTGCATTTTCAGTAGTGAGGCCGTAAAAATCCTGTTCATCTTCGAAGAACGTAGAAGAAGGACGTATTTTTCATGGATGATGACGGCCATTTGATAGTTCAATAAAGTAGATATTCATTCGACCCTTGACTAAGGAATTTCATACAATGTAGTCAATTACACGGCTCACAGTGCAGCCACACCGATGAAAGATGACGCATTTCTTGGCTGCTATTCAACACCTTGTACAAAAGCGTTTCTCGCTCAAAGAGGCTGTCAAAGTGTATAAGAAAGCTAGAATACACAAAGCACACTTCAAGTATCAAATCTCATTTTTGAATGGTGCGATACGGCAATTGCATGACGATCTCGCTCTGCTCGCTAGGAAGCCCCGGACAAGTCAATGAGACCGGAACTAGATAATAAACTACTTTGGCGCAGCTCAGATCTCTATAGCGACCCGACGACGTGTAGCTATAATAATGAAAATCCTGCTGATATATGATATGTAAGTTTCTGAACAGAACTCCAACAATGGATGATAAAACACAACTCACAAGAGCACTGCCGATTCCCGAACAATATGAGAGTTGATTCTTGCCAACGGAGTAAGAATCTGGGAAATCTAAAGTGATTTGAAGTTATAGAATGATACTTACAGTTTACCTTGCAGTATCTTGTGTGCTGAAAGATAATCAGGAAGCCAACTGCAAAAGCTACCCTCCCTCCTGTCGTTCCTTCTATATTTTGTTTGATCTTTAGCTGCAGCTTACCGTAGACTCTAACAACGGTAACCTATCAACTTTTCAACTGTGTTATATACGCATTACTGGTATAAAAAATGTAGGTTCCTTCTTGTAATATTCTCCGGTTCTGTACTCGAGTGAGTATATGGAATCGTGGTCGACCACGCCTTATCTCTGGCGTGGTAGGAATGACCAAGGTTGAGTTAGGAGCGCACCTTCGTCTGCCAATCATTAGTCCACGTTTGTAGGTATTACTCCGCACCGTTAGGTACCGGTATCGGTATTTTACTTTTGTATTACAGGGCACGATACCACCTAGTCTTTCGTCATTCCTTTCCTCAAAAGTTCGTACGGTTATTACATGGCTAGCCACGAGAGGAGTTGGTTGATATTATTTATAAAGTTCTTCTTCGATCGCATTTACTCCCCAAGTGAGGAAGACAGCACTTCAATCAAGGTCTCATTGTCTTGAATACATTCATTCCACCAATCATTCTTTTATGTATAGAGAAGTGGGATTAGTGGGGATTTTCGCCTCTTATATCTGTCTCATTTGGGAGAGATGACCAAACAGTTCCTCATCACGCTGATATCAACGGGATGCCTCTTTGATCTCACCCAGGCTGAAGCTGAAAGATCAGCAGGAGGAGCTCAATTGCCAGGGGCGCCATCTTTCGTTGTCGCGTCGGCTTTTCCAACCTCAGTGTTTTCGAGTTATTACCTCGATCCCGCCCCAACTTCTGAGCCCCAGCCAGCTGTGTACGATCCGATATTGAACATCACTTATCCACTCAATCTGACCGATCCTACGACCATCCCGACTGCTGCCGATGATCCAGTATACTATCCACAGGCAATTGGAAATATCAGTAATATCACTCCCGAGAATCTGGTTCAAAATGCGTTAAATGAGATTAAAGACATCATTTATAACGATACAGGACTCTCTAGCAATTGTTCGAAATGTATTGCTGCTTTGAGGGTAGGAAAAACCCTCGCTCAACGCGCACCATCATATGTACCTGATGCCTTGGTTTCGTTATGTCAAGCCACAAACTTTGCAACAAACACGACTTGCAAGAACAACTATGCGCCCGCAAGCTGGGGTGCAATATGGACTCAAGTGCTAGCATTGGCCAATGCTACTGGTCTAGATGGACAATACATTTGTAGCTCTCTGAGCACTTCTTATTGTCTGACTCCCAGTGCGACAATGTTAAATACCACTGGCCTGTGGAAACCGAAACCAGCCAATGCGAAAGCCCCAAAGGCTTCTGGACAACGAAAGAAAGTCCTCCATCTATCAGATTTTCACCTGGATCCAAGGTACCAGGTAGCATCTGAGGCAAACTGCTCTTCAGGCTTGTGCTGTAGATATACCAATGCTCCTACTTCTCAGGCTGTCTTTCCTGCGCCATTGTACGGGTCTTACAAGTAAGCTCAACGTACAATTTTCATTCATTGGAACAATCAAATGACCGGTTTCCAGATGCGACACTCCATATTTTCTTGGGCTTGCAGCTCTCCAATCCATTGGATCTTTGACCGGTACTGGTGGCGGCTATGAATCTGATCCTGCCTTCACAATCTACACAGGTAATTGTTCCAAATGTATTACAGACAATCTGATTAACGGTCTCGCTAGGTGACCTCGTCTCCCATGATAGTCAAAACCAAATGTCGCGTGCCTACGTTGAATATACGGAGACTAGCATCTACTCAATGTTGAAATCCTATATAAACAACCCAATCTTTCCCGTGCTGGGTAATCACGATTCAAATCCGGAGAATGTTGATGGTCCCCACAGCTTACCTGGCCCATTAGGCAAGCAATTTAGCTGGAACTATGATCATGTTTCCTCGTTGTGGCAGCATAATGGGTGGCTGAGTAAAATAGATGCGGAGGAAGCTGCTATCCACTACGCTGCCTATTCCGTTAAAACTCATCTCGGGCTTCGGATAATCACACTGAATACAGACTTCTGGTACAAATCTAATTATCTCAACTTCATTAACGCAACAGATCCCGACGTTTCGGGCACGTTTAAGTTTATGATAGAAGAGCTTCAGGCGGCCGAAGATGCAGGAGAGAGAGTCTGGATCCTTGGCCACGTGTTATCTGGATGGGATGGAAGCAATCCATTGCCTAATCCAACGAATCTCTTCTACCAAATTGTCGACCGCTATTCCCCACACGTGATTTCCAATGTCTTCTTTGGCCACACACACGAAGATCAAATCATCCTGTACTATTCAAACAATGGGACAATTCGAGACTCCTCAACCGCTCTAACAACCGGCTGGATTGGCCCTAGCGTAACCCCATTGACCAACCTCAATTCAGGTTTCCGAATGTACGAGATCGATACCGGATCTTTCGATATCATGGATGCATACACATTTTACTCAGACGTAAATTCCTATTCCAACCTCAATGGTACCGGACCCACCTACCAATTCGAATACTCCACACGAGCTACATACGGGCCTTCTATTTCCTGGCCACAAGACGCACCACTGAACGCAACGTTTTGGCACCAGGTTACGGAGGCCATGGAGGCTAACAGGACGTTGGTGGAAGTATTCAATAAGTATCAGGGCAAGAGTTCTATTAGAAGTCCTAATTGTACGAGTGATGCGTGTGCGCAGGCTAAGGTGTGCTATATGAGGAGTGGTAGCACGCCGATTGGAAGGGCATGCCCGCAGGGGTTTGCTAGTGTACAGAGTCCGTATACTGGGAAGAACTTTTGAGTACAAAGCCTAGGGGAGATGAAGGAGTTTTCGGTAAATAATCTAGAGTGTAGATTATGAGGTGACTGGTCAATTTTTAATAGACTGTTTTTGTGTCCCGGTTCAGAGTCCAATATCCTATTAGAATGCTGTGAACCTATAATCTCATCTCATCCCATGTTCCCATTTCGGATGTCTAGACCGTAGCTCAACACTGAAAAATGCAGTCTCTTCAGCTGCGAGAAGAAGCAATCCAAAATGTGTTCAGAATTTGGAATATGCTATTTTACAAGACTACACGCATCGTTGAAATGTTAAAACAGTGTTCCCCCTCCGCCCCCCCCCAAAAACGTGACATTCAAATCTTCGGCTGAAACTAGATGTTTTGTTCTATAGTTTCAACATGGGTATATATAGTATCACCTTTCAAATTTCAAGCACGATTTGCATATCTTATGGTCATAAAACGTAGAGTTTGAAAGAAATCCTGTACAATCTTCACCACCAATTTATCGACTGTGAGATTCTGTATTTGAAATTCATATATACTGACATGTCTAGACAGTAGGCCATGGCCATTGATATACTCTGAACCCACACACAAATATATTCTCGAGTCCACACTTTAACCAGATTTCTTCCCCCTGATAGCCATAGCTTCTTTACCCAGCTCCTCCAAAGCTTCCTCATAATTTTCCTTTTTATACTCTCCAAATTTCCTCGCATCGACAACAACCCTCTTGACCTTCTCTCCCTCCCTTCTCCCAATTTCCTCGCTCTTCGCAATCTCATTAAAGAACCATCTTGCCTCACTGTTCCCAACCAATGTCCACGCATGACCTTGTCTCCCCGCTCTCGCCGTCCTACCTACTCTATGTACATAATTTGTAATACTCGTAGGAACATCATAATTGATGACGTGTGCAAGATCTGGGAGATCGAGACCACGGGATACGAGATCAGAGGCGACAAGAATTTGAAGTTTGCCACGAGAGAACGAGGCAAGGGAGGCTTTGCGGTCGGATGAACGGGTGGTGGAGGTGAGAGTACCGATTATGTCGGTGTAGGATTCGCGGTATAAGGAAAGCAAACGGCTGAGACGGATGGCGGATTCGTTAGATTTGGTGAAAATGAGTACACCATGAGGGTCGTGACTGAGAGGTAGAGGCTTCGTTTTATTTTTTGGTTTCGAATTAAGTGATGGAGCTGCGGACACTTCTGTATCTAGTTGTGATTTAGAATCAGAATCAGATTCTGAGCTCTCATCCGAGGAGGAACTGTCATCTGAAGAGTCATCGTCTGAGCTAGAATCTGAAGATGAAGTATCCGAGTCGGAGTTGGATTCAATCTTGCTCTCATCTATCATATTATTTCCGGTCAATATTTCCATCAAATACAATGGTTTCAGATTTTCGTCATCCACCTTAACAGCAAATTCAACAAGTCCAGACGGCAGACTATGTGCCTGCGAAGACTGTCCATTATGACCTGCAGATGAACCTTCTAACACCACCAATTTTGGTCGATAAAGCTTCAGGCTGGTCAATTGGCCAATATCTCTAGTCATCGTAGCACTAAGAATAATTTTTCTCACTCTGTCCCTATTGTTTGGAAGGTGTTTTTGTCCTGCCGCTAAAGAGTCCATTACAATGTTCAACCATTGCTGAAAACTTTGATCGAGGAGTTTATCTGCTTCATCTATAACAAGCCATTTGATATATTGTAAAGTAAATCCAGGAGTGGATTTTAAGTGCTCGACCAATCTTCCCGGTGTACAGATTAAAATATCAACTTTCGATACCGGCTCGATGACATGATCAGGTAATGGGGAAACGATCTCGTCGTCTAACAAAGGTTCACCTTCATCATCTGTTCCAGCATCAGAGCACTCCCATCTAGAATTGGTTCGCCTTTCTTGCTCGTGGTATCGTATTGGGTCATATTGATATGTGTTTTCCATAAGATTTGCTTGTTCGACTTTGAAAGCTTCATTTCCTACTGCAGTGCCTATCTTTACACGTTTCCTGCTACCAGCAGAGAACGCGCTAGAACATACCTCACATACCTCACGAGCTTGAGATACAAGTTCACGAGTTGGCATGACAATCAACCCCCGTAAACGAGTGACAGTATTGCGGCTTATATCTTGTATCATGGGCAAAACATATGACAAAGTCTTTCCAGACCCAGTGGCCGCTGACACCAACACATCACCAGGTTTCTGCTCAGATCCAGGAAGAAGTAGAGGAAGTACTGCGGCCTGAACAGCGAATGCTTCATTGAAACTCTTGGACCGAAGAACATTGGCAGCTTCTTCTTCGACTCCTACTTCCGAAAACTGGGCAGTAGTCGTAGGTGAGACTAAAATGGGCGAAGCAAGCCATGAAGGGAGAGTAGATTCAAGCGAAGGAGGCGGGAGTTCCGGGTTGGGTTTTGGTTGGGGCAGTGGAACCAAATCATGGATTTCCGCTGGCTCCTCTGGTTCCTGGGCATCCTCAACATCCAGACCCTCCTCGGCAGCTTTGCGCGCACGCCTCTCTGCCTTCTTGATAGACTTTTCGCGCTTCTCCAATACCTTTTTGTGCCTTTTGTCGTCTACATCTTCTTGATCCCCTGTAGTCTCCTCGAAGGGTATATTGTCGTCCTTCGACTTCTTTTTATTTGATTTCTTGTCCTTCTGCGTCACTTCTTCCGCTTCTCCGGCTGAGTTAATACCGGCATGCGAGTCCTCGAAAACGGGCGAAGCGGACACTGGCACCTTCACAGACTTCTCCTTCTTATCCTTTTTTGCCTTCTTTAGCATGGGCTCCGGACTTGCTTCTACAGCATCTTCGCGCTTTCGCTTCGAGGCAGGTGAAGGCGATTCGGGCGCCGATTTGGGGGCATCGAATCGCGCAATGGGGTCTGACTTCGACTTAAGAGGTGGTATATATCGCGCATAAGATGAGGAGGCATCTGGTCGTATCGCAGGCGCGGGGGGGGGAGAGAATGATTTGAGAGGAGATGGAGGAGCTTCAACAAGTTGCTCTTGTACCGTTACCTTCTTTTTAGAAGGAGGAACATATCTAGAATACATCTGGAATTATATTTGACACTAATTTTAAATTTAACAGCGTCAATTGGTAAATCATGAAACTTTTTTCCATTGACTGGGAAGAATTGAGAGATGGAAAATAAATTTACGGAGACCTTAAGCGACCAAAGTAGTACTGAGTAAGGCTGATGATAACCCCCTGGAAGTCTAGGCCTAACCTTACTCCGTGGAACTTTCAAGGGCTTCATTCATACTTCCTTCACTGCCGATGGTCAGTATGGAAATGCGACGATGACTATCTGCTTGGTCGGTTGGTCTCAGCATTCTTCTATCTATTGTCAATATGCCATATAATATTGCTATGGTCAGTGACTTCTTCTTTCCACAACCAGGAGGAGTCGAAAGTCACATCTACCAGCTCTCTACGAAACTCATCGACCGAGGACACAAAGTTATAATCATTACACACGCGTATGAAGACAGAACTGGTGTCAGATATCTAACGAATGGCCTTAAAGTCTATCATGTCCCATTCTTCGTCATGTTCCGCTCTTGTACCTTTCCTACCGTCTTCTCGTTCTTTCCAATCTTCCGCAATATCGTTATACGGGAACAAATAGAGATCGTTCATGGCCATGCAAGCATGAGTAGCATGTGTCATGAAGCTATATTACATGCAAGGACAATGGGATTGAGGACTGTATTTACAGATCATTCATTGTTTGGATTCGCAGATGCAGGCAATATATTGATCAACAAGCTTCTTAAGTTTACATTGAGCGACGTTGATCATGTAGTATGTGTGAGCCATACATGGTAGAGTTACCCGATTCCCTTGAGAATATTCGAATTTTCTGACTGGTTCTAGCAAAGAAAACACGGTTTTGCGCGCTTCCCTAGACCCTCTCATGGTCTCTGTTATTCCAAACGCCGTCGTGGCAGAGAACTTTCGACCTCTATCACATCCCTCATACCCTCCCGACCCCCCAGGCAAACATGCTCCTCCTGCTCCGTATCCACTTGGTCCGCATGATGTAATCACAATTGTCGTGGTTTCGAGACTTTTCTACAATAAAGGGACCGACTTGTTGATCGCAGCAATTCCTCGAATTATTGCCAGCCATCCAAACGTGCATTTTATCATTGCGGGATCGGGCCCGAAAGCGATTGATCTCGAACAAATGCTGGAAAAGAATGTGTTACAAGATAAAGTTGAGATGCTGGGGCCGGTCAGACATGAGGAGGTTCGAGATGTTATGGTTAGGGGGCACATATATTTACATCCAAGTTTGACTGAAGCTTTTGGAACTGTCATAGTGGAAGCTGCCAGTTGTGGATTATATGTCGTATGTACACAAGTTGGGGGGATCCCAGAAGTTCTTCCAGCTCATATGACAGTTTTCGCCAAGCCAGACGAAGATGACCTGGTTGCTGCCACCGGCCGAGCAATTGCGTCTCTAAGAGCTAATAAAGTTCGGACCGAGAAATTTCATGATCAAGTCAAAATGATGTATTCATGGACAGATGTGGCAGAGCGAACGGAACGGATATATGACGGGATTTTCGGCGTCCTTAGCGAGGCAGAGTTCTATGGATACGATGCAGCTGATGCAGCTAGCTGGAGTGCTACTAGAGGAAGAGCCGGTGTACAGAGTTTCGCTTTGATCGATCGTCTCAAGAGATATTATGGTTGCGGAATATGGGCAGGCAAACTCTTCTGCCTTTGTGTGGTTATCGATTACTTGTTATTTTTGCTACTCGAAGTACTTGCCCCTAGAGATAAAATCGACATTTCTAGGAGCTGGCCGAAGAAGATTCCTCAGGATTCTTCCAGGAGAGATCGTGAAAGTAGGAGGGAGTTCGAGTAATTCGCTTTGCTCATTGTGAATATGTGAGGTACAATTTACACAGATCACGGGAAGACTATTGCTTCCTCTAAATATGAACAAGAGCCATCTCGATTTCATGGGAAAGCGTCTAATATCAATACGGTAGCTTTCCTCGCTTTTATTACAGGAACGCCAGAGATGGCTCCTACAATTCGACCATATAATGAGTCAAGGCGCAGAGTAGCTCTCATCACTTCATCACATGAAGGAGGCAACGCGTCATATCAACAGCTTTTCAATTCGGCCCTTGGATCTTCCTGTTACCGTTAGCCAAATGTTTTCGTGTGATGACTTATGACTATGACTATGACCATCTGACATGATCGGGGTGTAGGAAGTACAATTTCAAGGTGAATGCGGACATTTGGCCCTTCAATGTCCAAGATCAACCTAGGTAGGCATCAAAGCTTCACACTACTACTCGAGTACAAGTATTCGAATCCAAAAGAGGCATCGAAATTGATAAGAGGACTTGACATTGGGTTATTTAATGCGTTAACGAAAATTCAAGTGGGTCGAGGTGGTTATTGATGAGTAGGTTAAATCAGTTTGAAATTGGGAAGAGAGAGACCTCATGAGGATATATGTGTGTCTTCAAACATCGAAATGCATTTGGAATCTATCAAATAATAGAAATGAGTATTGTGCTAGATAAATTTTTTTGATGCAAAACTTTACAAAATTATTAGATAAAGTATTGATTTGGTTTATTTAGTTTATTTGATTTATACTTTACTCAAGTATTAGCAATCCGAGTACTCTGATAATGAAAGGTTTCGTAGTTCAGATTTAGTTTATTTAGCTTAATGATTTGTATACTTTCTGGCGGCAACGAGTACTACCGGTAGTCGGGTTGCTAATAGAACCAATCGCTCGGACCCCTGAAATGCCAAGGGCAAAACATCGATGAATGATCGACTGGTGGGTGGTTATCTACTGTTCAGAATGCTCCAGCCATGAATTGAGTTCAAGTGAACAATTGGAGACACGACTAGTGGGTGACGTCCAGATGCACCCAGAATTCTAGATGTTCAGGAAAGTTTTGTTGCAGTGATTGTTAGATTCGTGTATGTATATGATGGGATTTAGGGGTGGAGGCGTTAGCTGTAGGTCCTCTCAAGGCGAAGCTCTCACTGTTTCTATCCATGTACCATGCACTGTGAACTTCACGAGAGGCCGGCATTCGACGAAGAATATACCCATGCAACTGCTCACATACGTCTATAGTACTTTATCCGCAGACATACCTCAGCAGTGATGGAGTCCCTCCCGTTCAATCCAATGGTTTTTTAAGATTGCCATCAACTCTGCATATGGACCCAACGAGATATCAACTCTTTATTTTCCGAGTCTCAAACTCAAGAGTCTATTTTTCAATTCATGCTGGTTCAACAGTACTGGTTAAATCATAAACCACATTTCTCATTGCAGGAACACCGAGATACTTTTCGAAAATTTGTTCCTGATATCTCACTTCCCGGCAACTGACTAGCTCAATATAAAAAGAGCTATTCTATCCGAGCTTTGATGTGAGATGTGCCAGAGATCTTCAAAGATCTACACGGCTACCGAAATGGAACGACGTCACCTCGTGTGCCACTCCATATTGTGACCTTTGACTTCTGAGAACCCGGACCTACCGATGTGATTAATTGTGTATACTAGGAAGCGTAGACAAGGGGCATTAAAAGCCAGTGGTATAACAAAACTACCTACCAAGCTGAGCTTAAGAACACAGTCTGGTGGGAGCTGATATCAAGGCAATTCATTAACATACCCCAGATCAGCATACCCTAGATTTGACTACTCAGATCAACATAAATATGGTCCATAGGTTGATTATTCCCCCTAGCAATCTCAAATATTTCCTGCTCTCCTCGCCTTGTTTTGTTTTCCCCTTTCCAATTTCTCCATACTCTTCAAAAGTTTTTCAAAATGAAGTATAATCTTAGCATAATGGGTCTCGCTCTCAGCGTCACCAGTACCATCGCATTCCCTTCACGCATGTTTGATACTGCTCAGTCGATGAGTGAGGAAGAGAAGCGTTCTCTTGCTAGTATCACTGCCCGGATCGAAGCTGGAATCGAGAAGCGAGTATCACAACCTCGCTCGTTTGGATTTTCCGCAACCGACCAATACGTATCCAATTCAGGTCAACATGCATTTGCTGCACCGGGGCCCAATGACATACGTGGTCCATGTCCTGGACTCAATGCTATGGCAAACCATGGGTACATTCCTCATGATGGAGTAGCAACCATTCCACAATTCGTGCAAGGAGTTTATGATGGTAAGAAATTACAACGCCGTTATGCTTCATATTCTTTGCTAACACACATAACAGTATTCGGTATGGGAGTTGATCTCGGAACTTTCCTCGCTATTTATGGCGCTGTCTTCGATGGCGATTTGACAAGTTGGTCTATTGGGGGACCTCCAACTGCAAGCCTGCTGAGCTCAGTTGGGCTTCTCGGCGCACCACAAGGAATCTCAGGCTCACATAATAAATATGAGTCTGATGCCTCACCTACACGTCCAGATCTCTATCAATAGTAGGCAATACTCCATATCATCCAATAAAAGTGAGAAGGTGAATTAATCATTCATTTCTAGTGGCAATGATTACAAGTTGATCATGTCTCAATTCGAAGAAATGTACGCCCTGCCTCCAGGCCCGAATGGTTACGATTTATCAGTCTTAACACCTTTCCGCGCAACTCGTCACCAACAATCCATTGATAACAATCCATATTTCTTCAATGGGCCATTCTCTGGAATTGCCGCACAACCTGCAGCTTACACTTTCATATATCGATGTATGGCTAACAAATCCACCGAATATCCGGAAGGTTATCTAAATGGCGATGTTTTGAAGTCATTCTATTCTATTACCGGAGAACCAGGTAGCTTTACATGGACGGAAGGACATGAGAAAATCCCTGACAATTGGTACAAACGCGCTATCGGCGACGAATATGGCATTGGACCTTACTCACTCGATGTCTTCAACGCTGCCGTGGAGTACCCAGAGTTCCTTTCTGTTGGAGGAAATACCGGCACAACCAACTCTTTCACTGGTGTCGATATCAAGAATCTGACAGGTGGTGTATATGACGTTACAACTCTGGCGGAAGGATATAATGCTATTTGTTTCGCATTTCAATTTTCTCAACAGGCTGCACCAGATATTCTCAAGGGCTTATTGTCCAATACTGCTTCTGCCTTGAGCCAGCTGAACTCGGCGGTTTCTAACGCGTTGAAGTCCCTTAACTGTCCCCAAATGGAGTCGGTTGATACTAGTCAGTTCTCGAAATACCCTGGTGCAGCTGGTGCTTATTAGATGAGACGATTATCAAGTCGATATCGCAAGGAGGTTTGGTGAAGTTGGGACGGGAATGGATTTAGCAGTTGTATTTAGAGTTTCTTGTATGTAGTTTTTTATAATCATCGAAGATTGAGACTCCAATTTTTTATTGAGCATTACAAAGAATAGATATGATTGATGGTGGTCTGGAAGGGTAGTACTGTGTACTGTATGTCGTTGGCACGCACTGCACGTCCCACTAGTGCTTACATCTTCGACAAATCAGATTCTCCTGATTCTCCTTTTAATCATTATCACGTAGTCAGCTCCCTTCCATGAAATCGACTCTTTTCAGGCAGCCCGGTGTGACTCATCAATAGCATAGCACGTATGTGTCTCAGGAGGAGTGAGTGCCAATAAACGTGGAGCATCCGAATCTTTATAAAACTTGACCGTCCATCTCATCATCCATCTTCCCATCACTTGAATATGTTCCGTTGACAATCGCTCTTATGAACCAAGATCAAAGCTACCGCTTCTTGAAGTCACATACAGATTTAAGCAAATATGTCGTCCAAACCATTCGTCCTCCGCCCGGGGACTCTATCTCACATCAATAAAATCGCACTCATCATCATCGCAGCCTATGGTCCCGGCCCCGTACACAAATATCTCAACCCAAACGCAGACATATATCCACAAGACCTAAAAATGGCCCTTTTACAATCCGTTACGATGTCCTACCTAAATCCTCGGACTTTAACACTAGTAGCTTGCTCGGAAGAGTCTCCTGATGTTGTTCTTGCGTATGGAATGTACACACGTATGGGAGACGATCTTGGAGCGGACGACTTTCTTCATCGAAGGTCGTGGGTGGAAAGGGTGGGGAGATGTATGCTGAGTTATTTTCTCGCGGGCTTGTTCAAATCATATAATTTTATTCGGCCTAACCGTGCCGCTTCAAAATCCCACACTGCAGTTTTCGAACACTCAATCACGCAGGATAGAGAGCGATACTGGTCTGCCGCCAGCTTTCCGAGGAGACGCAATCGCTGGCATGCCAATGCAATCGTAGTACTTCCAGAGTACCAAGGAAGAGGACTTGGAAGATTGTTGATGGAACATGTTCTGGAAGAGGCAGAGAAGGAAAAAGTTCCTGTGGGATTAAGTGCCAGCCCGGCAGGCGAGAGATTGTATAGAAAGTTAGGATTCGCATGGTTAGGGGACTTTCATACGAGGGTTGGTGTTGAAGATTATGGAAGTGGGGGAGGTCATATGCTTTGGTGGCCAAAGGGAGTTGAAAAGGATGGAGATTATTGACGAGGGAATCACATGGCGCCACTTGGAGAGTCATTTCTTTCAACTTGCCGTCAAAAACAACAATCAGAACAAGAATGCATCAAGTCGCCTTGTCCAAACCTTCCTTCATTACCTTACCTCGACTCATTTAAGCAGGTGGTTAAGTGTTAGTTCTGATCAAGAAATGACCTAGATGAATCATATTTTATAGGCAAATTCGGCTTGTGTGGGTATACACTAGGGATCGATTCGTGTATCGAAACATTTATAAAAGGCTAGCATATGGCACTCAGAACTAGCAACGACATCAGCTGGCAAGACGATATTATAAGAAAGGACTGCAGTGCTTGATGTGCGATGGTTGCATGTAGAAAGTGCCTTTTTTTTATACTGGAGGGAGAGCTCTAGGTAGTTTCATGCATTAGCTTATACTCTCTTCATCAAATCTCTTGTTCTTAAGCTAGTCAGTCATCCCAAACTCTCTCAAATAAATCAATCGGCGAATATTTGCCTTAAATATCCCCGTCGAATCTGCAGAAAATATAAAACTTTGGATGACCTTGGAAAGTATTCACTCTGGTTTTCACCGCTAGACAGACAGGAGCAAGCGTCTAAAACGGGAGATCAGTTTTCAAAACTAATATTAAACTTCAAGAATCGAGTAAGACGTTCCATTCCATGCTTGACCAACTTTCTCGAAACCCACATGGACTCTTGTCCCAGGGAAATCCGCGACTTCCGCATCTGATACCGTCTTTTCATTTATCAGCATCCATTATCTTCATACATTTTGTATTGAATCTTAGGAAGTTTCAAAGACTGTGATATTCACAAGATATCATCGGACCAAGATAACACGTCAGATACAATTATGCTAGATGTCGATTACTTTGTAAGTCTACTATCGTCGATACGACACCGATGATCAAGAATTCGGCGTGTGTCTAAAATCTATTTCAAACCTAAACTGCCATCAAGGATCCATACGAAGGAACGAATGAATGTGTTTTGTTCACGAACATAAACCAAAACGTACCTGACAACTCTATCTTCTACCACCACCCACTATCATCCATTCTACCTTCCACCTTCTGTGCGATTTTTGTTTCAACCAGGTTATACCATATCTATTATCAGTCACCACCAATTCAGAGCTCACCCTAACGCTTTCTTGAAAACTCCTGATCCTGACATCAGACCTCATTGTTTCTCCTCTGTGGTTTGAATTACCCATGGTGAGCAATCAACACCTTTTACGCCTGCACATCTAAAACTTGTTAGCATCAAACTTGATTCAGCCATACCACGGCACACGGCAAAGATGTCTTTCGGTCCACTCTTACAAGAGATTCATTGCAGATACCGCATCAACTCAAAGGCGGAAACGATTTTCTATTTCATCGACTCTGGCGGAAAGACGACCAATCCAAGAGCCACAGGATTCCTCGCACAGAAGTGTAGATACAACACGCCACACTTTGGCACGCAAGCATTTGCGGATTTCATATCCAGCGCTTGGCCAACCCAGGCAGACGACCGACCAGATCTTCTGCGTTTGTATGTCAATATACGTAGCGCAGCTGTTGACTATATTGAGGGCGACAGAATATGGAGTATTGACGTCCATAAGATGAGACACGACGGCATCCGGATGTGGAAGGCATATTCGTTGGCGCAGTGGCATACGCCGACTTTGAATATCAGAGACTTGGACCATGATGAAATAATATTGCTATTACATCATATTCCTGCACATGCTGTTGGGATGGATATCACCCATACGTTTATTTTTCAAGAAGCCCTAGAAGAAGCCTGTGAGGAAAGCGATGAAGGGGGATTCTTGACCTAGACAAAGAAAGAACAATCAACCAGGCCGACAGCGATGTAAAAGACATATGAACTCAGTTCGGTTCAATCATTGAGGGCCCGTTGTTCAAGACGAACTGAATCGTTGATGCACTGTGTGCAAGCAAGTTCAAGCTTGTTCAGGATAGGAATGGAATACAGATCTTTGAGAATGTCGTCCACAATCAATCGAGTTCTTGTGCGCCTGCTTTGTGTGAAGAATACCCGTTGACGCATTCCGATAGAACTCCATGATGAATCCATATTTGGCCCTTTAGCTATCTGACTTAAGCAGTGGGTATGCTGTTGCTGTCTTTTCACGAGACTTTATCTCATCCTCAGACCCTTCTCTTCGTGATTATATAAGCGTAAAATCTATAAACTGACCAATAAAAGGCATATAAAATAGAAAACTAAGGATCACCGAAAAGTCTGAAACATTTTGATCACAATTATAATATGAAAATCAACAAATAGCTCTTTTTCGAATAAAGTCGATATCAGCTCTGGAAGGCGAATAAGCAGATATCGTTGAAGCTATAGTTTAGCAACAAGGCGATGCCTGCGATTCTTTTCGATAGGTAGTATATGTACTGTAGTACGTGTGCTCAATATGTTGTTGAGTTTGCTGTCGCGAAGATGTGAGTGTGTTGAATTGAAGTCTATTGTATAAAGATGTATATAGTAGATAGATATTAATCTCATGAAACGTTGTAATCTTTCATAAGTCCTAGATAATTGAGGTATTCTAGGTATTCTTGGTATTCATATGTTATGTATGATATCTTAGTGCAACATCATCACATCACACACTTCAAGCCCTATTTCAAATATACAAGACCCTATCCCTACCCCTATCCCTATCGTCACACCAATATCACACAACCAATCACCTCCTCCCCTTCCCTCCCCTCAAATCTCATCCTCCTCATCATCAAAATCCTCCCTATCCTCCGTCCCCATCTCATAAAGAATCTTCCCCCCACTCCCAATCCCCCCTTCCTTCTGCGCATCAAAATACGGCAAGACGACATTTTCCCTATCCCTCTTCTGTTTCTCCGTCAACCCCAGATTGAACGTCACATCCCCTTCTAATCCCTCATCTCCATCTCCCTTCCCATCATTCTGAGCCGACAAATGATCCGAGATTTCTGGAGCTGCAAAGGATGCATGTTCGTCGAGGAGTTGAATGGTGCCTAGATCTTTCGTTGTTGGGGATGCAGTGAAGTGAGGGGGAGGGGTGTAGATAAATGTCTCGCGAATGCCGCGCCCGGATTTACGGCGTAGTTCGAGGGTGAGGACGATTTCCCCATGTTTGGTATCTGCAGTGGTCCCGTTTGCAAATCCCATGATCACACCTTCTTTTCCTTCGGCAATACCAAATTCGGGTTCGCGGGCGGACTTGTCGCGAGCGCGTTTGCGAGCTAGTTCGTGGGAGAAATTGTGGGGTTCAATGATGGCGGTGGCGAGGAAGAGGAGGGTTGTTAGAGGGCTGGGGGTGTAGGGGTTTGTGTTTGTGGAGGAGGGTGGGAGGGGAATATCGAGATGGTGGGTGCAGAGAAGGGAGATTGTAGGGTGAATGATGAGGGAAGAGAGGAAGGGAGAGAGGTGGTCTGGGTGGGTTGTGAGGGGGTATAGATTATCGATTATGAGGAGGATCTCTGAATTGTGTTAGTTGATGAATCCACCTTCTATCGATGTAGGAAAAACGGGTAAAACATACTTTGCTGAGACGCTGATGGAGGAGTTGTAGGTGAAGGTAGATGTGAAACGATTTCCCGACGAAGCTGGGAGAGTGATTTGCTATGGGCTGGAATAAAAACATCTGGAGTGAAATGGAGGCGTTTCTGAAGGGTGGAGAAAGATATGAAGATAACTTTGGATTTCGAGATCTGTAATTATCTATTAGTATGGTTATAAACTAGCAGCAAAACAATTTCCTAGCTAAAAAAAACCCCCCCGGAAGTAATATATTAAGACGAATGACGTCGAAACCAATTCACGTGATCATAATCCAAACACGAATTTTCTATCCACTTTCATACGAGAACTACTCGCACTGATCATCCTCTTCCCCCTTCCCCCTTTCCCCATTCCTCTCCATCCATCGCTCATCCTCTTCCCCCTTTTCTCTTTCCTCTTCCCCCTCCCCCTCCCTCCTCTCATCCCTCACCACCCCTCACCACCCCTCACCACCCCTCACCACCCCTCACCATCCCCCAACCCCCCACAAAACCAAAAAAAAACAACACAAAAAAGAAAAAAACCAGAAAACCCACCAAAGCCCTCCTCCAAAACTCCCCCACAACCGCCCTCCCACTCTGCGCCAACGAATCCAGGACTAGCGTAAAGGGACTCGCTCCATCCCTCAAATTGAGTAATTTTTGAAACAGCAATGTATTGTGTGTTCTTCTTTGTTGAAGAGGTGAGGGTGCCATTTTTCGCGTTGGTGTTGGTGTTGCTTTGTTGTTGTTTTGGTGGTGAGGTTATGATGTATTGGTGGTGAGTTTGTGGTTAATTTATGTTGTCGAGGTTATAGTGTGTGATGTAGAATATATAACAAGATAGATAATTTTACCTGTATAATTTATACAATAACCTTATAAATACAAAATCAAGAAAACAACAGGGCGCAATGCAACACCACAAAAATCGATCGATCGGTTTACACTGTAAATTTACAAACAGGCTCTGAAAGATTTTCTTGAATTTAGGGCTGCTTCTGCTTCTGTGTCTGGGTGGGGGCGGAGCGGGGTAACTTATATGTATATGTATATAGTAAGAGATCACGTGTTATCATTCTCCATCTCCAACTTATCATGTACTGACCGGTAACTCGAGTATGTATAATTACATTTCCCATTTCCCATTTCCTATTATATCAAAGCATCTAATAATATATCACTATACCACAAGGAATTGAATTTCTAATCCTTAAGTGCAAGACAAACATTAATTATATTATATTACATGAGAACTCTACTCTCTACTCTGTAGAGCATAACGAGAAAAGCTTTTTAGCTGTACCTAGGTAGCTTAGTTTGGCGGCTGGCTGGCATGAACACTTCAACCATTTCACGATTTTATTTCACCCTCATCAATTAAATCTGCTCGAAGTTCGTTCCTCTAGACCTACCTACCTTCGTTGCGAAAGCTAGCATATATAATTACATTTCTCTTCTTTGAGAGTTGCTCTATCTGTCTTCGCGAGCCATCAATTCCTATCCTTCCATCCTTTCCATCCACGCCGTTTCATCCCAATGAGAACTCCACGCCAAATGCTTATCAATCAACCAATCCATCCATCCATCCATCCATTATCATATCTTCGAGCGTACTCCTCTTCCTCTTTACTCTCCCCTCTTCCCCCAACTAACTCTGCCACATATACTCACTCAACTGCAACATACACTCGCCCATCCCCCTCTTCGCCACCGTCGTAATTCCCCTCTCATTACTCCCCAATTGTTCACTAAAGCACAACTCCACCAACCCCTTCAATTCATCATAATTGAACTTCACCTCCTCCTCATCCGCACCCGCTTCATTGCTACCTCCACCTCCACCTCCACCTCCACCTCCACCTCCACCTCCACCAGCACCACCACTCTCCCTCGCCCACCCCACAGCCCCATCCGGCCCCTCCTCAAACAAACCCCAATACTTCCCACTCCTCGTCAATCCCACCCCATCCTCTATCCCCTTCAAATTTTGCTGCAGCACAAGTACATTTAACCTCATTCTTCTCCCGCCCTCTTTGTTAATCCTCTGTATATTGCTCGCATTATCAACCATAAAAGTATCAATCAGCAATCCCAACCCTATCCTCACGAAATTAATCTCTTTTTCTCCCAGAAATTTCACGATCGTTTCGTCATAGGCTACCAAATCCGCATTGAGTGATAACACCGTCGCATCTGGATCTGATACGGGTTGAGAGAGAACATATGGGAAAGGATGTGAGCCTGAGGAGGGAGAAAGAACACGTGTTAAGGAGTGTAGGATTTGAATGCGAGTTTCCATGTGAAGGGTGAGGAGGACGGTAGCGGCTAGTTCTTGGTACGAGGAAACAATTGAATCGAATGCGCTATACATATATATCACATTAGCCATATATCAAGTAAGTAGACGAGGGAAGGAGAGAACTTACACAACAGTTTCTTGCGTCATAGGAAGATAAACACCCTGTTCGTCCTGGACTCTAGCTGGATCATTCAGTAGAGTCCAACGTCTATGAGGTGGTTTCTGCATCGATTGCGTACGAGAGGAATCTGCATCAATCCTCGTGATGTGTCTCAGCTGTCCGATCTTGATAGCTAACCACTTCATACTAGTGTATAAAACACAAAGAGATGAAATAGTTTCACGATCTGAGATGATATCATCCACCTCAAGAGGATTCTCATTTGTCTGTAGAATCAAAAGACCTGTTTCTTTTTCCAATAATTGATGATCGACTTCATCACTTGTCCACAGTTTCTGCATAGTATCGTGGATATCACCAGGCTCACTAGCAAGCAATGCAGACAACTTTAACGTTGAACCCTCGGAATCCCTAACCCGAGATACGAGTGATTTGAACCAATCGTAGCATCTATCATAATATCTCATCATTTGCGTGATGATGAGTTGACTCAATGCTTGATCATGAGGAATCGTATCCAACATCCTGCAGAATGCCGTAATTAAAGTGAAGAAAGCAGCTGTGCCTTTGAAGACAGGTCTTCTCGAAACTCTTGCCCATTGAGCATCTTGTTGGAATGCATCTGTCTCCTCAAATACCGAATCACTAAGCTTACCAAGGGTTTCATCAAGTTGAGGTAGAAAGACATTAACAAGGAAGTTATCCAAGAAAGATGTCAACGTGCTTGTGACTATATCCGAGCCAGGTGGGACAATTGCCTTCAACCTTTGTAAAAAGCTCAATGTAGGAGGTAACAACAAGCTCATATTAAACACACTCGGCTCTACCAAAGACTTATGCGTGCCCATTCCACCATTTTTAGCATCAAAAGCGGAACCAGTCAATCGTTTTGCGCCGTTCCTTCCCACCGAGCTCTCTAAGAAAGACTTCGCCTTCTTACTGTCGGCCCCCGATTTTCTCGAGCTAGACATAAGACCCGGCACAGCAGCCCTGATAATAATTTCCAGATCATCATACTCGGATGTCATACGCCTAGACTTAGCATCTGCATCTGAAAATTTAAATAGCTTCTCGCGTTTAGACGACTTTGAAGCACCAGGTCGAGGAGAATCAAATTGATAGACATCCGCATCTGTAGTCACATAATTGTGCAACAGAGAGCGAATCTCATTCTGATATAGATTCCAAAGCTCCCTGAAGCCACCCAGAAGTATAACAGAATTTCTCATGCCTTCCCTTCTTGTGATAGCTTTTACCACATCATGAAAGACACGATGACCTTCTGCAATAGCTTCAAACTTTGCGTATAATGTCCATAGTAGATCGTAAATAACATCTGCGCGAATAGCATTCTCACGACTAGAGAATGTTTGATTTCCTTGTGTGGAGGCGAGCCCACCACGTAAAGAGCTTGGATGCTTCTGATCGACTTCGCTGTTAGTCTCGTTGACGATACCAAATAGCTCGACTGGAAGTCTCTGTTTGATGGTATTAACAGCGATCTCCAGACGACCGAGCTTATTCAATGCCTCTGTCAATAATTCCACATAATAAAATGTATCAGCCTCGGGATTTCTCGAGGCATCCTCCACCATGACCTCCGCCAAATCCATCGTATCAAGAACTTCGAAAAACGGCCTCACTCCATTTGTGTTCTCGAACTTTTCCTTCGCGATACCGCCTTGAGTCTTAGCCAACATCTGCCATCTCTCCTGACAATAAGGAGACTTCAAATACAAATGATCATGAAGTTCCTCAATCAAAATATCCGTCAAAGCCGTTTCCTGATTCGCAAGATACGTCCTCAGTTCACTCAACGCCCCAATATCATCCAACTCCGGTGATCGAATCCTCCTCAACGCATCCTGCAAGACATCCACCGCAGTCAAGAAGCTCTTCTCCGAAATCCGCGCTTCCAATTGATCCGGAACCAGTCGTAATTCCTCCACCTCCGAGAGCGTATGTAATAATTCATCATAAATCGTCGACGCCGCGCCCAACTTCCTCAACTCCGGGTCCGTGGTCGAGAGGTTGGCTTTCGATTGCGCGAGCGAATCCTTCAATGTTCGTACCCTCTTCTGCGACGTCTGTATACTCGTTTGGATTTTATGAAATGTACCAATCGAACTATTAAATCCCTGATGATGTTCATGTACGATGTTCTTCAGAGAATCTTGCAGATATTGCATCGATTGTTCAAATTGGGCATATTCATGCGCTTTACCAACCGAACTCGTGTCTAAAAGCTGTAATGCCAATTGCACTGGCACACTTTCATTTTGGCATAATGCAGGCCACTCCGTCTTGATATGTTCCAACACCTCCCCAATCTGTTTCTCCGCATTAGTTTCCTCTATTCTCGGCCTACCCACCGCTTCTCTCGGTCGTGAAACACCTCTCGATCGAGGAGTTCGGGGCATGGAAGGGGATGGTGTTCGAAGGTCTTCCTGTCGTGGAGATGGAGTGGCATATCGATCAGTGCCAGTGCCATAGGGATCGTAGTCTCCATCTTCAGTGATTTGTCCTGGATAGCCACTTGCGTTTGCATTTGCATTTACATTTGCACTTCCATTCCGGCTGCCATTTCCGTATCCATTCCCATTTGCATATCCAGCAGAATTTCCGTTCGTGTAAGGGTCCCCCCCAAGACCTCCATATCCTCTTCCTGACATATCCTGTATTATTAAAATCGCATTACTTTTTAGAATTGCTTCGTACCATTCGTAGGTGTGTTATAAGTTGTGGAAACCTGGGAGTTTATTGAAGCTCGGCCGCAGCTTCGAGACATGGGGGTGGCAGAAGTAAATAGGCGAGTGTAAACATCAAATTATATTTGATAACCATCTAATCAATCATACTCCAGGATCTCTGCAACGACATTGATTGTATCTTTTCACTCACGATACAAGTTAGTCGCGCAAATGCACATACTACTTCCACGGTTGATTTCCAACAGTAATAGTAGTTATGGAGATCCTGTCAGCCCCTCGATCGCCCTCACCCACTTTCACCTATTCCCCAATCTCCCCACAGAACTCTGCGACAAAATATGGCATCTAGCCATTCAACCCCGCGTCTTAGAGCCCTCCTTAGATTTCCCAAATGGTGTGCAAACACCACTTTTACTTTCTACATATCCGCGTATGTAAATCAACTAACACTAATTTCCTCTAGATATAAAGGAGCCGCATTTTTATCGTCGAAGACCCCCTCCGGCCCTCTTCTCCACGACCCAAGAAAGCCGTCTCGTCTGCCTCGAAGAATATCTCGTCCGGACATTTCGCGACAAACCTTATTACATCCATCCATACCTCGATACCCTCTTCCTCCCCATCAGCATCCGAATACCCGATTGCCTCTTATATACGGATCTCAACTCATTCTATAGCTGGATCATCTCCAAAATATCCACCCTCGCCCTCGAAATCGCCATAAATACATCCTCATCCTCAACCTCAAATTCAACCTCGTTAATCACCCCGCCCTCACCTCTCGACAATTCCAATCCCCTCATCCCCGAATTCTTCACCCCAACCCGCCATCAGAACATGTGGATATATACCCTCGCCTCCCCATCTGCAACCATTCACCTCACCTTTCAACTTATCCCTGCGCGGTCAATCCATCGCCCAACACCTCCTTCATACTCTCCATGCTCCTCAATTTCCCCAACGCCCTCTCCATACTCCCCATCCACCTCATATTTTCCAGAACCCGCAATCAACATATACACAGATAGAACCATTATAACAGAATATGTAGATGAGTTTGGAACAAATTTGCCCTGGTCTAAGCTCTTGCCCAAACCCAAATTCATACCGGATCCCGCTGCCATCAGAAAAAGGGAGCAGATGGCTCGGAGATTACAGACAGAGATGTTGGTTGTGAAAAACGTAAGTTACATGTCACATAAGGTACTCCGAGAATGATGCTCGTGTATCTACAAACTCTAGAAGCGAAGTCATGAAGTTGAAGGCATGAACCAGGTACACTACATTAGTTCAAGTAGTTCTCGCGCTACAGGATACATTTAGGGCGTTAAGTTAGGGCGGTAATTTAGTGCGTTCTTGGCGTCTTCAGGTGACGGATGCACAGCAAGGGCAACATTCAAATTCGGAACCGATGATCACTTCATCGTTTGTTATCAAATACCATATGTTCTCATATTACCTTACATTACACGACATCGCACTATCAATAAATATTACAAACATGCAGTCGCATGTCCCTTTTGACACTCGAGCAAACTTATTTCTAAATCAGTGTACTACCTTTTGATTTGATTCTCTAGAGAAGGAACTTTCTCGCGCTATGAATGAAGAACAAAAAAAATGGTGCAGCTCAAAAACACATGAAGAAATTGGCACCACTAAAAAGTAAGAAAAAAAGCTTTGTATGATTGATACGACATTTCGAATCCCTCCTCCGAGCAAACAGTCAGCTAAATCAAAGCCCACCCGTTCCTTCGAAAGAGACCACCCAGTCGCTCAACCGCTACCAGAACTTTTCGGAATAACACTTCGCGTCGAAACAAAACACTGGGAGTTGGTGTCTTGTTCGAATCTTATTTTTGATCATATTCGTGAAGTTCGTGATGTAAACACAAATTAACCTCGATACGCTATCGTGCCACTAGATTAGCTTGGTCCCCTCGCAACATAAATCATGTATAATGGCCTACCTTAGAAACACTTTCGGTGAACGATGGAAGGTCCAGACTCGTCGTACTCTTGCTTTGAGATCCACATCTGTTGGAAAGTAGACAAAGATGCCAAAATAGAACCACCGATCCAGACGGAGTATTTTCTCTCGGGTGGTGCAATGATCTTGACCTTCATCGATGATGGTGCAAGAGCAGTGATTTCCTTTTGCATACGGTCGGAGATACCAGGGTACATGGTGGTTCCACCAGACTGTGACAAAATGTTAGCAAATCATCCTATGAATTTCGCAGATGGAGAAATCTTACCATAACAATGTTACCATACAAATCCTTACGGACATCAACATCACACTTCATGATGGAGTTGAAAGTGGTGACATGGATACCACCGCTCTCAAGACCCAAGACAGATGGTTGGAACAAAGCTTCTGGAGCACGGAAACGCTCGTTACCGATGGTAATAACTTGTCCATCAGGAAGTTCGTATGACTTCTCCAAGCTGGAAGATTGGCTAGCGGTTTGAATTTCTTGCTCAAAGTCAAGAGCGACGTAACAGAGCTTCTCCTTAATATCACGGACGATTTCACGCTCGGCAGTGGTGGAGAAAGTGTAACCACGCTCAGCCAAGATCTTCATGAGGTAATCAGTCAAATCACGACCAGCCATATCAACACGAGCGATGGCGTGAGGAAGAGAGAAACCTTCGTAAATTGGGACGACGTGAGTGACTCCATCACCAGAATCGAGAACGATACCGGTAGTACGACCGGAAGCGTAAAGGGAGAGGACGGCTTGGATAGAGACGTAGAACGCAGGGGCGTTGAAGGTCTCGAAGACGATTTGGGTCATCTTCTCTCTGTTGGACTTGGGGTTGATTGGGGCCTCAGTAAGTAAAACTGGGTGTTCCTCTGGTGCTACACGGAGTTCGTTGTAGAAAGTGTGATGCCAGATCTTCTCCATATCATCCCAGTTGGTGACGACACCGTGCTCGATTGGGTATCTAAGGGTGAGAATACCACGCTTGGATTGCGCTTCATCTCCAACATATGAGTCCTTTTGACCCATACCAATCATGATACTATAACATCCCTTATCAGTTCTTGTTCGAGTAACACGAGTTGTGGGGGGGAAATGGCGGGGTGTGGTATGAATGAATTTTCTTACCCATGATGACGGGGACGACCGACGATGGAAGCTATATTGTATGTTAGAGACATTCAAAACTCATTAAGGTTGTTTTTCATGATTGATCTTGAAGGAAATCAAGCTTGGAGCAGTTGCTTGCAAGGATAGGCTACTTACGGAAAACAGCTCTTGGAGCATCATCACCGGCGAAACCGGCCTTGCACATTCCAGAACTACAAAATCCATCAGTCTCATTCTTCTCAAGTATGAAGCCCTTCGCTTTTGAAAAGATACGGGTTGATATCGGTCAGTTGTTGATTCCTTCCAATAGCTACCCCTCGGTCTTTCGAGGCTCAACAACCATTTTGTTGGATTTTAGGAGCTTACCCATTGTCAATGACGAGGGCTGCGACTTCTTCTATTGATTGAGAGATAATATTAGTAGATGTTCATCATGATATAGATGTCCTTTGCGCGGCCCTCTACGCGATAGAGATCCAGGTATTTTGTATTTGTATTTCCAGCTTACCTTCCATGTTTGATAATTAAGACGTTTAGTCAAATAAAAGGTGTGTGGAATATGGCGGTGAGTTGCTTCTCGTGATAATTAAAATCTCGAGAGTGATGGTGCTCTGTATTAAAGTAAGATTCACGAAGTTGTTAATTCGTGGTTGTTGATAAAAAAGAAGATGGTTGAAAGAGAAGATGGTGTGTTGTTGTTTTGTCAAAAGAATTGGTTGGTGATCGTGGTCGTAGTAATTGGGAAAGGACGATGTCACGAACTTTGAGTGTGGGCCACAACTTGCAGGAGGCGAAGCGATCTTATTTGGGATTTCGCTGCTTTAATATAAAATGTTGAAGAAAGATTTGATAGGTGGAAGGAGGGGAGAAGGGGAGAAAGGGAGAAAGAGAATACCGAATACGTATATATATATTAAGTGAATTCTGGTTGAGGATATATAATAGTAATAAATTGGTATAAAGACCCTCAACTGCTTATATCAAAGAACAAAAGCAGCATGTAACTAACTATTTCTCTAATTCTTTATTTATTTGCTATAATAGAAATGAGAAAATTCAGGTGGCTGTAAAGTTCAAGAAGTCGGTATAGCTTTTTTGGTTCATCTATCCTATCCTATGTTCAAAGAAAAGATTCTACCAAAGTGCTTGTTCCCCTTTCCCCTTATCTCTATCTACCCATGTAAACAGAGCCATGGTCATTCGAAGGTCATTCGAAGGTCACACCGACTTCTACCAGTATCATGTTACTCCTTTCTTGGAAATTATGAGGCTACCCAATATCATATAAGATTATACGAAGACAGCTAGCTAGAACTATTTCAAGTATACTCGTATATTGGTACTCTCGCCAGTCTTACAACTCAATTGCAATTTGCCAAGCAGGTAGATCAAAGTCTCTCCTCCAAAACAGTTTTATATCTGCTATACTTATATACAGAACTAGCGGAAGTCTGCATCATATATCTAACTACCTATTTGAGCCCTCATCAACAGTCAACAACGTCATCAATATCATATCTATCTGCCTACTCATCAATAGCTGCCTACCTATCAACACCCAACAACCTCCTATCTGCGTACTCGTTGACACCCAGCTATGGTTGAACAAAGGAGGCAGGATTGTGGTATTCTGTAAAGCTGCCTTTTCATTACCACCACCCAACAACCTCTCCATCACTAATCCAGTTACCTACCTTTTTATTACCACCCAGCTACCTACCCATCGATATCCATCTAGCTATCATCAACTTTCACAATCCCTCATCAATCCTCAATCCCTCACCCATCACTCTTCATCACTCTTCATCCAAACCCCCTTATATTTAACCACCTAACCACCAAAAAAATACTAAAAACAGCGAGAGACAAACCAAACATAACATCCCCCATTGGTACCGAACCAAAGAAATTACAATTGCTGCTGGTCCGAGAGCCAGCCACTGACGGGTCAATAGTCAATACGGTGAGTGAGATGTGAATCATTGGATGGATGCCATTGGATGGTAATGTAAATAATGTACAGTAATCATTGGAGGGGCTTAGTGGGGTAAGTAAGTAAATATTTGGATGAATACCTGGGTACCTGGGTAAAGGTTATCAGATAATTTGTTTTTAGTTTCACACTCGAATTCGATATGTATTGTATTGTTTAGAAGCTTTGAAAACTTATTTCAAAAGCGAAAGATGTTTGTGTTGTACTTGTAACTTTTGTGCATTCTCTATAGTCCCCAGTGGAGCTGGGCTTCTGAGAACCTCGTTGGAACTCGTTGACTAGATTCCCTCTTCCATCATTCCCAAATCACCAATGCCAATCTATCAAACTCCAGAACTCCAGCCCGAACCATTCGTGAGAAGGTAGTAGCTATAGCTCCAAGCCCTCGATCGTTTTAAACCTCATATATATCCCCTCTCTACATACTCAACCTCAAACCCCCTTCGCAGCCTCCTCCCTCAATCCCCCAATCAAAACATCACAAGCATCCATATCTGCCGCATCAATCTTCTCACCACTCCTCCCCAATTTACCAAACTCCTCCGTCGCAACATCCATGCCCTCCTGAAAGTTCCTCACCGCGCTACTCAACGCATAAATTGCCTTCCTCCTAACATCCTTCTCCTCCTTCTCATCCGCACACATGCGCACCAAAAGCGGTATGCCCCCCGCATTCAACATAAACCTCTGACTCTTCTCATTATTCTGCACCGCGGTTCCCACGCACCAAGCCGCCATCCTTCTAATCTCCTTCTCCTCATGTGCCAAACATTCTAGCAGAGGTTTCCATAATTCAAGCGGTTCGATGTTATTAGCATTATCGAGATTCTCAATAAGCTGTTCGAAATTGTCGAATGCAACTACTTTATCTTCAACAGTTACTTCGGGGTCGGTGGAGAGGACGGCGTAGATGGAGGCTTTCATGAGGTCGGCGTCGCTGGGGCCACCGAAGAGCACATTCATGGCATCGGGTGGAAGGGTTCGGTTTTGTGGAGGAGGTGCGATGGGATCCGAGTCGGTGGCAGTGGAATTTTCGACGCTCCATTTGAGGAGTCCGTTCATTCCTGGTGGCATGGCCATGATGGCAGATTTTTGGGTTTTCTTTTTGAGGCTAAAAGTGGTGTAGATTTGGAATAATCAGAAACTCGAGAATCGGGCAGGTAAGTTTGCTTTGCGCCGAAGTTGATCTTGATTCAATGGATGAAAATAATATCAAGATTCGGAGATATGTAAATGAGAATCGAAAATATCGTTTTAAGTGAGAGTTGAGAATGGATCTAAGAAGTTCTCTTTTGTATAAGATGACTATTTCAAAATTGTGTCTATTCTCGTCTACTACCTTCGAGACTCTTCTAGTCAGGACCCTTTTCTTGACATGGCAGAATTTTGGTTATCCATGATTAGTCATCTCAGCCTTCTCTCAAGAAAATATACCTTCTCAGCCCCATGCTTCACCTTATTAGGATAGGACTTGTTCGATATATTCACACGCGGGAGGAGTTGTCCGAATTCATTTTGTTAAGATTTGCTGATTACGTCGATTTGTAAGATGCTAGCGTGAAGCTTATTGTGCTGCAGTGTTTTTCCATCTCCATCAGTATACATTGCAAACCTGCAGCTGTCTCTACGGCACTTTCTGGCTCTGGCTACTGTTCGTGTGTTTTACACTATATCTGTTTTACACCATATCTTCGAATTTGATATATCGTGACTCTTGAATATCAATAGTTGAGGGGCCACAAATGCGTTGTATATCGTCGAGAAGAATGAGTTTCATGTAAGAATTTGGTCTCATTTGTCTTCTTTAAGTTTTGGTTCTTGTGTTAGTTGAGCACACGCCTTAAGATTACAAGTCAAGATGGCCGGGCATCTAGGTTTGACCGGCTATTGTGGAAGTTTGTAATTCATCTTTCTGCGAAATCTACCTCAAGAATATCACTTTACATGTAGAAGTTTCCAATCTTTCGTGGCCGACTATTCGTTACTCCCCTCAACAGACCAACTCTTCCCCTGCCTAATTGCCAAGTGTGCAGCATCGGGTTCGTGGGAGGGAATGTCATATAGCTCCAACGGTTCAGCGTCACCAGAAACAATGGGGATATGGGATGTTGTTGACCCGTTCTTGCTCTTATCGGCAAGTACAGTGGCAGTGTAGGAGGATGTTGTACCTGGGGTCCGCGAAGCATTGGATCCCCGAGAATTCTGTGATCCCATAAACATAAGTGAAATAGCGCTTCACACACTACGGATCACAGATTCGATGGATGAGCGGCGTGCCAAGCCGTAGAGGAGCAGTAGACATGCAGTAATGAGTGCGAGACTACACTCTATCATGGTCCAAAAGATAATTTGTGTAATGAGTACTGGAAAACGTCAGGATCTGTACAAACTTAAAAGCATCCTCGTTAGTTTCTGTGACTTATAATCGTTGTCGGCTCCCCCTCTCTCGATAGCTTGCCGTTTGTCAGCATTCTGAAATTGACGGTAGAATTTCAGTGGATCCAGCCTACTACCGTATTTAGCATCAAGAAGACCGAGAGCCTGATGATAGATGGCACGACAGCCCTTCGCGCAGATCATAAATTAGTTCAATGCGATATGTAGGTGAACAGTATAGTGTACCATCAATCAACAAGTTCTTGTGGTGGTTTTTTGTTAGCGATGTATTGCATCTTGGAAATTTCCTCAGCATTAGCTGCAAATGTTAGAAAAAGACAATGGCCAGAGTGTAAGAGAACAATTATCATTCGACCTTTTTGTTGTAGGGACTTAGGTACTTCGCCGCAGTTTCACATTGAGATGTGATCTATATTGCTCCTTTACGTGTTTGCATTTTCGAATGGGGCAGGAGATAATAGCTGTGGTTAGAATTGTCTTACTGATCGCAGATAATAACGATTTGATGCGCGTTGTCCATCCAGTAAGCCAATGCCAAAATTTCGATGAGAGGATTGCCCAAAGATAGTTTCTCGATTTGAAAGATTTCTGCCCTACACGCCACCCACCCAAATTATACAATTATATGCATAATGAGCTATTAGGTCGAAAATGTTAGTTGCGGCACGGCACAGTGAGCGCATAAACCTCATCACCAATAGAAACGGCCGATTGGATCCGTACCATTACATCGGTACCGAGATCTTCCTAATAAGGAATGGAATTCTGATCAGGGTCTCGTTGGCATCTAATTCCTCGCAATCTCGAGAAAAATCCGTCAAAAACATTCAAAAATAGAGCATATGGATTGGGGGGTCTTATTACACTAGCTCTCTACACAATAGCATCCTTTATGCATAAGATTTTAAGAGTCCTCTTATTGAGGGAGCTATTACTGTTTTATAACGGACAAGTTGAGGTAGAGCGGTTTTTTCTCCCAAACCAGGAATGCTTTTTGGGTGTACCAATCCCAGTCCTTTTCACCGAGACTCAGATCAAAATTCCAAATCAATTTAGCCAATATTAGCCGCACTTCCGCAAAACCGAAAGCCTTCCCCACACAGTCCCTTGGACCAACACTGAATGGGTGGTAAACGTTGGTATTGTGGGGCTTAATTTGGGAATCTGGCAGCCAGCGTTCTGGGATAAACTCTTTCGGAGAGGCAAAATTAGTTGGGGACGTATATGCAGCTAGTTGACAAAATGTGACAAGAGTCTAAAGGGTGGTCAGTAAACACTTGTACTCGGTTGATTTTAGTGGCACATACTCCGGATGGCAGCCAGTGGCCGCACACTTCCATTCCAGGCTCGGTCACCATTCGAGGCATGACCATCGGCAGCGAAGGGCACAGTCTCATGGCTTCGTCCATGACTGCATTGAGACATAGCAACTCGGCAACTGCAGATGCTATAATACTTTGTTCTCGATCAAAGGATTGTCGGATTTCAGTTGTTAGGAGGCGATAGGCTTCAGAGTTTCTCACTATATGGTAGCAGATAGCTGCGAGTGTGCTAGCAACGGTCTCACTACCAGCTATCATAATATCGCCAATCGCATTTTCAGTCTCGGCTATCGATAGGCCCTTCCCGTCTCCACGATCTGTAAAATAAGTCATCAAATCTTTCTTACCGGGCGTCTCTCCTTGAGCTTGTCTCTGGTGTGTGAAGTAATTCAATGACTTGTGGTAAGCCATCTGCTTCTGTCGGGAGACTCTGGGGACGATCCATGTCCAGATCATCTCAAGTCCGAGAATGCGAGGAACAACTGCTTGTGTGAAAGCATGCAAGACTCTTCGTAACGCGTTGACGAGATAGTGAAATTCGTTGTCCTCCATGGAATGGAAAGACTTGCTAAAGGCGAGATCGCCGACAATATCAAAAGCCGCGTACTCGAACCAATCGACAATATCCACGGGGGCATTCTTTGATGCTTCGGTTTTCAATTGAGATATCAAGATGTCGGCGTTTTGTAAGATCATGGGTTCGTGTTCTCGCATGATTTCTCTGTGAAAGCAGGCGCGAATGCCCCACGAAAACGTCCATGCTCGGCTGGCGGAGAGGCCATAATACCATATGAGCCATTATTGATGCGGGGTTGATACCAGTAAGGACTTTTAGGAAGATATGATGTCTTGCGGTACGGAGCGTAAAAAGCATCCCACGCCCTTTCATCGGCGAAGGAAACTTCGTTCGAGGCCACGCGAACGACAGGTCCGTACTCTTGGTGTAATGAAGCAATTCGATGCACGAATTCTCCTTGCCGCAAAGCCCAGGCAAATGGAAGTCGTGAGAGAATCCAGTGTGGTGGCCCCGGAATAGCTGCCAAGGGGTGAAGCTTGAGCCGGGAAAATGCCCATGTGAAAATACTCTGTGGAAGTAAAGGCTCCAGTGCAAAACTTCAAATGCAAAAGCCGTAACTTACCAAGACAACAGCAATAGCAGAGCCACTTAGCCAGTGGAGCGTGCTTAGTTCACGCATTAATTCAAGTTTTGCCATTTTGAAATGCTGTAAAGTGGTAGTTGTTGTTGTTGTTCTTGGGAAAAGGTTTCTTCGTCAAGAAAGAACATCAAAAGGTTTTCACAAGATTGATGATAGTATCGGCTAAGGTTGCCTGGCTTAGATCAATGTGTTGTCCTTACTGATTTCTTATTCTCAGATGAGGGGAGATAGTGTTGCCAACATCTCCAACATCTCCGCAACCAAAGTATACGTGGTGACCCTAACCATCGGGTGCCTAGTGTCTTCTCGCCGATTTTGGTTGGCTCGGGTAGCTATTGCAGGACAAGTCCGAATGTAACCTTCCGAATTCTGTGTTTGATACATGAAAGCTACCAGTCCCCTGGACTGTAAATTGGGCGAATGGGAAGTCACGCCATTGATTGTCATACTGAAGGTAGACTGCTGGATATGAAGTAAGAAGATGATTGGTCGTTTCAAAACTTTCTCGGGAAACCTGGTCTTCTCGGGAAAGACGGCTTCATAATCAGTTGGAACTTGGTGTGGATACGAAAATGTCTCTAGAAGCCGATGTTTATCTGTCTATTTTCTTGAGGTAGAATCTATATACGATGCGCTTGTGTTTACGCGTTTGATCAGTACTGTAGTAACTGTACTAATCGAACATCCATCCGATCCATCCGTGCAATTCACTATGGTGAACACTTGCTATGTACCGAACAGTGATGAGTGCCGCACGGCTGCATGTGTTGGATGTCAACTGCTTGAAACCTTTCTATATAGGTCCAAACAAACTGAGTGCAATTTGCGGTTGACCTAACCATGATAAAACCACTTCCGGTGCAAGGAAGGAGTCACAAGGCACACAAATCTTTTCGATAAGACTTACAGTACCTCGATGTTTCTGTGAACTGAAACTACTCCTTTCTATTAATTTGGCCACCTACTACTTCAAAAAGCAAGATGCTAATTGAACCTAGGCTAGCCATAGGTGCACCAGACGGTGGTTTTGTTGCATGGGTCCAATGTGCCAGCTCTTTTTCTCTATTTTCCTGTCCTGGGGTCTCGTGAGCTCATTTGGTAACCCCTGGGTGTCGAATTATGTTGATTATATATTGACTGATGCCCACAGGCTCCTTTCAAAGTTATTATGAGATAACCTATCCTTCGTGGTCTCCATCTCAGATCTCTTGGATTGGATCTGTCCAAGCTTTTCTCCTCATGGGATTTCCCATAGTCGCTGGTCCAGTCTTTGACCATGGCTATCTGAAGCCTCTTATGTGGACAGGATGTTTACTATGCGTGCTAGGAATGATGTTAACAAGTATCAGCTCCGAATATTGGCACCTCTTACTGGCTCAAGGGGTCATGTTTAGCTTATGTAGTGGCTGCTTGTTCATACCTAGCATCGCTGTACTTCCTGCCTACTTTGATAAGAAACAAGCTTTGGCATTGGGTATTGGCGCTCCAGGTAGTGCCGTAGGTACGTTCGAGAGAAACTGTGGCCGTATTTTTCATGTTGACCAAAATAATCTATAGGAGGCATTGTCTTTCCAATTATCTTCAATCAATTGCAACCAAGAACCGGCTTTGGTTGGTCAATCCGCATCTTTGCCTTCATCGTTTTATTGGCCGCCACCTTTCCTGTACTCGGATTGCGTATGCGGACTCGTCCATCTGCAGTTAGGAAAATCCTTGATTTAAAAGCTTGGAAGGAACCGCCCTTCATAACTTCCAGTGTCTTCTTTTTTCTAGTTTTTATGGGCGCCTAAATCCACATTCAATCATATGCTCTCGATACTAAGATAGTCGGAGGAGGCCTTACTCCTTATCTTGTCCCTTTACTAAACGTCGGATCTTTCTTTGGGCGTATCGTAAGTTCAAGCCTCATTCACATCTTTGCGGAGCCCTGAGTTCTAACAAAACTGTAGATTCCGAATCACCTGGCTGATGTCTATGGACCGTTCAATGTCGGCATAATTTGCCAGTGGCAGCTTCCAGGCGACGATAGGTACATGTTCGATATAACACCTCCAAGAAGTCCTTTGCGATCCAGTCCTGTCCACTCCCACGTCCCTTAAAAAAATATTTGCAAACATTTAGCAACAGAGAGATCATCCTCGGCGTAATGTTTTACCGGAAGGTAAATCTTTGTGGTTATTTTAGACTTTTCAGGACGGACTTCGACGCAATATATTCTCTGGGATTGAACGATCGATAACCTGGTGGCAGTAAATGTAACAGGGGAAAGGGGCTGGCCGGCATCGCTTAAGATACGAAGATACATCTAAGGCAGATTATTGTATCTCCAATAATCCCCCCGTCTTTCTTCAACTGGCATACTTGAATTCAGAAGAATCAATCGCACATTGTGCCACCGCCATAGATGCAGGCCCTTGAGCTATACCCAAAAGTAAAAGAGTGACGAGTTAGATGCAACCACTAACTTAGTTTCTGCCCAGTCAATGCTCAGTGGACTACACCATCACGAAGCAGATACCAGAGGAAATACTTATGCAGGCCTGCAAGGATAGCAGTCGGCCATATATTATGTGGTCACAGAAGCATCTAATGAAGGCTTTGGAAACTATTCCGGTCTCGCTACCGAAGCCTCGCTTGGCGGCTAGTATCCACTTGCATTAAATGGCAAATGCAAACGATTGTGTCTCATCGGCGGGTGGCATAGTGGGAGCATCGTGCGTACTGCAAATTTCTTTCAAGAATGGTTGAAGAGATTACAGTTGGTGGGCCATTGGTGGTGGAGTGCGGAGGGCTGGAATGCTACTGTATCCTTTCTAGTGAGCAAGGTTAACCTTTGAAAGCTGCCAGTATGCCATCTAATCTGGACATATTGTCGCGGCAGACTCCACAGAGTCCCTGAATCTTCTTTAGCTAGTATCTCGAGCTTCTGGAAATGACATAGAACCTGGCAAGAAGACATGGCTGTGCATATCGGTAGTGTTCAAATCCACGAAGAATAGTCCTCTTGTCAGCATTAGTCCCTAATTATGTCTCCGCCTCGAGCCCAGAAGCAATCTGAGTCATACACGTCGAGAACAGGGGATTTTCAAAGACAAGACTTTTGATTCTGTATCTTCTTTGTGATCTGCTAAATCAACGACAGGTGCGTGCCGATGAATGGAATCCTTCAACCTCAACTCGATGGCACCGATTTACACAACATATTTTCCACCCAGGATGTGGAATATCATAGTATATACAAGCGAGCTATCGGCGGTTCATACACAACAACTGCCCTAAAGGATGTTCAGACCAACATCGATCGATGTACAACACTATTCTTGTCCCAACTCGATGGTTTCCCCACTCAGTTTCAGCCATCCATTGTCGATATGAGTGCATGGTTACAGTATTACGCATTTGTCAGTGACTCTCTAGTAGAGGCCATTTTCTCCAAGCAAATTGATTTCCTCGCGACCGGTTCAGATGTAGATGGCATATATGAACTAGATCATCAAGCGATGGAATATTTCTCTGTGGTTCGTTGCCCTCAACCTAGCAGCGCTCAGTAGTGTTGACAATCAGATCTAGTGGTCACAGGTTCCCGAGATTGAAGCGATGATTGCAAAATGGAAATCGCTAACAGGGTCCTTGAAACCAAACCCATTGTATAATGTAAGTAAAATAGAAGTGTTGTTGATTGGTCTGACTAATACGCCAACCAGTTCGTCCTGAATCTTGTCAATACGCGAGTGAAGTATCCGAATGAGTTGAACGACATGCTGAATTCATTACTTCGTCTTCATCAGAGTTCACCTGATAAACTCAATCTGAGGGAAGTAATCGGAGCAGTATATATTAACATGTGAGCCGTATAACCGATTCCTTCTACTATCAAAATATACTAACCGTCAAGTAGTGTAGCCGCCCACGATGACACTGCCATAATTTTACGAACAGCATTTTATCATCTTTCAAAGTCTCTTACCCTACCGTGCACAAAAGACTATGCAACGAGATCGCTATAATAGACCACCTGGGTCTCATATTGCATCCCGCAAAACATACCGAGGTTTCTTCAATGCTTTATCTGTAAGTTTATACAAAGCCATATCTCCCCGAGCACCAGAGGCAGAGGCAGAGGCAGAGCTTGAATTATATCGGCAGTAATAAACAAACGAAGTTCTTCACATTTACCCAAACATCGGTACGATCTCCAAACGAATGATTCCGGGAGGCGGCGCTCAAGCTCCATGGTACAAAGATTCCCAAAGTTGGAGGTATCATCATTGATGTCCATGCATAGGCCATTCATCAATCGCAACCAAGAGATCTTCGTAGATGACATCGTGTGTTTTCTACTCTATCTACCTAAAAGATGACTTGACGCCCGCGACATCACCGCACCAGGAAAAACTCTACAGCTAATGCGCTAAACATGTTTACGGTGAGGTGAGGTGAGTAGACTCCAATACACATATACATATACATACCGATCGGTAGATACCCTATCTTTTGCTGTGCAACAAAATATGTACCGGTATGCTCATGTTTCCATTTTCATATCATGTTACAAATATTGCCTACGATATAATAGTAATAGTAATAGTAGAGTGAGTTGTACCGTCATTTCGATGTAAACCTGTTGATGATGTGAAGACGAAATGGTATGGCATGACATGACATGTACTCGAGTATCTGAAGCATGGATTACTCGACAGATACAGATGGATATATTTGTTAGTAAGGAAGGGACATTCAGTTTTGGTCTCTGTTTTGTTCTTACTTGCACTCGCACTCTCCTTTCCCACTCTTCCTCCTACCATCCTCCTGCTCCTCTCCCCCATGTATTCCCCCTCACTCCCACTCCCCCTCCCACAATCACAATCACAGCCCATAAACCATAATCATAATCACAACCACAATCACAAACCCTCTCAGATACATACATACCCTTCCAACCATACCATTGATTAACATGCGTATTTATTTATTTAATAATTTATTGCATACCAGCCTACTCTATCCCTATGCCTGTTTCTAACTATATCCCTGTTTCTATCAGCGACTATCACCATCACACACAACCCCTACCACTATTATGCATATCTATCCTCAATCTATCTCCTTCCCTCCCCTCCCCTTTAGCATAACTACATTTTCAACTACATCTTCAACTTCGACTTCCCCCATCCATCTCCATCGTCCCCCATCTCATCTCCATCCATCCATCTCCATCCATCCATCTCTCTCCCTCCCCATCTCCTTCCATCCTCCCTCTCCCTCTCCATCTTCACCCCCACCTCATCTCTCCACCTCATCTCTCCACCTCATCTCTCCACCTCATTTCTCCCCAATCCATCATCCACACCAAACCACACCATTCCCATCCCAACTTATCCCAACTTATCCCAGCCATCCCATCCGAATGAAAAGAAATCCCCATAGATAATACTATTGACCAACTGACCAACTAACTAACAAACTAACAAACTGCAGCCACCCGACCCAAACCCAATCCCAAACACAGCCCAAGCCCAAACCCAAAATCTAACCCCATTCAGTTCAGTTCAATTCAGTTCAGTCCACTTCAGTTCCAAGAATCAACCAATTATACAAACGCAAATGATGAGTAATTGAGTATTGAGTATTGAGTAATTGAGCAATTAAGTAATCGAATGTATGTATTGATATTACCAAAAGCCTCGCACGGTAGGAAATTGAAAGGGTGACATAATGACACATTCACATTTGTCATCCATCCCATCCATTCCAACCACCATTGCATTTCCTCCTCTAGTGACGTCTAGCATTGACACTACACTACACACACAACACACAAGATCACTTCAATGCTCTCCATATCCATATTCCATCCATCCATCCACATACTGTATATTCATGAAGAAAGTCAACCCATGGAACATCTCCATGCAGCTAGCCATGAATGCCATTATGACAAGTGAAAAGAAAATTTCTCAAATTTCCGATTATGAATCCATGAGTTCTTCATACCACGCACGCCCATAACGCCTCATGCAATGCGAACAAAAAAACCGAATGCAAATTCAAATTCAAAAGTGTCGGGGGCATTGGCATTAGATTTCGATAGTCTTCATGGCAGAGTCATCATCGGCAGGGATTGCTTTCTCCGAAGTTCCTGATACTAATCCTAACCCCGTAACCTTATCACCAGACTTCTCATTCTCTTTGTTTTCGTTAGGTGAATCGGATTGTAGTAATGGTCGCTCGGAGTGCTTGTTCTCTTCACTTGGTCGTGGGGTTTGAACATCGACGAGTTTCGTGGAGGGAATGTCTATGGTGTTGACTTTCGTTCCTGATCCAGAACCTTCTTCAGCAACTTTAGATAGAGGACTTGACTTTCCAAAACCAGGACGATTTGGACTTGGAATGGGTGAAGCTCCAGAGAAACGTTGCATAGAACGTCCGCGTGGCTCACCGATCTCGGCAGCTGGGCTTGCGTAAGGAGATCCAGCGGGGGATCCTCCATTATTGTTAACAGGTGGCGCTGATCTTCTTCGCATGTTTTTGCGACCGTACTTTTGATCCATTCTCCATCTCAAGATATCGAAATAACCAGGCTCAACTTTTCCTGACTTGAATTCTCTCAACTTTAGCTCATTGGTTTCTTCATCCACAAAGCATTTACCACTGCTGATATCATCTGCGACAGTAGCCAAGAATGCGGACCATGATCGTGCTACCACGTATTTGCAGTCATAGTCCCGACCGAATAGAATAACCTGACCCCATTTACCAGCTGGTCCTGGCGCCAAATCAACTGCCAAGTTGTTTCCACCCCAATCTCGAACAAGTGGAATCCAAGCGGGATGAGCATAGACTTTTTGAATAGCATTAGGAGGTTGAGAGTCCTGGCGTGCCAATAAATCTTGTCTCCAGTAAGGATTTTGTGCGTTTGCAGGTTGCTTCGACGACGAAGACGAACTACCACCCAATGCCTTTGCTGGCATTGCAGGTTTGTAGGTGGAAGATTCTGTAAGATATTCCTGGTTGACCGTCTTCCAGTTCTCCCATTCTTGTACAATTTCCTCGCAATCAAGCAACATGGAGCTGAAGATAATTCCGGTAGGTAGACCGCCACGTTCTTGTCCATCGTGAAGTTGCATTGACTCTCGAACCTCCATTGGAAGGGAACAATCCAATTGATGCTCCAACTCATTTAGATCATTATTTGTGCAACCCTCGCAGAGTTGATCCCATAATTCTTCATAGTTTTCCTCGGCCCATCTATCGATTCTCTTCCAGGAGTGTCCGACTGGTGGTGGTGGGGGAAGACCTTCTTGGAAAGCTTGCAATTGAATTTCTCCTGGTGTAACATTCTCAAAATTTTCTTGTGTAGATTGTCGTTGAATCGTTGAAGATCTCATTCCTGGTGAGTATGGTGATTGTGGACCTGGACTTGCTGGAGGAGCGAATGGTGAACCTGGATAAGCATTCCCATTAAGTGCAGATGTAGATTGTCGACCGGACTCTTCAAAATAGGGGGAGTTCAAATCTGCGCGAGATTCTGAAGCGGTCGTAGCAACAGATGTCAAAGGTTCATGCCGACTTTGTGCGAGAGGAACATGTCCGCCAGTTCTGTAGGGAGAATCGTAGGAAGAGTCTGTTTACTTTGATTAGAAACTACATTGGATATTTCGAGGATTTTGGTATCCAACATACGACGATCATAACTGGTCATAGTATGCCAGAAAGATTTGAAAGCAGAGCCCAATGGGCTAAACACATGATAGTTAGTATTGTTCACAGGAGTAATTGAGGTATTCCCAGACTGAAATGAATGACATGGGATTATGAGGAAAAGAGGATATTGGAGATGTAACTTACTTGTCTGCCATGGTTGGCGATTCTCAACTAATACTGCAGATAATTTGCGTTATTAGATGAAACTTCCACCGTCTTTTTAACTGTTGATATAGGATCTCCAGAAGATATTCGAATAGATGGATGGAAGTTGGATGTTGGTTGGAGGTTGGAAGTTGGAAGTTGGTGGTAGTTGATTTGTTTTGTTTTGTTTTGGCTTTACTCGTAATGTAATGAGATTGAGGTTATGCGCCGTTTGAGGGAGATGAATCTGGATATTTTGTTTTAAGGAGTGCCAGTAATAAGTTTTCGGTCTATCAAATCGCGTTTTGATTACCCTGAATTTGAATTTGGTACCAAGTCTAAAGTCTAGTACTCAGTACTCCGAACCACTTTACTACTTTCCCTGGGCCCCCCTTGGTACATGAGTTATCAAATCCTCCAATCCCAGGATCAATAGAGAGCACTAGTCGAAATTTGTGTGGATCTTTTGAAATGCCGATAGTGAGCGAGCGCGATAAGTGTTGAATTTATGAGAGAAAAGGAGAGAAGAAGGAGAGAAGAATTAATAAGGAGGATGAAGATGAAGTGGAAGAAACTACTAGTATGGTAAAGAGAAGAGTCGGAATCGTCAATTCGCAAGGGGTAAGAGGTATTGGTACAGAGTACAGAGTAATAAGTCAGTCTGTGAAGTTCTCATTATTATTATGTATTCGAGTATGCAGTGCAGTTCGTAGTAGTGAATGATAATTTATCTATGGATCGTTTCGAAGGAGTCGAGGGAAGGAACATACATATGTGGTGAAATCTTTCTATTTCTATAACTTTACCTTCCATTTGATCTTTGGAAGTGTAGGTATTCTTCTAACTATTTAGTTCATCTAGGTGGTGATATATCTATCCATCCATCATGTCCTAGATCCTAGACTCCTAATATTATTGATGACTGCAGATTAATACGCTTCTAAGATTGGCTTGATCGGTTTATATCTAATATATGAATCGCTTCATTATCAAAGCTCAAATAGAACAACCTTAAGTTAAGATAACAGTCAGCTAACCTTGGTATGTATGGTATTCTAAGTTTTGATTCATGTGTACAGTATAAGCTCCGCCACCTGTTTATATATACAACTACTACCGGTATGAAGATATATAACCTATTCTTATAACTATTCTCAGATACGATACCTTACGAATCAATCGAGATACCATATCGGCACCCGTGATATTCTAGAAATCCTTCGAATCAAATTTGACACAGTATTACTCTGCCCCAAAAAAAAGGTTCTAGATGTCCATTCATCTTCTTCATCAAATTTCGCTTGCATCACTCCCTGAATCCTTAACCCCCTGAGATATCATTTTGGGAGATAGAGATAGAATTCTTGAAAAAGGAGAATTCTGTGTAATCGGGATGAAACTGTATCACAACAATATCTTCATTCATTAATCGAAATCAAGAATTTGAGTATCACAACACCGTTGATCAATCTTAACCTTGAACTGCCAGCCATACTACTGTACATCATACCTAGCGAAGTCAAAATGAGTTGAGGTACAAGGTACATATATACTACCCACAATTGACGGCATAGCAAAATATACAATATACACATGCCAGGAAACGTGGTTGGGTATCTTTCTTAGATTAGGAAGGAATTCCATTCTCATCATACCATACACACCAATCATTCCATCCACCACAGACTCATCCCCTCTCCCCCTTCCCCATCCCCTATTACCCTCCCCATAATCCCAAAGAATCAAGGACAAAAATTAACCTCCACGATCACGGTTTCAAGTTTTTAACATTTTAACATTTTATCAACCTGCATCATTCGCGCAGCACGCGTAATCAATCACATATCCAACCAATGATATACGAGCGATCAATCAAAGGCGAATACCCTTCTGAGAATCTGAGTATTGACAGGCCAACTTCCGAAGAAAGGGTGTGGGGTTGATTCTACTTGATTGGTGATGGCTTGACGTTGCGAAATGAAATGGTGAAGGCGCATGGTAAGATTATCTTGGTTGGAGGGTTGAGGGTTGAGGTTGAGGCTGGTAAGGATATAATACACAATACGGAGGACAGACGATGGTGGCTTTGGAGGTTTGGTTAAGGTTGTTTTGGTTCATTGTTGGGTCTGTTTCCCGGAATGGGGTTTTGGTTTGAGATTTATGTGTTGATATGATATCCGTATCCTATAAAACCACTTCTTGACCAATACCTGGAATGATGACTTTTCCATGAGATATCTATAGTTCGTCTAACCGCTTCCCGGGACGACTATATTATCGAGAGTAAGTCTTGGAAGTTTCTTATTTTCCTATCTCTATGAGAATCATAAGCTTACATGGCTCTATTCTCATCGGATACCTATTCGGGTACGTGTATATCTCATATTCCTATTATAGCACCAGAGTTTCTTTCCCGATTTCCACAGGTATAGTGGAAGGAGATTACTTTTGTATTTCTGCAATTGATACATCAAATCAAGAAGGAAAGATGCATTGAGGTAGTGCTCAGATATGGCAGGTAATAGGGAGATGAAGCGGAATAAAGGAAACGAGGGGTAGAGGGTCAAGTATTCAGATATGCCTGTTTGGCTGTTTGGCTGTTTGGCTGTCGAGATGGGGATTTGTCTATGCGATACCGACAACTGTGTCTGTATTTTCAAAGTATTGTCTATTGGACAGTAAGCTGAGATCTTACCTTTTGATTTCCGGTGCATACTATCGAATAGTCATGGTTGGTATATCTAGATCAAATGTAACAGCCCAGAGTCTTGAAAATAGTCCTTTTGATCTGGTGAGACTGGAACTTTAGATGGACTCTCCGGGGATGTAATCATATCGGGGATCCAAGATTCTTCACGTATTTTTAGGCTCGCTGGGCGTTATTAAATACGGTTCTGCATGATATTCTCAACACATATACGAATAGATAAATGAATGTACTGAGTAAATGGAAAGAATACCCATCCATCATTCCTCAAATCAAGAGTACAAGACCACAGCACGTGATAATAGCTCTCACCCACAGTTTAAGCGCGCGGCTTGGCGGGCTTGGCGGGCTTGGCTGAAGCTACTCACCCCATTGCGCAAGTCAAGCTTAACCTGTGAATCAAATCATCAAATCAGCTACCTATCTAATCAAATCGCAACACCAACAATAATATCTATCTACGACTCTGAAACTACTTGCGCGAAAAGGCGAAGCATATTGTCGATCCGAAATAATCACGAAATTGTGTGCAGAAGGATAAATTTAGGGAAGGCTGAGCGAAAGCAGCTGTGATAAGCCAACGGTCAACAATCAGAATCGCAAGGTCGCAGGCTCGCAAGTAATAATGTCGGAAGAACGTCTTTGGAAATTCAGAAAGCCGGATTGGATGAGTGGTGCGACAGCAAAGGGGGCTGGTGTTTATACTGCGGGAGCTTTGGTATGATGGTCCTATAACCTTCCATCTCTGGTATTGCGGTCTCTTCGGAACTGGCGATCCGCGATTGAACTTCACTTTACGAATTACCTTCACTAACGCATCTCCAAACAGTTCTCCCTCTCATTCTTCATCCTTCTCGATGCTGCTCTCTGGTCTAAATCCGCCCTTAATGGATCCGATCCCCCAATTCACATTACATTCATCGACTGGCTTCCCCTGATCTTCTCTTCCCTCGGTATGCTTATCATAAACTCTATTGAAAAGTCCCGGCTATCCGCGGACTCTTTCTCTTATAGTGGCAGCGGTGTTGCTTGGAAAGCAAGAGTGGTGTTATTCTTAGGGTTTGCTAGTTTGGCCGGGGGACTGGCTGGGGGTATTACAGTGTTGGTTTTGAAGTACGTGGTGCCCGGTGCGCAATGGCCTACTTTGGGAATGGGTGTCGCAAATGTGGGAGCAAATGCCGGGGTTATGTTAAGGTGAGTTTATACATTTTTCTCTGATTGAAGGGTGGTCTGCGCGATGGGTATGGAAAGTTGAGGAGATGAAGGCTAACATTGTTTTAGTTCGGTGGTACTCTGGGTCTCGCAAAATATTGAGGACGAATACTCCTATAATCTCGCTCTTTAAGTGAGTAGCTCATGGGAAGATTTTGCATAGTTTAAAGAGATGCGAAGGGTCACGGAACGTGGAACATGATGGTACATGGGTATGAAGAATGAATGAATCGCAAAGGAGTATGGTCAGAACGATGGGATGCTTCTAGGACATCGCTTGTAGTATAGGGGAATGGTATTGTTTAGCGATATAGGGGCTCAATTTCTGTTAACTGTTCGGCGTCCTGGTTTCTTGTGTAGTATGTGACCGTTTCTTCAAGGAGCTCGTATTTTGATTGATTCGGCCGGAAGCACGGCATGAATTCGATGTGTTCCTCTAGATAATAAAGTTCGACTTGCTAACAAATACATACGCCAATGCCAAGCTACATGCGGATATGAAATATGCTGTACTAGATTGTAAGCTTCCCATAGGTAGATTCGAGAATGTATGGGGATTTTCCGAGCTAGAAGTAGCTCCAATGAATGGCGGCGGCCGAGGGATCCGCTCAAAAAAATGGCTCATCTGGAAGCTTCATGCATGCATCGTTCAACAAACATTATACTTTCTTTCAATTGAACGATTTGTCCTCAATTATTTTTCTTTTTCTACACATTTAATTCATGGATTCAAGAAAACATATCAAGAAATATACCACATAATTCATTAATTTAGAAGTTCTCTCCCAATTAGCATCATACCGTTCTCTCAAAAGCAAGCCAAAGAGCTGCGAGCTCAAACGAAAATGGTGAAAACTATAGACCCCAAGCCAGCGCCCGGCTCACACAACTCACTCGCGGCACAATATGCGAGGGCAAAAGCGCGCAAAGAATCTCAAGAGCAGGCTATTAGAGAGGGAAAGAAGTTAGATAGGGATGGGAACATAATTGAGCCCACGGTCCCCAGGAAGAAGGACAAGAGAGATGAGTTGAACGGGGCGAAGAGGGACAAATGGAGGAGGGAGTGGTGGGCAGTTGGAGGGTGGTGGACTTGGCTGGCGTAAGTTTTTTAGGAAGGCTTCGTTTGGGAGGGGCATTGGCTAATCAAGGCAATGAATAGACTTATGCACGCCGTGGGAATATACTTCTTTACAAAGGGATTCCTACTCACCCGGTTGGTGTTAGAAGAATCATCGACTTGTGCCGAGCCACCAATCGCAAGAAACGTCAATTACAAAGGAGCCGGTACACCAGAGGGAGGATGTTGGCATCCAAAGACATTTGACAGGGCTGTGGTGGTAGTTGTAGACGCATTGCGCTACGATTTCGCTGTGCCATCTGCTGATGACGAGCCTTTTCACAATGCATTGCCCGTCTTATACGAGACTGCGCGCAGAGAACCACATAATGCATTTCTATTGCCTTTTATTGCGGATCCGCCGACAACTACATTGCAAAGATTGAAGGGTCTCACAACTGGAACACTCCCAACATTTGTCGATGCGGGGTCGAACTTTGCCGGTACCGCCATTGAAGAGGATAATCTTTTGAGCCAATTGAAAGATGCTGGCAAGAAGATTGTACATCTGGGTGATGATACTTGGACTGCGCTATTTCCTGGATACTTTGAACCAAACATTAGCCGCGCATATGATTCTCTCAATGTCTGGGATTTGCATACGGTGGATAATGGTGTTACGGAACATATTATGCCACTTCTTGAGAAAGAGAAGAAAACCGAGTGGGATGTTATGTTTGCGCACTACTTGGGTGTGGACCATGCGGGACATAGATATGGACCAAATCATCAGGCCATGACGAGCAAGCTACAGCAGATGGATACTTTGATAAGAGGACTCGTGGAGAAGCTTGACGATGATACCTTGTTGGTTGTCATGGGAGACCATGGCATGGATAGCAAAGGTGATCATGGCGGAGAGAGCGACGACGAAGTTGAAGCTGCATTATGGATGTATTCCAAGAAAGGAATATTTGGTCGCACTGATCCGGCTTTTGTTACTCCACCTCAAAATGCGAAGATACGGCCAGTCAATCAAATCGATTTAGTGCCAACCCTCGCATTGCTCTTGGGCTTGCCGATCCCTTTCAACAATCTCGGAAAACCCATTGAGGAGGCCTTTGCAGGCAAGAAAGGCAATGCGTGGGAAAATTTGGCAAACGTGGCTAGAATGACAGCTGCCGGTATCAAAAGATACCAAGCTGCGTATTTTGCTGCCCGAGGCATCGATGAGAGCACTATTGATGGTTCCCCATATGCTCTTTGGTTAACAGCCGAGCACGCTCTCACTTCAAAATCAGCCCAAAAGTCTACGGAAATTTATCATGCATTCTCTGCCTATCAGACAGAAACTTTACGCATTTGTCGAGATCTCTGGGCCCGGTTCGATGTCCCTAGTATGATTCTAGGTATCTGCATCCTTGCTGGTAGCGTACTAGCTTTGGCCCTCTATGCCAATAGTAATGCTAGTGATGGTAATGAACCTGAATCGGCCGATCTAGATGAAGCCCAAGCCAAACTGGAACTTGAAGCTGTTGCAAAAGGAAAGAGATCTATTGGAGATGAGGCAATCAACCCAAATCTACTCTTATCGATCTCCATGGCCTCAGCCGTTGGTGCTGCTGTGGGATTATCGCTCTGGACCATGAAAGCAACTATCTTGGCGGGTATAATCGATGGACAAGTTGTAGAATTGAGTGCAATTGGTGCTATCATTGGGGGACTCATTGGAGCTAATTTGTCATTGATGAGAATTGGCAATCCCTTCCCAACGACAATTTGGGGTTGGTTAGCAGTCATGTTCACTGTCAGTCAGTCAATTGGGTTTGCGTCCAATTCCTATACTATTTGGGAAGACTCCATTCTATTATTTTTCATCACAACTTTCGGAGTGGCTGGTGTTGTTTCCTCGCTTAGACAATCAGAAATACGCAGTCGCACATTGGGGGTATATCACTCTCTTGTGTTCATTGGTCTTGCCTGGGTTGCCTCATACTCTAAGCTATGTAGAGAAGAACAGATGCCTTACTGCAGATCTACATACTACGCCTCTGCCACGTCCTCTACTTCTGCTCCTTGGCAATTACTTATTCCATTATTTTTCGCATTCGCCTTACCCGCTTTCATCAAAGCTTACTATGCAACCAGCCTTTCCTATGAGGGATTTGCGCCGGTCTGGATTGGTGGAGCTTTCAGATTTGGACTCTTCCTTATTACCATCTTCTGGACTTTAGATGCCGCTGATGATGGAAATTGGTTCCCTTTCTTGTACGAAGGCGCCTTGAAAGCTATCCGAGTACCAATTTCCCAGACAGTTCTTGCCATGGCTATTGGCGCTGGAACTGTTGCATTTTACTTTGCACCACCGTGCATCGCCGTCGGCACTGTCGCACTCGGTGATCTTGCACCCGCTGGAGCCCCCAAAGAACAAGGTACACGCGTTATGATTCTTGGCTATGGCAATACTCATGGTGCTCGATACTTCCTCCTTATTACCAACGTGCTTTTAGCCGTTCTCATGGTCCAGAAACCTATGGGCTTCGGTGCCCTCTCTCTCATGTCCCTCCAAATCCTGTCTCTTGTGGAATTCCTTGATCTCAACTCCTTGACCAATTCACCCATCGGGCCTATCATGCTCGCCATCCTCGGCTCCTTCCACTTCTTCAAAACAGGTCACCAAGCCACTCTTTCCTCGATCCAATGGGAATCCGCTTTCATCCCTCTTCACACAATTCGCTACCCTTGGTCTCCATTCCTCGTCGCCCTCAATTCATTCGGTCCTCAAATCCTCGCCGCATCCGCCGTTCCCCTCATCGTTTTCTGGAAACAACAACCAAAGAAAAATGGACTCTTAAAAGCAGTGACCGCCGCTTTGGCATGGCACATCCTCTATTATGCAGTCGTGGGATTGGCAACTGCAATGTGGGCTGGCTGGTTGAGAAGACATCTCATGTTGTATCGCATCTTTAGCCCGAAATTTATGATGGCGGGTGCGGTGTTGGGGGTGGTGGATTTGGTTGTTTTGACGGTTGTGCTTTTGGGAACGAGATGGAATGTGGGGAGTGTGGAGGATGTGTTTGGTTGGCCTTGAGTAGGGAAGTTGTCGTTTGTGTGGAATAGAATTATTTTTTGCTATGTGGCTGAAGCGGTAACTGTTGCTGAAGAAGAGAATTAGAAGATGGATTGGTATTTTTGGAATAGCATAGCGATGATGGTATGGTATGGTATGGTTTGGTATAATATGCGTGTGGAGCAACTCGGAAATAGAATCGCAATAATTTATGTTGTTGTTTGTTACTCAGTTCTCTGGAGTGAGGTTGTGACATACTCCTCGAGTATCACTATGCTCGAGTAATAAAGATTTATTTCATATCGATCAACCAAACTTCTTTTCATGTTAAATCTATCAATAGAATATACTCGAGACTTGGGGGGGTTGATTTACTTGGTCTTAGTATACTAGATATGCTTTTACTTTGATTAGTATTATAGTTGTAGTGTTTTGGTGGTGAGATTTTGGGTATGAGTGTTGGTATTGATACTCTGATGCTCTGAGATAATATTTATTTGTGGCTTTGAAATTGGGGGGGTGAGAGGTGAGAGGTGAGGATGAGGAAGAGGAAGAGGATGAGGATGAGGATGAGGATGAGGATGAGGATGAGGATGAGGAAACAATGATTAATTAGAGATACTTCTCTTAAAATCACACTTCACACACACTCACCACCAAAGTATTGACGGGACGAGAAGCTCAGTATCAAACTTGAACATGCCGAGGTTGACTTATTTATTTCCGCTCCCTGCCAATTCCCGCTTTCCACCCTGCGGAATACTTCCCAACGAAACCTTTCTCAATCCGAACCAGAAATTCACTCCATTGAGAAATTCGAGATTATCGTTGGATATCTTCGCGGAATATTTTCCGCATGTAGACAAAAGAAAGTGAATAGTTTCAAGAAGTAAACAGAAAAGTTGACCAGAAATCGAATTTTACAACTCCATCACATCTCTTTCAAATCCCCCGAAACTTATAATTTTGAATCAGGAAACGTTCAGGATTCCATTTCTGTTTTCAAATTGAAAATCTGACTTGGTTTGGGAAAGTTGAAAAGGGCTACAGATGTGCAACATAACTTTTTGAGGGTATTTTCACGTGACTTTTGGCTGATCCGAATTTAATCCGAGCCAATACGGTTTGGTTTGGTCGCATACAAGTTCATGAGCTTCTACAATTGCTCTTTTACAATTGCCTCTTAACTTTTTTTACCCAACAATAACAAACTCATTACATTCGACCCGAACTTTTGCGACAAGCTTCATTCCAAATGGCGGAACAACCAAGAAGAAGAAAACGTCCTGATAGTTCGAAGATGTGGGAGGAGAGCGAAAACCGTGGTCCTGGTCGAGACCGAGAAGAGAAAAATGATCGAGGGGATCGACGCGACGATAGAAATCGCAATCATGAGCGCAGTCGCAGAGATAGAAGCAGGTCACCACGCGATTCAAAAGATAACATACGAAGTTCATATAGGGATAGGGAACGAGAACAACGGAACCGTGGTGGCAGGAGAGATGATCGGGATGGGCGAGGCAATGATAGAAATAGGGATCATCGAGACAAGAATGATGGGAGGTCAGGAAGAAGAGACAGTCATCGAGCAGATGTACCGGATAGGACTAGAGGTGAGTTTATGCCCTATGCACTTTCGCAGACGGTGTTTACATTGAGGGGCAGACCTAACATTGGCAAAGACGATGTTCAAGAACCTCGAGTGAAGGATGAGAATGAGAATGATAGAAAAGGTATGTTTTCACCTGATTCAGAACAGGATGAAACATTGGTACTCGCAATCAGAACCCTGTCTAATTCACATAAAGACAATGAGCGATCATCAGGAGAGAAGTCAAATGAACGAGTAAGATCGAGGAGTCCGCGGCGTAATGACGAGCGAGATTATAGGAAGGACAAAAGTAGCGAAGGAACCTCACGGAGCGGCGAATATACAGATGATCGAAATGTTACTCCACAACCAGTAAGCTTCAGTATTGGGGCTAGTCACACAGCTATAGGACATGATCACGATCGGATGGATATCGACAGCGGAAACAAGAAAAAGAAATCACAACCCAAGAAGAAAATTAAGGAAGAAGAAGAGGACGATGATATTGTGATTGAGGATGATGGAATGGCTGCTATGCAAGCAATGATGGGATTTGGAGGATTCGCAACTACACAAAACAAGCAGATACCTGGGAACAATATTAGTGCGGTGAGAAAGGAGAAGAAGACAGAGTATCGACAATACATGAATCGGGTTGGAGGATTTAATAGACCTCTGAGTCCGAGTAGGGATTAATTGAGAGCTGGGGTGTACGAATAGGGTCATGGCAGAGTCATGGTAGACAGGACAAGTGAGGGGTTAGATACTTCCGGAGGGGAAAGTCTGTATAGATTGGTAGATTGGCAGATCATATTGGCATTTTCGCACATTGGACAACCACATGATATCCGGAGGGGTTATTGTCCTTATTGATTGGCATTTTTTGAGCGATTCTCATAGCAAAAAGGATAAATACCTAGGAACATCTTCCCGATTACCGGAAACACAAATACTGTAATCCAATTATCCATTTGTTCTCGGCCCGTGGTTCGTTTCTAACCCTGCTCTGTCTGCTTTGAACCTTTGACCTTTGACCAATAATAATGTTGAACCGTGAAGCCTTCCCTGCAGCCTTGCGCTACAGGCTGATTAAACCACAATCTATCCACATATTCGCAACGGTGTTCTTTGAGTAGAATTCCACGATTTCCTCCTCAAAACCTTTTCTTTTCTCATATGTTGAGTTTCCAGATTGAAATACTGGAGCTTGACTTTTGTTTTTGAACTGGGGAAATATGACGCTCATCAATTTGCGTCTGCCAGTTGCAGCTCTGGTAGCAGTACTGTTGTCGTTGGGGGATTCTGTACACGCGGCTGAGGCACAAGATGTGGGAATAGTTACAACGGAAATCGCGAGAGCTCAAAATAATAGCTTGTTATGGGGTCCTTATAAACCCAATCTTTATTTTGGTGTTAGGCCCAGGATACCTAAAAGTTTTACCGGTGGTTTGATGTGGGCAAAGGTTGATAACTTTGTGGATGTTCAGCAGAGTAAGCTTTTTCATGAATTACATACCTAGGTAGTTTATGGATGTTAGCTATGTCATTGTTACAGTTTTTACAGCAATGGCAGGTTATGAAAATAGATTGATCATAGCTAATCATTCAATTCTATAGACTTCAGACATACTTGTGAGCAAGGTGATGGCATGAGAGGTTATGGCTGGGAAGAATTCGATGCTCGAAATGGTGGAAAGCAAACCATGTATGATGAGAGCAATGGCATTGATATCACAACTTTCTTCGTCAAATCCCCTGGTGGTAAACATGGTGGGAATTGGGCTACACGAGTGAGGGGTAAAGTTAGGGAAGGCTCGCCAGCAGATTTAAAGACAACAATTGTTTTCTACGCTTCTCTTGAAGGTCTTGGAAGTTTGACAGTCGAGAATGAGCAAGATGATCTTGGATTTGAGGGAGAAGTGATTCTCAATGGAGAATCCGATGGATTGGGTGAATATAAGGTTGCGATCACACCTGGCCGGGGTTTCCATCCTGGTTCGGATCATCCGTCATACCAGGAGAAGCCATTGGACAGGACTTTTGTTCACTCTCTTACTCTTGACGAAAAATTACTGTGGGCGGCCAAGCCTCATTTGTTCGGAAAGTTGAAGGAGCAAATCGATGAATATCTTACAACTTACGGAGAAGATAGTGCTCCTCCTCCATACCAGATCTATACAATTGCACACGCCCCAGATGAAGGAAACTTACATTTGATACAAAAAGTATTCGAAGGAGATTTCGAATTCGATATCATTTTCAACAGTGCTTCAGCGGAGAAGGGACTTACCAGTCAAGATATTTCTAGACTGATTGGTGAAAACAGCAACTCCTTTTATGATAGATTTATCTCCACATTTGATTTACAACCACCTTTTGATATCGAAAGTCTTCAAAGGTTTTCAAGTCACATGTTCTCAAACTTAATTGGTGGTCTCGGATACTTCCATGGAGATTCGGTTGTTGATCGTTCATATGCTGAGGAGTATGAGGAAAGCAACGAAGGCTTTTGGGAAGAGGCTGCAGAGGCAAGAGGACGAAGGCAGGAAAAGCTTGAAGCCCCATCGGAACTTTTCACTACTGTTCCATCTCGACCTTTCTTTCCTAGAGGATTCCTTTGGGATGAAGGATTTCATCTTCTTCCTATTGCTGATTGGGATATTGATCTTACTCTCGAAGTTGTTAGAAGCTGGTTCAATCTTATGGATGAAGATGGATGGATTGGTAGAGAACAAATTCTTGGTGCTGAAGCTCGCAGCAAGGTTCCACCAGAGTTTCAAACACAATATCCTCACTATGCCAACCCACCTACCTTGTTCTTTATTGTCGATGCTTTCATTAGCAAGCTTGGAGCACTCAATGGTACTTCCCCATTGGTAAAAGAAAAGCTCGCAAAGGAGTCTTCAATCTACTCTGCTTATTTGCAGAACCCAGAAGCTGGCCTTCAATATCTCAATGAGCTATATCCTAAACTCAAGAAGCATTACTACTGGTTCCGCAAAACTCAATCTGGAGATTTGAAAGCATATGATCGTGATGCATTTAGTACCAAGGAAGGTTATAGATGGAGAGGCCGTACACCAATGCATATCCTCACTAGTGGTCTCGATGATTATCCTCGTCCTCAACCACCTCACCCGGGAGAATTACATGTCGATTTGATGTCCTGGATGGGCATGATGACCAAATCTCTCAAAAACATTGCAAGCCTCCTCGGCATGGAAGATGATGTCGCCGAATTATCCACCATCGAAACAGCTATTCACCACAACATCGATGATTTACATTGGAGCGAAAAGGAGAAATGTTATTGTGATGCCACGATTGATGATTATGAAGAACATCAATTAGTTTGCCACAAGGGATATATTTCTCTCTTCCCATTCTTGACAGGTTTGGTTGATGCCAATAGTGATAAATTGGGTCATATTCTTAATTTACTAGGTGATGAAGAGGAATTGTGGAGTGAACATGGGATTCTATCGCTGAGTAAGAAAAATGAGTTTTATGGTACGAATGAAAATTATTGGAGGGGTCCTGTTTGGATGAATATGAATTATTTGGCTGTTTCTCAACTTTTGGTATGTTTTTATCTCTTTCCTTCTCTCTTTTCATCCCATTATTCTCCTTTGGTTTCTTCTCTATATATATCCATCCATCCATCCATCCATCCATCCATTCATACCCCTCACCCTTCTCCCCTTCTCCCCTCCTCACCCAACCAACCATCCTAACCATCCCCAGAAATACGCACAAATCCCCGGTCCCCACCAAGAACAATCCAAAACCCTCTATACAAACCTCAGATTAAACCTCATCAAAACAGTATATGATAGTTGGCAAGAAACAGGTTTCGCGTGGGAACAATATAGTCCGGAAACGGGAAAGGGTCAGAGAACTCAACATTTTACAGGGTGGACAAGTTTGGTGGTTAAAATTATGGGGATGCCGGATTTGAGTGGGGGGTATTATGAAGGGGAGGTAGGTGGGGAGGGGAAGAAGGAGGGGAAGGTGGATGAGTTGGAGGAGGTGGAGAAGAAGAAGGAGGATGAGGGGAAGGTAGAGAGGAAGGATGAGTTGTAGAGGGTTTGGGGGGGTTGGAGTGGGTGATGGGATTGTTAGAGAGAAGATGAATAGAGGGAGTAGAGGGGTGAAGGTTGTGAAATAGAAGAGAGACCTGGAGGGATATATTTAGCATAGCAGAAGGAAAAGGGAAAGGGAAAGAATTGATGTACATGATTGATTATATTTCGATAGATGAATGGGTGGATATACTCGTGTTATTCCCATGAATCGTAAAATCGTAAATCACAAAGCTTGCTTTTATTTTCAAACTCAAGTTGATATGATTATCTTTTCAATTTGCAACCCCAATTTTCATTTTAAATTTATAATAATACTACAACTACAACTATAACTATAACTATTACTGTAACTATAACTGTAACTATAACTATAACTGTAATACCGTGACTATAACTGTAACTGTAATACAATATAATACAATACAATACAATACAATACAATACAATACAATACAATACAATACAATACAATATACTTAAAATGGTTAAATCGTATAACCGTATAAGTTTCATCAGTTTCATCAGTTTCATCAGTTGTATATACTGGTACCTAGGTATATAAGTATATAAATAATGCCACACTGTCACTGCCATTGTATAATTAATGCATACAATGTATAACAATGCTGCAATGCAGTACTCGAGTACACTGGCACTGGCACTAATTATTTTGCAGTTTGTTATTTTGCAATTTTTAATGATTAATTTGTTAATAGAAGATGGGAGGGATTTTTGAGGGATTTTGGGGGAAACTTGGGGGGAAAGAGATAAGGAAAAGAAAGAGGAAAGAGAAGAGAAAGGAGATGAGGAAGAAGAAGAGGAAGGGAAAGGGAATAGGGAAAGGAAAGGGAAGAGAAAGAGGAGAGGAGAAAGGGAGGGAGATGAGGAAATGAGGGGAGAGGAAAGTAAAGGAATAGGAAGAGGAAAGAGAATGTCTTCTTTGTTCTAATTACTTATATACCTGATACCTAATAACTAATAACTAGATGTACATTTCAGACTTTGATGGCACTACCACTACCACTACCACTAACTACCTAATATACTACCTAATAATGATCCTATACTTGTATACTATATCACTACCGATACCGTAGCCATCATAACCATAACCCTGACCAGACCTAGACCCTAACCAAACCAAACCAAACTCCACTTTTCGCACCGGATCCCACTTCTACTGTTCTATGTACTGTACTGTATTACTCGAGTATTTTTGAAAAGGAAGTTCCTGGAAGCGAACACGTGATTTTGGAAAGATAGGGGTGAACTTGGATT